GGGCCGCACGGGACGAGGCGAGAGAGGCGTACAAGGAAGAGAAGATGGAGGGATTGAGAGAAGGAAAGGTACGAGCCGACCAGGACTGATGAGCCTGTGACAGGTTGAGAGAGGGTGCACTCGTACGGCTATAGAGTAATAGACGGGATGAAGGGGGGAAGGGGAAATGATTGAATGGCTCACCAGCAATACGACGCACTCGGTATTAGAGCATTGGGTGGGTTGTGGACATTGAATTTTTTGGGGGGTATGAGCGATTTGATTGGTCAGATGCGCCAGTCTCCAGAAGGAAAGAGCGAGACAGTGCGGCGCTGGAGTGGGTACGGAAGGTGCGCGCACTCGAACGCACCTGCCTCTGTATTTCACGCCGCAGCATTACTCTTGTTCGTCATCCACGGGTATGTATCACTACGAAGCACACAGGGCAGGAGGGTCTGGTGATGGCGAGGGTCCGAACAGCTGTACGAGTCCTCGTAGCATTGGCGTCGTGGACGACGCAGAGAGAGGAGAGCACGACGCGTATGATTGCAGTTCCTCCTGTAATCTGTACTCCGTACAGGTATTATAGATTGCAGAACTGGTCATATTTATTGCTACTAATAGTACAGGTTACTCCGTACAGATTACTCCGTACTGGCTACATGTGTAATGTACCTGCGAGTTATACTCTGTAATAATAGCACACCAATATTTAACAAACCCGTTGTGTTTGCTTGTGGCTCCGTGCACAGACACACGGACGCAGAATCTTGCTGCCACTGCCAAGTACGGTAGTAATGCTACACCGTATTCCGTTCTGTATTAATATTACATACATGTATACATGTATGTGAAGGGATACGCACATCCTACTCAGCGAGCGGTAGATGCAGTCCGCACAGTGTCAATTACCAAACAGGGGCACAATCAGAAGGGAAGGGGATGAGAAGCAAGAGAACGGAGGAAAAGAAAGAGAAGGGGTCGCTGACTCTCCACCATGCTCTCTGTCTCCTTCTCCCCCCCCCCCCCCCCTCCCCTGCCTTGACGGGCAATCGCTTAGAGAGGGGAGGGGGCCCAGCCTGGGGCTGAAGTTGTTGTTGATGGTACAGATAAGTGATGTTGATAATACTAGCAGAAAGGCCAGCCACCGACGATGAAATAGAGACGGAAGCAGAAAAGAATATCCCGTGAATATATAAAATAAGATAAAAAAATCTAGAAAAACGGAGGGAAGACAGAGACATGTACGGGAGTATACGTAGTATTGATACGCGTAATGTATTACCTGTAATTGTAATAATCCTACTGCTGCTACGAGTACATGCACATACTACGGTACGCTCCTCATTCTCGTACGGTCGACCAGTCAACTCCCAATCTCTGCACTGCAGAAACATCAGACATGGCACCATCCCCCTTCCCTGTTCGCAGTATCAGGTAAGCAGGGGTCAAATATCCGATCAGCTGTCGGCAGTGGGGAAGGAACCATCAGCAACCTCTTTGTGTGCAAAGCAGGTGCGAAGCAGGTGCAAAGCCACCTACAGGCTACGGGTATAAATACTTGAATACCTGCACAGGTTTTTCTACGAGTATTCACACTAAGTATTACTACCAGTATCTACTAGTATTGATATTGCTACTTCGTAGTAAAGCTGGTATTGCTAGCGATGCTCGTACCATGTATTGCTAGTCATGGTACCTGTACAGAGTACTGCAGGTGTCGATAAGCCCGTTCAACGGGCACGGGACGATGTCTGCTGATATGTAGCGATACATGTACAGTACCTCCGCAGTATTACCCGCAGTATTATTAATACTACATACGATAACGTCAGATACAGAATAGCAGAACCATATGCTAGTACGGGTTACGTTGAGAACGGATGTAATTACGGAGCGCAACCACATAATAGGTATAGACTGTTTTACGATTCCTCTTAATCTGTACTTTGACACTGCATATAGCTTGTCCGTATTATATCGTATACGGTATACATGTATTAGAAAAGAAGGGGAAAACGTGGGATTGGCATCACAATCACCATGACCACGAGGCATGACCTGCAGATTCCATATAATACACATTATACATTAGCTGCTGTAATCTGCATCCATATTCAAATAAGACTGGACCGTATCCGTACCCAAACGTCGGCCGGCCCGTCCAGGCCAAGGCCAATATCATCCCCGCCGACTCTTGCAGCTATCGCGGTGGGAAGATGGGCGGAACAGAGACGGGGGGGTATGCCGCACTCTACATAGAGGAACGGTGCCTACGTCGTAAATCATACCGGGAAGGGGGGGGGAGGGGGAGGGGGTAGGCCGGGCCTGAACTGACTACCTCCTTCATCTGCAAGACCACTACGTCAACTCGTTTGCCATGTTACGGAGACGAGTGTCTGTAATCTGTAGATATTACCACCAAAATACTCCGTAGCTGCCTTACTGGTTGCCCTACTAGTCGCCCTACTAGCTGCCCTACTAGCTGCCCTACTAGCTGCCCTACTAGCTGCACTGCTAGTTTCCAATGTTGCCAGTATTGGATCTTGGTATTGTGACTAGTGCGGAATTCTGCGTCGAAAGGAATACATGCCACTTGCAGTAATATACGGAGTACGGAGAGTTATGTTGTAAGGGGCAAGAGGGAGGGGGGGGGGGGCTCAGGTTGTCAACGACCTTGTTGTTGTTGTTGTTGTTGTTATAACATCACTCGTATTGTCATGGAGTAGGACTGGATTGGACCGAGTACGGATATGATGATACTCATATAGAGAGATATAGAGAGCATGTGCAGATTACGAGTCGGATGATCTCTTCCTCCCCCCACTCTCTCAACAACTCCTCGCGACAGAGGGAGATTTCACACACACCACGACAAGGCTGCAGCCATCCGTCTCAGATGGCATGTACGGATGTACGGAGTGATAATATGCACACGGCAGGTCCGAACCTCATATCAGAGCCTGCCTCCCGCGTCATCATCCATCATACTCGGCAGGGAACCGCTCCTTGGTCTGCAACGTCCCCTTGGCGGGAGGCTGCTCCTGTCGCCGTCCGGCTCTGCATATTGTGGCGCACGCATTCCCCAAGTATTAGTCGTAGCAGTATCATTACGGGTAATGCTGGTTGGATCCCAGACGGCTGTATCACGATCCACGAGCTCGACAACTTGCAACAAACAGATACGGAACAGAATACTGGCTTTTTTTCTCAATACGGAATGTTGCTTTATACCATCTACTAATGACCGTTAATATCAATAAAACTACATGCACGCATCTCGTAATACCGATTCGTCAGATGTCAACTGGGCGCTGTTTACAGCCTACGACGTCGTCGCAATAATATACAGCCGAGCATTGTCATCAGAGGGAAGATGAGTGTGTCTCGCTGTCCGTATACGATTTGACCTACAGAAGGACAAATGTTACAGGGAGTACGGAGCATAAGGGGTTCAATCCAAAAGGCAAAGCTGTTCTTCCTTCCCCGCCCGCACGCCGTGCATGACTCTGTGATCGTTCTCGTAGAGAGAGAGAGGGGGGGGGGGGGGGGAGAGAGCCAGAGAATAATACGAATAGTAGTACCAAGCCACTTACCAGTAGTTAGAAATCTATAGACCGGCGCTCGGGCTTTCCCTCTTTTTTTTTTTCCTTCCCTTCCTCTCGTCCCCTCCAGGCCTTCGCCCCCAATGTACTCGTATATATGTACAATACATGTACATGTAATTCATCAAACTTTTCTAATCTACAGGTACGAGCGTCGAGAAATGCGGTAATAGAAGGTAGAAAAGGACGGGACGAAGAACGGACAGGTAATAGATCGTCTTCAGCCAGCCAGCCCCCCCCCCCCCCCCCCCCCCCCGTCGACCTACTAGCGTCGTCGAGTCATGATCATCTTAGCCGTAATTCCGTCTTCTTCCCCTACTCGTAAGACATTTTCCCGGCCATCCGGAATACTTCTTTCACGTTGAAAAGGCGAAAGATGCCGGAGAGTGTCGAGACAGGGGAGAGGAAGCAGGGAAGAAGAACAGGGTTAATATCATCAACGGCAAGCAGGGAGCGGGCATGATAGAAGTGATACAGAAGGAAAAGAAGAAGGAGGGACAGGGGAAGAGAGAGAGAGAGAGAGGGAGGGAGAGAGAGGTAGAGAGAAAATATCTCAAACACCGTTGCATAATCGCATAGGCTTGTTCTGGAACAAGAGATGCGTCCCACGACTCTAGCATGAATCTTCTTTGCTTTTCATGGCATACGAGAGTACATGAACGGAGACAAGGCTAAAGAAGCCAGGCAACTTGCGACAAATCACCCCAGACGAAGGAGGCTTTCCCTTGACGGGTTGAGTATGGGAAAGGAGAAGAGAAGTACCCACGACGTCTTGAACACAACCCTGCGCCGTGGCTCCAGGGCCTGCGTCTCTTGGGTAGTGTCTCTTTCAACTTGTACGGAGTACGAGTACAGGTAAGTAACAGATCCGTAGTCTCTCCGACGAGGTCGGGCCAAAATCTACAAAGCGTCGGGGGTTGGTAATACGTACCTCCACTGTCCAGCCTCTTCTGGCCCACATCAAAAGTGCCAGCTTCACTAGGACTGGAGCTTTTTCGATGCAAAAACCAGGAATTGAGTCTATCCATCGGTCCCTCCCTCCGCCTTGCGTATTTTCGTCTCTAGAGAGAGAGGGAGAGAGAGAGAGAGAGGGAGAGAGAGAGAGAGGGAGAGAGGAGCCGCATAGTCGTCGTCGGTCGGGTTAGTTTAGGTATTGATCTCTCCGCCACACATCCTCCCCACCATATCCCTCCCCCCCCCCCTTATCCTCCGTCCCGCTCATTCTCAATCGCGATCCCGAATTGGGCCCTTATCCATCGATATTCCTCCCCCCCTTCGGCATTACGATTATTATGTCGTATTGACACATTTCCCACAACGACGACAACATGTCTGCCGGCATTGCTATGAAACGGCTAGGCGGCCGAGGTACTGTTGAATTTCCTTTTCTGTTTTTCTTCGTCATTTTCCTTCATTCTTCTTCAGGATGCAGCGCATACTTTCATTGTACTCCTCCCACCCAGCCTAACACAGATGTAATCATTACTAGCCGTCAACGCCGACGACGATGATGACACGGAGCGAGAATACGACCGTCTACGCGATCTAGCACGCGACGAGGCCAGAAAGCGAGGCGAATGTTATGAAAAGGTAATGTCTTGGTCGTATATCCTACTCTCCCCCAAATTGCGACACACAACTTCCCTTTTTTTTTTTTAAAAAAAAAAAAAAAAAAAAAAAAAAAAAAAAGGGAGAGGAAGAGGAAGACGAGATGAAGAGGGTTAGAGAAGAAAAAAAGAAAAAAGAAGAGAAGAGGAAGAAGAGAATGTGGAACAGTAGAGCGTACAAAGCTGACAGCTCGGCGACACACACGTTTAGTCCAAGAGGGCCTACGAGGATGGCGACGGCGCCAGGGCAAAGGAATACTCCAACCAGGGGAAAGCCCACGACCGCAAAATGGACGAGTACAACGAGCAGGCCGCCAACTTCATATTCCGGGCCAACAACGCCCCAGGGAGGGTAGAGAGCGACGCCATCGACCTCCACGGCCTCTTCGTCGAGGAGGCCGAGCGCATCCTGGAGCAGCGCATCCGCGCCGACCAGTCCAGCGGCCAGGAGCACCTCCACGCCATCGTCGGCAAGGGGAACCACTCTACCGGCCACGTGCAGAAGATCAAGCCAAAGGTCGAGGCCCTGTGTCGCGAGCTGGGGCTCAAGTACCGCACCGAGGACAACGAGGGTCGCATCTACATCAACCTCCAGGGCGGGGAGCCGATGTCTTCCGGTGGCGGTGCTCAGCATGGGTACCCCGGACATCACCAGAGCCAGCAACATCATGGGCAGCAGCAGCAGCAGCAGCAGCAACATCATCACCAGAACCAGAACCAGCACCACCAGAACCAGCAACAGCAGGATCCTGTCGAGCAGATCGTGGAAAAGATGCTGCCGCGTGTTCTGCGCAAGCTGGAAAAGGCTTGCTGCGCCATCATGTAGATGCTGTGCATGACTTGATGCTTAGCGAAAAGGCTCACTATATGGCATCTGTCATACTCTTCCCGCCGGTTCGGGGGGCGGGAGAGCAGAGCTGTCCCTATATTGTGTGTTCTGATAGGGTGTTACCGCCCGTCATGCGACCTTCACGTGCACCCCATATTTTTCTTCTTGGCCCTCTTATGAGGATCTTATCCTCGGAAGAGGGGCATTATATTATATTATCGTCACACAAAAAAGAGGGGTGTTCGTCTCTTTTCAGCATGTCATCGTGGTATGCCAGAGGTTGATGGTTTGATGGTTCATTGTTGATCGTTGATCTAGTCTAGAAGGGACGGATCTGACGTTACTATAGTTGAGTCCCGCTTACCTAATCTATGATCCGATTTGCTATGTCACAAATACTCTACCGCGCGCCTCGATTCCCGCACGCGGTCTTGCTTGTATATCGACCTTCGTGTCTCTACCGTTTGACTTAACACAGCCCTTATTAGAAAAAAGCATAGGGACAGCTCTGCTTCCGTATCAATAAACAGAGGTAAAGAGTATGACCAGTGACGTACTCGTACATTTGTGGATGTGTGGGAGAACCCCGCCAAGAAAAAAATAGCGTCAGGGAGTTTCAACCGCCCCTCCTTGAACAGGTCGACTCCTTCACATGCTCTCACAAGGTCGTCGCGTCTGCCGACATGCCATCACACGATGCCGGTATGCCTCCCCCTCCCTTCCCTTCTTCCTACTCCCCTTCTATCTTCCACGATACCTTACTATACCCTCCCATCGGACACTGACTGCCCCGGCCCCCAACCCCCACTCCCATACACAGTTGATCATCGTCTCTGGTCTGCCAACGTCTGGCAAGACGACACGCGCCAAACAGCTCAATGAGTACCTGACGAAGCGGACGGCCGACACGAAATATCGCACCCACTACATATCCGACGACACGCTGTCCATCTCACGGACGGTGTACGACCTGTCGCCCGACAAGGTGCGTGCCCATACGCGGTCGGCCAACGCCTCGGAGAAGGATGCGCGGGCGGCCATCTACGGCGCGGTGAAGCGCGTCCTGTCAGACAAGGACATCGTCATCCTAGACGGGCTAAACTACATCAAGGGGTGGCGGTACCAGCTCCACTGCGAGGCCAAAGCCCTCCGGACGCCGAGCTGTATCCTCCAGATCGGGTCCACGCGGCAGCAGGCCGAGGAGGTCAACCTTGAGAGACTACGGAGGAAGGGGGAGGGGCAGGTTACCGAGAATAGCAGCAGCAGCAATGACGATGCTGCTGCTGCTGAAGAACCGTACGAGCCGGAAAACTGGGACAACCTGGTCTTCAGGTACGAGGAGCCCAACCCGATGACCAGGTGGGACAGTCCCCTCTTTGCCCTGGTATGGGACGACGGCGAGGAACAGACGCACCGCGTCTTCGACAGCCTGTGGGATGCTATCGCCGGGGAGGGCCGCAAGGCCGTGCGCCCGAACCAGTCCACCATCCAGAGGGGCCGCGACGCCGGAGGAGACTACCTGTACATACTCGACCGCGAGACCCAGGCCATCGTCAAGCGCATTCTCGAGTACCAGCAGGAAGGCGGCGGCGACGGCGGCGGCCAGGTGACCATCGCGCTGGACGCTGATGGAAAGGACGACCTCGTCGTCGACCTGCCCGTAGGCAAGACGGTCGGACTCCCGCAGCTGCAGCGTCTACGGAGGGCCTTTGTCGGGCTCAACCGTGGGGGTATCGGGTTGGAGGCCGTCGGGAACATGGCGGCTGATAGGCTACGGGAGGCGTTTGTGCGGTATCTCAACGACACGTTTGAACAGGATGAATAGAATGCTGTCATGTGTCGGGCTATTTGTTTTGGATTATGAATAATACTAGAGTACGTATGTGCTGTACGCAATGTACTCTACGGGGAGTAATGATAATATCGCGTGCGGTCCAATGTGTCTTGGGATGAAGGTTGAAGATGATGCTCGTGGCTTCCATATTGATGAATAATGACGTCTGAGGGAGGGACTGACTGCATGCGCATGGATTAACGGGGAAAGGGCTCGAACACCGACCTCCCTCTCTCGCCCGTCCAGGCAGATGTGTGGTGGCGTCTACAGCACCTGGGAGAGTGTGTTGCGTGGACAGGCAGCTGCCTACCGCGGCCCTGTAGAGAAAAGAGTTGTACGGAGCGTTACGGCGTGATTGGGGGGGGTGCCATAGCACGGATTTTAGGCTGTCAGTGAGTGACGCTGTCTCACCACGTTTGTGTGTGTCAGCCTGCTGCTGCTGGCTTCCAGGGCCGGATGGATGAGGTGGAAGCTTCTGTACGCTTCCACTGATTGGAGGCGAATTACTAGCACCAGTGCGGTAGAGTCGAAGGGCCAAGGGAAGGTTAGGCTAGGTGCTGGTACCTTGAGAGACGCGCACCTCGCCACCTCCAACGCAAGTACCGGGTGCGCTGAAGTGCGCTGTAGCCGTCCCGCTGTATCGATCTGGCCAGAGATGCGTGTCAATGATTTTCCGCACCGGCCGAGGCTTCCAACGGTGATATCATTGGCCCACGGGCCACTTCTCGCCCGCCATCATGCGTTGCAAAGCAACAAGCAAGGATAGAAGGACAGCTCAAACCAAACCCTGGCCTCTCTCTCTTAACTGAACCTATTCACCTCTCTCTCAACTCCATCAACCAACCTCCCCCTCTCCTCCCCCCCCCCCCCCCCCCCCCCCCCCCCCCCCCCCCCCCCCCCCCCCCCCCCCCCCCCCCCCCTTCTCTCTGCAAACTCCAGATATCCTTTTTTTTTTCTTTTTCTTTTGCCTCTCTTATCTCAGTATCAGCAGAGGACTGGGAGCATCTGTTTCCCTTTTTCCCTCTCTTTCTTTCCCCATCCATTTCCTCACCGGTGCCGATTCTCGGTCACTACCCAAACAAGCAGCACCACCCCTCCTTCCGATATTCAAGAGCTGTCCTCGCCAACATGTCTGCTCATGATGAGGACAAGAAGAAGGTCAACCTGACGTATGTTATCCCCCCCCAATCGCACCGACCGCTACCCTACGTCGCTATTGCTTTTTCTCTTTTTTTTGTCTCTCGCGGCTATCTGGGGATGACGATGATGCTAACATATATTGCCTTACGACTAGCGACCCCTCAGGTGCCGAAATTAAGAACGTCCGTCCCCCCCCCCTCCCTTCCTCCCGCTCACGACTGCGATGACGGAGACTCCATGCCCGCCTCTGGGAAACAAGAACTGACAATAGCACAGGAGGACGATGTGTCTACAGCCATCCTCAAGAAGAAGAAGAAGCCCAACCAGCTGATGTACGTATCTCACTCCGGAGCTGCTGATCCCCGACAGCTTCCCCTCCCATACTGACAACAGTCTCCACAACAGGGTCACCGATGCCGTCAACGATGATAACAGCATCATCGCTCTCTCCGAGGCCACCATGGATGCTCTCCAGCTCTTCCGTGGTGATACCGTCCTGGTCCGTGGAAAGAAGCGCAAGGACACCGTCCTGATCGTCCTCGCTGATGACGAGCTCGATGACGGCAGCGCCCGCATCAACCGTGTTGTCCGCCACAACCTCCGTGTCAAGCACGGTGACATGATTACCATCCACCCTTGCCCCGACATTAAATATGTGAGTTTCCTGGCCTGCCTCTCATATCTTGATTTGCTATTCAGAAGAAATAAAGGCTTTTTTTTTAAAAAAAAAAATGAAAAGAAAAGAAGAAGAAAAAGGAAGAAAAAGAAAACAAACTTCTTGTAGGTTGCCATAGTGCTGACAATCGACCTCCAATATGCAGGCCAAGCGCATTGCAGTCCTCCCCATCGCCGATACGGTCGAGGGCATCACCGGCTCCCTGTTTGACGTCTTCCTTGCCCCCTACTTCCGTGAGGCCTACAGGCCCGTCCGCCAAGGCGATCTCTTCATCGTTCGTGGTGGTATGAGGCAGGTCGAGTTCAAGGTGGTCGAGGTCGACCCCCCGGAGTATGGCATTGTCGCCCAGGACACCGTCATCCACTGCGAGGGTGAGCCCATCCAGCGCGAAGAGGAGGAGAACAACCTCAACGAGGTCGGCTACGACGACATTGGTGGCTGCCGCAAGCAGATGGCCCAGATCCGTGAGATGGTGGAGCTCCCTCTCCGTCACCCTCAGCTCTTCAAGTCGATCGGCATCAAGCCCCCCCGTGGTGTCTTGCTGTACGGCCCCCCCGGTACCGGTAAGACGCTCATGGCCCGAGCTGTCGCCAACGAGACCGGTGCCTTCTTTTTCCTCATCAACGGTCCCGAAATCATGTCCAAGATGGCCGGTGAGTCTGAGTCGAACCTGCGCAAGGCTTTCGAGGAGGCCGAGAAGAACTCGCCCGCCATCATCTTCATCGATGAGATAGATTCCATCGCTCCCAAGCGTGAGAAGACCAATGGTGAGGTGGAGCGCCGCGTCGTCTCCCAGCTCCTCACCCTCATGGACGGTATGAAGGCCCGCTCCAACGTGGTCGTCATGGCCGCCACCAACCGCCCCAACTCGATCGACCCGGCCCTCCGTCGCTTCGGCCGCTTCGACCGCGAGGTTGACATTGGTATCCCTGACCCTACCGGCCGTCTCGAGATCCTCCAGATCCACACCAAGAACATGAAGCTTGGCGACGACGTCGACCTGGAGCAGATTGCCTCCGAGACGCACGGTTACGTCGGTTCCGATGTTGCCGCCCTCTGCTCCGAGGCCGCCATGCAGCAGATCCGTGAGAAGATGGACCTCATTGACCTCGACGAGGACACGATCGACGCCGAGGTTCTCGACTCGCTCGGTGTCACCATGGAGAACTTCCGCTTCGCCCTCGGCGTCTCAAACCCCTCGGCTCTCCGTGAGGTTGCCGTCGTCGAGGTCCCCAACGTCCGCTGGGAGGACATTGGTGGCCTCGAGGAGGTCAAGCAGGACCTCCGCGAGCAGGTCCAGTACCCCGTCGACCACCCCGAGAAGTTCCTCAAGTTTGGTCTCTCGCCCTCCAAGGGTGTCCTGTTCTACGGCCCCCCCGGTACCGGTAAGACGCTGTTGGCCAAGGCTGTCGCCAACGAGTGCGCTGCCAACTTCATCTCCGTCAAGGGCCCTGAGCTTCTGAGCATGTGGTTTGGTGAGTCGGAGAGCAACATCCGCGACATCTTCGACAAGGCCCGTGCCGCCGCTCCTTGCATCGTCTTCCTGGACGAGCTCGACTCCATCGCCAAGGCCCGTGGTGGCTCGAATGGTGACGCCGGCGGTGCCTCGGACCGTGTCGTCAACCAGCTCCTGACTGGTAGGTTTCTTACCGCGCCCTCTGTGCTTCCTCGAACCCTCGCTAACCCTGCGCGCAGAAATGGATGGTATGACCTCGAAGAAGAACGTCTTCGTCATCGGTGCTACCAACCGTCCCGAGCAGCTCGACCCCGCCCTATGCCGCCCTGGCCGTCTGGACTCGCTCATCTACGTCCCCCTGCCTGACGAGGCCGGCCGTCTCAGCATCCTCAAGGCCCAGCTGCGCAAGTCACCCGTCGCCTCGGACGTCGACCTCGGCTACATTGCTGCCAAGACGCACGGTTTCTCCGGCGCCGATCTGGGATTCATCACGCAGCGCGCCGTCAAGATCGCCATCAAGGAGGCCATCACGGCCGACATTGAGCGCACCAAGGCTCGCGAAGCGGCCGGTGACGACATGGACGTTGATGACGAGGCCGAAGACCCCGTGCCCGAGCTGACCAAGAACCACTTCCAGGAGGCCATGCAGGCGGCCCGCAAGTCGGTGACGGACGTCGAGGTGCGCCGCTACGAGGCCTTTGCTCAGCAGATGAAAAATGCCGGTCCCGGAGCCTTCTTCAAGTTCCCCGAGGCTGGTGCCGGCGGTGATGCCGGCGGTGAAGCTGGCAACTCGTTTGGTGATGCCGGTAACGACGATGACCTCTACGACTAAATAGAATGGAGGGAAGGAGATTTCTGATGCAGTGGGAGGGTTGTGTGAGTGCGTACAGAAAGACGCCCGAGCATTAACGTTGTCCCCAAAATCAAACTTGTATTTTATGTTTCCCTCCCACTGCGGGGTTTTTATTTTTATTTTTCAAAGATCTGCAGTATGCGTGCAATGAAATAACAACTGGCTTTTTTTTCTATGTGTTACTTTTCTTCTCGGTAGTGGATTGGCTCGGGGTTTTTTTTTTCTAAGCAGACGCTCCTTTTTTTTCCTCAGGTTGGACTTGCTCATCTATCTAGATTGGGAGTTTTTGTGGTCTTGTCTAGTAGAAGAAGGAGAAGGAGAAGAGGGAGCGCACGCGGAAGGACGTGTAATGGAGATGATTAGTGGCAAGTCCTGGTTTCGATGTTGGTGATGTTGGTGATGTTGCGTATCTTTCCATCAGGACCCCTCTCGTGATTGATATTCTAAACGATGCAAATACAGAGACGGATGCGGATGCAGATGCAGTTACAAAGCGAAGTGATAAAAGCTGATTAATTTTGTCTGAATAGGTTCATATAAGAAAGAAGAAGATAGATGAATAAAAAAGTAGAAGAAAAAAGAGAGAAATGGTCGTGTCCGTTGGTTCCTTTGCTATTCTTGATTTTTGATTTTTTTTTTTTTTTAGCCAGTCTTTTTTGTCCCTCGTCTGTACTATACGTTATAGCCCAGCCCAACTAGGATTTTTGTTTCTTGTTTCTTCTCTTTTTTTTTTTTTTTGCAGGTCATCTCGCAGTTGTACAGTTCCCGTCCTTGTATATAAGGAGACGGTATATATATATAAAAAAAGGCTAAGGAGTAGGACGAGGAGGACGAGGAGGACGAAGAAGGGAGGGAACAGATGAGAAACAAGAAGAGAGAGAGAGAGGTGTCGGTTCATTTACGCCCGTACCCTTTAGACGGAACCAGAATCGTCAACCTCGCAGACAGCATCTAGACTCTCCCTCGTGACACGAAGCGCCTCATCGATGACCTCCTGAGGTAAAGCTAGGCTTTCCGTCGTTGTACCGCCACCACCGCCACCACCTCCTCCTCCTCCTGTTGTCATGTTGTTGTTTCCATTCACCGTCGACAATTTCTTCCTATCTCCATTCGTCCCGTTTGCGGAAGAGGTCGTGGTAGAGTCTGCGGCGGCGGCGGCGGCGGCGGCGGTACCGGTTCGTACATCTTCGAGGACTCTCCGTAGGAGTTCAGGGTACGACGTTACCTGACCTGAACGGAGGAGTGATAGAGCGTGGGATCGGACGATGGTGGGCCAGTTGGACGAGTGGGAGTTGAGCGAGTGGAGGAGGGATTCTTGTATTCTGGTGTCAGGCTAGATTTTAGTACAATAACGGGGGGGGTTGAAGTAAAAGGAGAAGAGAGAGAGAGAGAGAGCAGAAGAAAGAGGAAACAGGAAAGAATATTTTTTTCTTTTTTTTTAAAAAAAAAAAGAAAAAGAAAAAGAGAAAGAAGAGGTAGGGTAACAAACTTGGTTACGTGACCATCTCGTAGGAGGAGGGCGTTGATCTGAGATCGCAAGTCGGGATCTAGAGTTGCGGGGGTGTAGGATGCTGCCGAGGAGGGGACCTTGACTGGTGTGGTGGTGGGTTGTTGGGCCATTTTTTTTCTATTTTTTTTTCTTTTAAAAAAAACAGGGGGATTTGGGGCTTGGGGTTTGGGTGAAGAAGAAGTAGAAGAAGAAGGAAGGAGAAGGAGAGATATGATGGAAAGGAAGCTTTGTTTTGACGTCTTGAGAAGGGGGAAGGGAGGAAGAGGAGGACCTCTTGGCCCAAGAATGCGATTTTTATCAAAAAAAAAAAAATTATTAAAAAAATCAAAGAAGAAAAAACCCCCCGGAGCTCTCTCTGTTTGCCTGCTTCAGTCTGGGCGGTAATGTTTTTTTTCTCTTCTTTCTTTTTAATTGAAATGATCTGCGTCCATCTTGTCCTCTCCCTTTTGTGTTATCGTCTCGAATCAGCGATAGAGATGGGGTATGGGTAGCGTGTCGGGGATTGTCGTGGGGGGGGGGGGGGGGCAAGAAAAAGGGGATGAGGTGGTGTGGATGTTTTGGTGATGAATTGCTGCTGTTTGGCGTCCCATCCATCAGTTCGATTTGCCCGGTTGTCGTTTGGGCTTTTTTATTTTTTTTTATTTTTTTTATTTTTTTTCCTGGGCTGTCTGGTCGAAAGCCACGAGTTGGCCGCTCGACGCCACACACACCGCGCGCCATGCCACGTCACGCGCCACAATTCTGCACAGCAGTAATGGTGATAGTAGGTAAGTAGTTGGAATGTTGGACGTGAATACCGAGAGCAGGTGAGAATCGAAAACAGAGGAAGCTGCTTCATATCATTCTTGATATACGACTTTCCCCCCTCCTCTTCAAAAGGACAGACTTTACCGAGGTACCTTGACTGGCACTTCTGGATGAACCGTTGCGTTTCCAAATACCCTGTAGCCATGAGTACCCTGTAACCATGAATAATACCCTGTAGCCATGAATAACAAATACCCTGTAGCCACGAATAATAGATCTTCCTGTAGCCACGAATAATAGATACCCTGTAGCCACGAATAATGAATACCCTGTAGCCGCGAGTACCCTGTAAGCAATGATGATGGATTAACCAGGGGATCCTGATAGTCCTGACATACCTGAATTGCGCCTCTACAGGAAACACAGGACAAGTTTTTTTTTTTTTTTTCTGGTGTGTTTTTATCTCGTGACTTTACATGTACATACTCGTACTGGTACATGATCAAATAAGTTGGAAAAGGAGGACCGTGCTTGTCCTGACCGAGTATTCAGTTTCACCTGTATGATAATCTTTTATACATGTATATATATATGCCAGACTTTTCGGAGGAAAGAGAAAAGACCTATACAAGACGGAGAGGGGAGGGAAAAAAAAAAAAAAAAGCAATTCGCCCAGGGAAGAGAAAACATGATGTGGAGAGTGAGCACTACCAAGTAGACGGGGTCATGTGCATCCCAGAGGTTCACATCTCTCGGTCGGCAGTAATGTCGCGTGGCATCTTGGCCCTTGATCTTGTCCTTGTCCTTGTCCTTGACCATGATCGATATCAATATATATAGATATATGTATATATATGTATATATATATCCCCGTATATACTCTCGGTGTACTCTGTACACATTATACTCTGCAAGCTTGTACAACCCCTCTTCTCTCTTGATGGCTCCTACGTCGGCCCGTTTTTCTCTGAAGATTACAGGTACACACACACACACACATATATATATATATATATGTATATATGTAACTGTAAGGTGCATGCATGGACTATATAATAGTAATCTGTACGGAGTTATCCATACCTGCGAAAATATCCACCCGGGGAAACCCTCCCCCCCTGTGGTCCCGGTTCATTGGCGGGGCAGGAGTAGCGGTGCTGCGTGTGTGCGCGTGTGTGCGTACATGCGAGACGGTGGGTGCGTGATGTTGTTGTATGATGTAGCATTCTTGTATTTTAGGTGGGTGTATGTATATATGCACCGAGTGATATCAGACCTTGATCTCTGTGCATGTATGCATACAGATTAGTAGAACCACACACACACACACACACACAGAGAGAGAGAGGGGGGGGAGAGAGAGAGAGAGAGAGAGAGAGAGAGAGAGGTTAAGAGGTTAAGCGGTAGCACCCCATTCCCATACTCTGATCCGGGGAAGAGATGGGACCTGTCACAAAACAAAAAAGGTCAGTTTACCGACCATGAGGGCATTGCAGCAAGGTCCCCCCCCCCCTTCTCTCCCCTCGGCGTCTTTCTTCTTTCCAGAACGGGAAACTCGGTGAGAGGCGTGTACAGGGTAACGATGCATGCTTCTTATGCTGATACACATTGTAACGGATACTACTGTACAGATCTGTACTCTGTACTCTGTAACCATTCATCTCACAACTCTTCTCTCTCTCTCTCGTCATCGTCCTTCCTTTTGACAGATTGTAGAGAGAGAGTGTGTGTGTGAAACTGTCCCGACACCCACTCCCCTACATATTCCTACCATGATCATGGCAAAGGGCGGGGGAGAAGAAGAAGAAAAGACAGGGGCGGGTCGCAGTGATATCTATTACAGCATTGCAGATGATATATACATGTCACACCATATAGTGAGCAAATACTCCAATAATACTCCGTCATACTCCGTACATCCCGCCAGATCATATCCGGATATCGGGCGGAGTAATACCCGTCTGAATAGGCGGTCAACCCGGGGACAGCTTTATGGGAAGGGGGGGGAGGAGGGGGGCTGTCCCTTCTTAGTGATATGATATATACTCGTAAGCCATACAACTATCCTCATCATCATCGTCACTACTCCCTCCGTACAGTCTGTGAGTTGTGGAGCTGGTATCGTTATTCGTCACGTGCGATGATGTAATGTTATCGGTACATATCCGTACGGGGGGGTATCGTTCGTTGTGTACATGAATGATAGTCAGCATAGCATCAGGTTACAAGTGTGCTCCGTAATACTAGCACAACCGTGATGACTGTATCCGCACTTATTCGCAAGACTCTCTACCGAGATGATAGTGCTTGATCAGTACGGGAGTAACGATAACTCCTCGTCTGCAGCCCCGATCACCGGCCACGTAATGTACTCTCATTTTTCGTATCCGTTACATACCGAGAATTCCTACTATTCCTGATCCTTTTACCAAATCTTTTGATGATTTTTTCACCACTCAACGTGGATGATTTATACGCATACACACACACATATACACACATACACACACATACACACACGCACATACATGCACACATACACATATGCACATACGCACATATATGTGCGTGGATGGTAATACGTCACCCCACCACCTAGATGATCGGACTGAAAAGGAAAAAAAAAAGAGAAAAAGGGCTCTCTCTCTCTCTCCCCCTACACACATACTCTCTCTAACACGCCCTCTCTCTACTCTCTCTCTCTCTCCCTACACACATACTCTCTCTAACACGCCCTCTCTCTACACACACACTCTCTCCCCCTACACACATACTCTCTCTAACACGCACTCTCTCTATATATACACATGCATGTGTGTACGTACCCTAGACATCTCTCCAAAACCCACCAGATCCTTCCCTCTTACCCTCAGCATGTAGACCATAGACCATATATATACGGAGACAATGACTACCTACATCACTGCGCATGACAAGCTTCATATCCCAACCCGCCCCGCTGCCCTGCTGCATCTGCATCCGACCACAATCCCTTTCTTCTTCTGCTTCTTTTCTTCTTCTTCTTCTTCTTCTTTTCTTTCCCATTCTCTCTCTCTCTCTCCCCATTCTTCTTCTTCTTCTTCTTCTTCTTCTTCCTCTCTGCCGCCCCACCGCTCACCACTCACCATCCTCTTCCCGGTTCCACTTCTTCTCCATGCAGAGCGTGGCATTCCCTGGCTCGTGGCTCGCCGGCTCCAATCTTGACTGCGTGGTACGTAGCCTATACCCCCCCCCCCGGTCCTCTCCGTCCTCGCGTCACATACACCTTGACGTTCATGGAGGAGGAGGGTCAGACGGACCGAGAGCAAGGAGCAGGAATGGCTGCAACCTGATATACCAACATCAGAGACAACCGGCACACGGACACCATCTCATCCTCTCCATGATGCCCTCCCACGACGCTAACTCCCCACGTCACGTCCCGTCCCGTCCCGTGCCAATCCTGTCCCGTCTCGCCGTCCTTGGCATGTGCGCGTAACGTGTACAGATTTCAGACTGTAACGTATAACAGCCCGTTCTTTTTGTCGTCGTCGTCGTCGTCGTCGCTTTCCCTCTTTTCTTTTTCAGTGTCCCAGCCTCCTCACCGAACCTAGGGTTCCCTTCCTCGGCTTCGGTGAACAGTCGAACTCCGCCCCCTGTTACCGATTTCTCGCTACGGCTCCTTCTCAGTCTCCCTCTACTACTCCCACACGCACACGCGCACACACAACTCCTAGAGCCTGGAACCCTGTCGGAAACCACGATGGATATTCACACTAAAAAGGTGTGTCCCACCTGTCCAGGGAACGGACCACCCCAGATCATCGTCGTCGGAAGGTTTTTTTTTTCTTTAGAAAAAAAAGGGAGGGGAGCGGTGAGCAACTTGCAAAGCCGACTAGACGGACGGACAGACCGTCCCCCCCCCCGGCTCCCCAGTTTACAGTCCAACGTGGCCCAGCCCTTGTCAATCGGGAAAGGGTTAAAAAAAAAAAAAAAGAGAAAAAGAAAAAAGAACGGCACTGAAATGTCAGCCCACCTTGTGGTCTAGACAATCGCTTCATGCCGTGATGCCCATCCTTCTCGATACCATCGTCATCGTCATGATGGCACACGTCCCGTGGCCTGTCCGGGGTCTCGTCACCATTACCTTGTTTGGCAGTATGGCCACCCAGCCTCTGCTGGACCTCCACCCTTGCAAGGTCGCATACATCATACCACGGCCCATGGCTTCGGTCCTGAGCGTGGCCGGTCCGTCCGCCATGACCCATAACCTCCGTGCTCGGTATGATGTGCTGCGTAGACTCTAGAGCATGTATGTGCGTGCGCCCCCGTCCGCCCTCTCAAGCTGCAAGCTGCTCCCCCTTCCCCGGCGGTGACGACTCGCCTGGATCTTGCCAGGTGAACGAACACCATTCGCTGATCCAATCCGGCGCCATCTTGTTCTCTCTTCCCTCAGACACCTATCTTGGCTTTGCCCCCGGGGCTCAGGGGTACTTGCAGCTTGCATTGTTGGCAGCAGCAATCGATGACCACGGCAGATTTTCTTCCTCTTCCTTCTTTCCCTCTTTCCCCTCGTTGTGGTATGCTGTCCAGACTTGGGTGGGAGCGCCGTCTCGTACATTCATCCTCTGACCTGCTGACCACCTCCGTGCGGTCGTGTACGCGTCCCACCAGGATGGAATCAGACGTTGCGGCCCTGAGAAGCTGCCACAGGTGCGGCTTGTTGCGCGCAGGTCCAGTCTCCTGGGTCGGTCGGGTCTGCTCAGCGACCCCTTCTACCGGGGGATGAGTATTCTGCATCTGGGGCTTGGGGCTATATTGCGCTCTGTGCCACGCACTGCCTACGGCTCACTGCACGACGTAGGGGAGGATGATTTATCGGATGCTATATACTAGGCAGAGACGGCGCTTGTCGTGCTCGGCCTGGGGTGAGGTGCAGAGCATTTCCTCCTGCGCAGCGTAGCCCGTTATGAGTTGCCTTGTCGCTCTTGCATCGCACCGTTGTCGCATCGTGGTTTGGGGGGGGGGGGGGGGGGGGGGTGCTGGGGGGAGGGGGGGGGGGAAGCCTCGAAGAAGAAGGGACCGAAAGAAGATCAATAGTGCCGCTAAATTGCGTGGCCCTGTAACGCTCGCACTCGTATCACAGCAACTCGGGCTGACTGGCTGGTATCACCGACATCGTACTACTCTACCATCTGCATGGCTGCCAAGTTTGTGTGAGATCCTTGGGGAGCCGCACAGACAGACAATGGCTGCTCGGTTGAGAGCCTGAGAGTCGCCGTCAAGTCGCACCAATCACTGGTGTCGACGGCGATGCACCTCGAATTCTCGAAACCTGTCTGCCGGATGTGCCGCCCTATGCCTTGCGGTCCATCGTCGGCGGGCCACATGCATCGAGGCGTCCCCTCTCCAGGTTCCATATGTAAGGGATATTGTCTCTTGGCATGCCGGAGTTGACCTGATTGGCCCGCCTGATGCTTGCTCAATCACGGTCTCCCCCCTTCCCATCTCGGACCATTGTTGGATCCTTGATTGATGCGATGCGATGTGCCATACTGGGAACTAACACCGTCTCACTAGACATTCGATATATCGACGCCCGGCCGAGAGAAAAGGAAAGAAGATAAAAAAAATAAAAAACAAAGTACCGGTATGCTCTCTGCGCCGTAGTCGACAGTATACTCGCATCCGCCGTTGTCGCTGTAATTGCCGGCTGGTTATGTGGCTGCTCGTCTGGCCTCTCAGCAAGTATAGCAGTGGCAGCGATGCAGCCAGTGCATCATTGTCACGGTAGCATCTCCACGGCCAGCCAATCGACGCACCATCTTGGGCCGTTTGACCTTGTTCGGGTTTTCATCGTCTCTCAGCGCTTTACTACCTACGCCGTGTTAGTGCTGGTGGCCTGGTACTCGGGCTCACCAGCAGGAATTATCCGTTGGGGGATTCTTCCTCCCCCCCACCCTTTGCCCTTTTGCCTCTTACCTCTTTGCTGCTGCTGCTGTAGCTGTAGCTGTAGCTGTAGTTTTAGCTGTAGCTGTAGTTGGAGTTGGAGTTGGAATCATAAGACCGCCCCTTCCTCTGGGTGTTGAGAATTTCATCTTTTCCACACAGCTCTGGTAGTCATGCTCAGCCCCCCTCCCGATCTGCTGCTTCTCTATCAGGTTAGCAGATGCCCGGGTCAGCGTTACTGCCGGCCGAGATCAAGGATCAAAGAGGCAAGCCGAGTATCCCCCGGCCTTACTCGTGAGAGTAGTGGTCGCCGAATGTTCTCCCGTCATGAGCTTGAATCACGGGGCAGCGCAGCTATGCCGCGTGCGCTGTCGCCGCCGCCACCAACATCATCACGTTTTCTCCGTCTCGGATCGGGAAGAAAAAAAAGAAGAAGAAAAAAAAGGCTGCGTCATCACGAGCAGAGCATGACTGATTATTAACGGTAAGACGAAACTTGCCAGCCCTCGGACAGCGCAGAGCCCGTTGCTCTTCGTTTTGGTGGACCCCACTGAGCACACTGTGTTGGTGAGCGGGGGGGAGGGTATTTATTTGCTGTTTCCAGACTTTTTGCTTGTTTCTTTGCCGTAGATTCTCGTGTTGGCCGAAGTGGGCATGTGGCGGCTGGCGTGTGTGTGTGTGTGTGTGTGTGTTTTTGGTGTGCTTCTCGTACTTGTACTTGCCAATAATTGGCAAGTAGGAGGATATAACTGGAGAAGGACGATTAGCATGTTCTCGACTCTACGAGTATTACAGAGTACAGATATCCTGCGTCCTCTTTTTTTTTTTCCGTGGCTCTCCTTCTCTTGTCATTCCCCATCCTTTTCCTTCTGCACCTGGCAACATCCCGGCGGGCGGTCTCGGCAATAGTGATTTAATATGGGAAGCCTATTTTTGGAATGGGCAATGCCAACCAGGCAGTGACTGACTGATCACTGCTACCCAAGTCAGCGACGAGTGCGCTGGTCGGTCCCCAGATCAGCAGTGATTAGTAGATATCGGTATCAGTATAGAGGGGGGCCGTGATGGGAAAAGAAAGAAAAAATTAGGAGATGGCTACGACTGCGGTCAAGGATTGAAAACCCTTCAGACCAGAGACAGGTCAGGTCAAAGTCTTTTCGAGGCTCCCGCACAACGGCAGGCGACGGGAGAGGCAACTTATCATGTGACACCAGGGTACAAGTACCAAGCAAGGTCTGATGGCATCTCGGTCGAATTTTAGTGCTCTTGCCACTGAGACAATCGCAGTGTACGGCTGTGTATAGAGATATATGTGTGTGCTCCAGACGTACCTCGTAATACCGAGTGATCCATAACCGTCACCTGCCTGCTCGAGAAGTACACACGGGACTCTGATCAAAGGCGCAGCAAAGCGACGGGCCTCCTGTCCACACAGTGCTCAGTCCACCCACTCTAATGACTGGCACACCCACACGACCAGGAAAGAAGGCTAATCAAGTTAACAAGGCAGAATGGCCCAAAAGGGGTACAAGCCAGGCGGCTGAGCCGCTTTGCTGTGCCAGTCGTACCCATCGACCACTCTACCCGCGCTGTCCGCCCTCTCCCTCTCGAGTCCCCTGGTAGGGGCCCAGTGAGTTATTGGAGACCTTGTGCGATGACCTACTACCGCAAAGGTTTAGTGCCACCCCACAGCTGCAGATGACCTGACCCACGTCAGCGAGTGCGTCCTTGGGAAGTCTGGCTCTTGAATTATTGCAGTGTTATTGCTTACTCCGTATCTCTCGGGGTACGAAGTAAGGATATTCGCAGGTCCCCCTCTCCCCCTTTCCACTCTGGCTTTTAGAAAGAAGCTCAAGTTTCTTCATACCTGGCAGTGCTCGGTGCCGAATACGTGGGTGGGTGGTCTGGCAGATGGGCGTCGCCAGGACTGAGGTCCGTCTGCGATTCACTCTGTTTTTTTCTAAGGTTGTCGTGTCTCTCATTCCTTGACACTCTAGGACCGACGACCATATAATGGCACCCCGTAGTATGCGTCTGCATGTGTGCCAATACCTGCATGACACTTGTCAGGAAAAGGAAAAAATAGAGAAGGAAGGGGGGAGGGGGAGGGGGAGGATAAGAGATACGAGACCATGTGGCTTGGTAGGATACGATAGTGTATGACAATACCAGACAGGCATCTGGCAATTGCAGAGCAAAAGGTGTGGTGAAAATACCAATCGAAGACCTCATAACACTATGCCTACCTCATGGCTGCCCCAGCCTGGCAGGCCAACCCCGGCCACTCTGGCCCGATCAGACAGGGAGGCGGATCGGAATCGACGAAGCTTGAGGTCGAGACCAAGTATGGAGTACGAGGTACGAGTAGCAGCTGAGTCGATTACAAGGCGTATGGCATCGCAATATGTTGTCGTACACCCCGTATCCCGTATTGGGTAGCATGTTGGGAACAAGCTGGCCGCAAAGCTGGTAGCAATGTCGGATCAAAATATCGCAAATGCAAGACCGTCGTCGGGTCTCGTCGGATCATGTCAGTAATCAGGGCCAATCCGCGCAGCGGCCCAGTCGAGTAAGGTGTATACTCAGAGGAAGGAGACCGTGATTATACAGCAGACGGGCTAATCATCGTGGACTGATTATCGTGGACAGGTTATAATGGGTGGTGAGTGTGTGGGTGTGAGTGGTGAATGTGTGGGTGGTGCTGTCGTGTTGCCTAATCTCGACCTGTGCTTGTACGACGACGTACACGAAGAGGTACAAATATCTATATATTACGGATTACAGGTAGTTAAGGTTAACATCGAGCACACACACACACACACACACACACCACCTCCCCCGTCTGCCCGGGGGTTTGAGGCGATAGAAGTAATATCCGAGGAGGGTATTGTACAATACACATGTACTAATATTATGCCGTGGCACTGCATTGCATACGGGGCCGTCAGGTTTTCGGGCCAGAATGTTCGGCGCAGAACTGGCAGGGTGGTTGCTGGGTGGTGAAGGATGATGGATAAGGAATGATTCCCATGTTGGCTTGAGATTTGGTACAAGAATCGGTACTCGTGCATCCTGCACGTATAGCGTTCCAGTATTTGCAGTTCTACGGAGCAGATGTCGAGCGGATGGATCTGCTCCAGGTCGCAATGGTAAAAGACAGAGTGATCTGGAAGACTGAGGAGTACTCGTGATAATACTGAGTAAGGGGCAGGTCGCGGGTACCTTGATTGCCGCTCCTGCCTCGGTGCTAGGGATGGTGCTACTCGCGGTAGGAGAGAGTACTCGAGTCGCACCTTCCCTACTTCCTTGCCGCGGAATGTCCAGTAGCAAAGGGAAGGAGCGATCCGGTACCGGCCGAACAGGAGCACCATCGCCACTTCAGGTTCGTACTCGTAATGGTTCAGCATTGATATGAAGGGATAGTATCAAGTAGTACGAGCATCCTCATTGACACGAGTATGAAATATTGCTCTACCAGCACGCCGCCAGACTATGGAGTAATAATACTATCACGGTACGAGTACTCATCCACTCTCTGTCCACCTACTCCTCCGTGTACCCTGAAGACCCTGCCGAGGATCCACCTGCCTAGGCGCAGACAAGTGGGACCAAGGCTTGGCTGTGAGGCTTGTTGAAGCCGATGGCCCCTGGGTGCGTTGAAGGTGCAGCAGGTGTGTGAAGCTGGGGCAAGAGCGAGTCGGTCGGTGGGAGCCATGGGGACTAGCAGATTGTGAAGCACGCTCGAGTTGACTTGGTTATGGAGTACAGGTACATACGAGAAAGCCTAAAATGGCTGGCAGTCGCAGACACATATGGGCAGTTGTTCTAGGCCGTCATACCCGCCGTAGCACAGCAGTCCAACCTCTAGGGGTACACTAGACACCTGCCAACCACCGTCCGGTCGCGGCATTGCACGTACCCTATACTTCATCGACTGTACAGACCAGGATTCCCCCGGAGGCCCCACCGCCATATCGCCATCACCGTCGACCTAACCCACAACGGCGGTACAGCTCCCACCTCAACTCTTGTCGCCTCTGTAAATCGCCTTCTTGCCCCCCCCCCCCCCTACCTAGTCTTAGTCTTTGCTTTTTTCTTCGTCTTTCCTTCTTCCTTTCTCTTCCTGGCTTTTTTTAATCAATTTTTATAATCATCACCCGGTTCTGTATTGCTTGATATTCAACCATCATCTTCTCCCTCCTCTCCTAGCGCATGTCGTCGCATTGTGCCGCGTCCCGTCTCCTCCTTCCCTCCACTCCCTCCTGCTACCCGCCCTATCATCGACTTACGCGCTCTCTCAGACTCGGGGACCGTTGCAGGGTCTATAACTACTAGTTGTCTTAGGTCTTCATCTGCTGGCCCCCATTCTTTGGTCTCTCTCCTCCATTCGCCCTATAGGCAAAAGCAAGTCTGCGTCTTTGCTTAGGTATAGTAAGTTGCGCTCTGCCCCTCCACCAACGAATCGGCTACAACGCTAGATTCCGGAGCTTCTCTATCTTCCTCTCGTTGTCCCTCTCCCCCCTTTCTGCTCTGCCAGGTCTAATACTTTTTCTTTTAAAAAAAAAACATCGACTATCCTGTCTTGAAGCTTCTTTACCTTCTTTTCTTCACCTCATCTTCACCCGTCTTCCTCCTTCCTCTTCTCCTTCTCCCCCCTGCCCTCCCTCCCTCCCCCCTCCNCACCCCCTCCCACTTCTCACCTTGACCTCACTTTCGCTCACAATAACATCGTCCCTTGTCAGAGACTTGCATACCACTCTCACCCCGTTATTCGTTTCTTGTGTGTCGTCCATCGCCACCCGACGGGCAATGATTCAATCCCGGTGATTTGTCTCTTCCTCACTCGCTTTGTACGTCATGAATAACTTCTACCTGACCTCTCCCCCCCGACCCCGACACATTCTACTACCCGGCTTCGGCTTCGTCCTTTACATATCTGGAGTTGCCTTGGGGGAGAACCACACACCGTTCTTCCTCCACCGACCTCCCCTCCCTCAGGTCTTTCCTCCGGCGTCGAAGCGGGCTCAATTCCAATCCAGGTGACTTGGGACTTCAATCACTTCTCTCGTGACCTGCAGTGGAGACTTCCACTCTTGGCGCTGGGGACCTAGCTCCTGGGGCTGGATCCTTTTCTTCTTCTTGCCCGCGATCACATTTTCCACCGCGCACCATTCTCACTTCTACTTCAGACTGACACACCCATCTTTCTCCTCACAGTCTAGCCCGCCATGGTTGCCGTACGGCAGGCCCAGGCCCCGCCGGAGCGGCTCTTCAACAACCTCGACGACCGGCCCTACACTCCCTCCTCTCCTCTCTTCCGCCCCTACAGCCTAGTCGACGACATCCTACGCAAGACCCAGTACCTATACGCCCTCGTCCTCCTCGTCACCTTTGTCACTCTGGCAGCGTGGTATAGCGTCTACAATGCCAAGAAGGAGGACATCATCATCCAGTCCCATGTCAAGGGACCCGGGGGCAAGCCCTTACCCATCACCAAGCGCAAGAAGCGGGACAGCCAAGAGCGCAAGATCGGGCCTCACTTTGGCTTTGCTGCCAAGAATGTCTTCCGCTACCTTGCTGCCATGGTCTTCTTCACCTACTTCGGGAGCGGCGCGTCCATGTTCGTCCACGCCTTCCGCTACGATGACCCGTACAAGTGGTCTAGGGAGGGTCTTCCGTGGGCCGGTGAATCGAGCGTTGTATGTCTCATGCCCCCCCCCTCCCCCAGCCATGGTGGCACTGGCTGTAGCCATCGTGTATGCCGAGAACCCAATGCTGACACAGGCTACTCTCCATAGGTCAATGTCACGGGTGCCACCTTCTTCTACCTGTACATGTTCGTCTCCCTCTTCGACTGGCGAAAGGGTCCCAACGTCGTGCACCTTGTCGTCTGGTGCATGGGTCTGGTGGGCGAACTCACTATGTCGTTCTCGACCTTCATTGCCGCCTCCGAGTGCCACTTCAAACGCGTAGTCGTGGCAGACGGCGACCGAGACGACGACTCATCTGACTGCGTCGACTACTGGACCAGGATCGACTTGTTCCTATACTTTGTGCGCATGCTGCATCTTTTGGCGTTGATCTCCCTCTTCTCCCTGGCATGGCTGCTGAAGATCCGCCGGAGAGCCGACGAGAAGCTCGAGAATGGAAGTGCCGCTGCCGAGTCGACGCCGCTGCTCAACGGGTCAAGGAGGTCATACGACACACACGGCACCAATGGTAATGGGAACGCCAACGCGAGCGCCAATGCCAACGAGACGACCATCGGCGGGAAGCAGAGACGGTCAATGTCCAATTCTGTCAAGCCGGCGAGTTCTGGCTCCGGCTGTAACGACGACCATGCTGCCTTTTACCGCCCCTCTAAGCTACCACGCAAGACGTGGTGGGAGTACCTGAGGGGATACTCCCTCTTCTTTCCCTACCTGTGGCCCAAGGACAGCTTCAAGCTCCAGATGCACGTCATGTCCTGCTTCGTTCTCATCATGCTGCAGCGCCTCGTCAACGTGGCAGTACCTACCCAGATCGGTGCTGTTGTCAATGACCTCGAATCTATCATCAAGAGCGTCAAGGCTGGCGACCCGCTGACCATTTCTGTCTTTCCCATCAAGAATTTCCTCATACTTGGCTTCCTCTGGACTCTGCAGGGACAGTCGGGCCTGCTTGGGGCCTTCCGGTCGCTCCTCTGGATCCCCGTGTCCCAGCACTCGTATCGCGGCCTGACGACGGCGGCCTTTAACCACGTCCACTCGCTCAGTCTCGACTTTCACCTGTCCAAACGCACGGGCGAGGTCCTCTCGGCCCTCAACAAAGGGTCTGCCATCAACCAGTTCCTCGAGCAGGTGACCTTCCAGGTATTCCCCATGCTCTTCGACCTTTTCCTGTCCATCTCGGTCTTCTACGTCAAGTACGGGGCCCTCTACGCCGAGATCAACATGGTGGACACATGCTGGTACCTGTACATGACCATCAAGATGGCGTCGACCCGTGCCGACCAGCGACGAGAGATGACCAATGCGGACCGCGAGGAGGAAGCGGTGAAGAACGACTCCATCTCTAGTTACGAGACGGTCAAGTACTTCAACGCCGAGGACTTTGAGTCCGGTCGCTACAGCGACAAGGTTGGCACCTTCCAGTCGGCCGAGGCCAAGGTCCAGCTGGGCATGGTCATGATGAACATTTGTCAAGCCATCGTCTTCAACCTCGGCCGTATCACGGCTGCCATCATCTGCGGCTGGCAGGTGGCAGTGGGCCTTCGTACTACGGGTGACTGGTTCACCGTCGTCTCGTACCTGACGCAGCTGCAGGGGCCCCTCAACTTTTTCGGGACATTCTACCGCACTGTGCAGCAGGCCATGATCTCTGGCGAGAGGCTGCTGGAGCTCTTCAAGATCCAGCCGACGGTGGTGGACACGCCGAATGCTAAGCCCCTCGAGAATTTCCAGGGCCACATCAAGTGGGATAACGTCAGCTTCTCCTACGACCGCCGCCGCCCGGCCCTTCGCAACGTGAGCTTCGAGTGCCTCCCGGGAACGACGACGGCCTTCGTGGGCGAGTCTGGCGGAGGCAAGTCCACACTGTTCCGGCACATGTTCCGGTACTACGACTGCGACGAGGGCACTATCGAGCTGGACGGCAAGAATGTCAAGGACCTGACGATACAGTCTGTGCGGCGCCACATTGGCGTCGTCCCCCAGGACACCACCCTGTTCAACGAGTCCCTCATGTACAATCTCAAGTACGCCAACCCCGACGCCACCGAGAAGCAGGTCCAAGATGCGTGCAGGGCCGCGAGCATCCATGACCGCATCATGTCCTTCCCTGATGCGTACCACACGCAGGTGGGCGAACGCGGGCTACGACTCAGCGGCGGCGAGAAGCAGCGCGTCGCCATTGCCCGGACCATCCTCAAGGACCCCAAGATCATCATGCTCGACGAGGCTACGTCGGCCCTGGACACGCACACGGAGCAGGAGATTCAGGACAATGTGTGGAAGATTGGTGAGGGCCGCACCCTTCTCATGATTGCGCACCGCCTCTCGACAATCACCCACGCCGACCAGATCATCGTTCTCCACGCGGGCACTGTTGTGGAGAGGGGCACCCACGATGACCTCCTGGCCAAGAAGGGCCGGTACGCGTCCATGTGGGAGAAGCAGATCCGTGCAGAGAGGGCCCTCGACGCCGCGCGCGAGGCCCACCTCAAGGCTGCTCGAGCCATGAGGAGAGCCAACATGGGCATCAGCAACAGCCAGGGCAGCTCGTCTAGCTGCGCGGGAGGCTCCAATGATGGCGAGGCGGATGCGCAGTGTCACAGCGGCGAGCAGACTTCTGCGTCTTCGGCCGGGTCAGCGACCGGTTCGGACACGGACTCCACGCTTTCTGACGAGCGAGACGATGGGGGAGCCGAGTCAGACAGCCGACAGGGACGATGAGCTTCTCTCGACGATTCCCCCCTCCTCTACTGCGTTTTTCTTGCTCTGAGCGGCAGCATCCACTCTCACGCACAACACGCACACGCACACGCACACACACTTTACGCCTCACGCTTTACATACACACGAGATACGCTTTTTTTCTTTTCGACTTAATTTTTTTTTCAGTACAACTTCATTACATCAAGTACGGAGTATTGCACTTTCGGTACAAACCGGCTGTCGGGGGAGACGGCATTCCTGACATTCTTGTTCAGAGCCGTCGTCCATCTCTCACCGTATTGAAGCGAGCATATCATGGATGTGGCAAACGACGTGTCAGATGATGGCCCAACAAACTATTTTTCCCGCTGTCCTCTTTACCGCTTCCCCTTCTTTGCCTCTTTCGTTCGCCCCCCCTCCCTTTATGGATCCAGCATGAAGACTGCATGACACTGGCGTTGGAGATTTTCTATCTACTCGTACTTTTCTATTTTTCCAATTTTTTCCGTTTTACCCGTCATTCTCCACTTGGGCACCAGTGGATCTCGACGGGTCAGGGGTTCTCAATCCGGATGCCTCTCTCTCTACCTGATAATAATTGCGCTTTTTTGTTTTCTACCCTATAGGGGAGTTGCTTTTTTTTTTTTTTTTCCATTCGGCTTTCTTTTCTTGCTTTTCCTACCTCTTTGTCCTTGCTTGACATCAAAGATGGTATCACGCTCGGTAAGTATTGTTTATCTTTATCTTATTCTTCTAGTTGTTTATTAGGTATGGCGGGCTGGTTTTTCTATTTCTCTTGGTTTTCCTTGACGAGTCTTGCTTTGGCTATAGCTTTTTTATTCCTCCTATCTCTCATCTTGCATTTTCTTTTCATCCCTTTAAGAAAAAAAAAACAATGGCTGGAAGGAAGACAAAAATATGATGTGACGGGTCTGGAGAAGGAAAAAAAAATCATGAACGGCAACGTGTGGATGAATGAAATGCTTCCTCTTCCCCCCCCTTTTTTTCTTTTTTTCCTTTTCTTTTTTCGAATACGTCTTTCACCACGTGGTGGTCCTATGATACCTGGACCCTTTATTTTCTTATATGATGCACCCTTCCCCTCGACTGTTTACTTTCCTTTTCTCTCTTTTATTTTTTCAAAAACTCGAGGTTATATTCACCACGACAAATAAAAAACAGGGCGAAGTAGGATTTTGCTATGAAGAAAAAACGAAGGAAAAAGGGGAAAAAAAAAGAAAGATAGAAAAAAAAAAGGAAAAAAAAAAGAATTGACATTATGGAACAAAATGGCGTCTTAAGTATTATATAATACTATTGGTTAATACTCGGTAATACGTTATATATAACACTTCTCATGTTCGACTGTGACTGATGAATCATGCATGACTTGACGAAATGTCTGACAAGGAGGGAAGGCTTGATATTGATTCAATAAATCTAGCAAGGGGTACGTACATACAGAGTGGCTTGATACATGGGCCTCGGTGGCTTGAAATGAGTCTTATATGCATTTAGATTCACTACTGCTAACATGTCCGATAAAATCTTCATCTTCATGATATTACAAGATATAATTTAAATGTAAAACTACATAGAAAAAACAAAAAAAAAAGAACAAAAAACCATGATACATGACGACACCTAATACCCCCCCTTTCCTTTCCCCCCTCTATCCATCAAAATTTTTTTTGCATATTATTTTCTTTCCAAGTATCTTTTTTTTAGAAAAAAAAATTGTCGGTCAAATGTCGTCGTCTCTCATCAGAGGAGAGATAGAAAAAAAGGGACATTTTTTTTCTTTAGTAGTTGCCCCTTGTTTTCCCCTCCTCGGGGGAAAAAATAATGCCTTATACCCAAACCTGTCATGAACTCCCATTGTACCTCACACTATACCTTCCTTCTTGCCCTTCTTGATTTTTTTATATAAAAAAAAGTGAAAAGTGTCGGGGGGTATGCAGTTGTTGACATCCGTTGGTGATGAATGATACACGACTCAGAGCAGGGTTCTTTAGTTGTCCTGGCCGGCGGCGGCGGCGGCGGCGGCCTTCTCCTCGCTGAGCAGCTGCTGCTTCTCGTCAACCTCTTCCTCCTCCTCCTCCTCGTCATCGTCAGAGCGGTCGTCCTCGGCGACGTTCAGGGCAACGATACGGTAGGCGATGCGGATGATGTAGAACAGCCAGAAGAGGTTGAGGCACTGGAGGGAGATGAGGAGCGACGACGTTATGACCTGGCTGAGACGGCACTTGTACTGCTGCGTCTCCCAGTTGAGCTCAAAGGGCCCGACGGTCTGGAACTCGGTGAAGAGGGACCAGATGATGCGTAGGTTGATGTAGTGGCGCATATAGATCCAGACCATCATGAAGAGGCCGAAGAAGGGCGCCGTGATGGGGTGGTCGATGTAGTTGAGAACCTTGGACGTGGCCAGGAAGAAGTCGCTGATGTCGTGCGTCGTGTAGACGGCGAGGCCGATGTAGGTGAAGTGGAAGCGGTAGCTGAGACCGATGAGGGCCAGCGAGACAACGTGATGGCCCACGAGCTCCTTGAAGTCCTTGCGCGGCTTTTCCATGCCGAGCACCAGCACGATGGCCTGCTGCAGCCAGTAGGCCGCCTGGAAGAGGTAGTAAAACTTGACGACCCCCGCGTGTGTGCGGTGGGGGAAGTTCTCGTACATGCCCCGCGTGTTGAAGTAGCCCACGGGCGTGCGGCTCATGACGTACAGACCGCAGGGTCCCAGGACCGAGAAGTAGACGGCCGTGTATCCCTGCTCCATGAAGCGCGCGTGCTTGCTCTTCGGGAGCCCTGCCAGCCGCGCCAGCGGCCGGAGCATCTCCTGCATGATAAATTCGCGCGTAAATGACAGCACCACCGTGTAGAAGGTGACAAAGGCAATGTCCCATGGCCCCTTGCCGTACTGGACCTCGCCGCTGGCATCGAGCTGGTCGAGGTGCTCATACGAGAGGAAGATGAAGTGGTGGACCGGGTTGGACGGCGTCGGGTTGACGGCGTAGGCGGCCAAGATGGCGAGCACGATGATGAGGGGCAGGACGAACGTGTGCTTGACGATTATGTGGCGGGCGCGCGACATGAGGCCACGACGACGGCGCCCATGCCGCTTCTTGGAAGAGGCATTGCCGTTGACCGATTTCCCGTTGGCCCCGGAATGCTGTCGGACCGAGTGAAGCACGTTAGTCTGGCAACCGCAGGTGCTGAAGAAGGGGGGGGGGGGGGGGGAAGCGGGAGCGGGAGTCCAGTCCCGGGGAGGCACGCGTACCTGGTTCTCGTAAGCCTCGAGGCTGGCCTTGCTGGTGGCCATGGCGCCTCCGGTGTCGCCAGCACGGATGTCCGACGTCCTCAGAGCGCTGCTCTTCCTAGGACGGCGCTTCAGTGGCTGGGTGCCACTATGCAGCGGGTCTGTCGACGTGTTGAGGAGAGGAAATGGTTCCGACATGGTGACTGATGCTGTCGCGACGGCGCGTCTCCCACCCCGCTATTGTAGTCGCAACGGTGGAATGGGAGGAGCCAGGGAAGAAACGTGGCGCCTTGTTTTGGGTTCTCTCTGAGTTCAATGAGGCTGGCGCGAGGCGTGGTATCATGTATCGCAGTTGACGATGGTGAATTGAAAGCTTGAAGAAGGGTGGAGGAAGAAGACGCCGAGTTAAAAAACAAAAAATAACCGAAAGGAGAAGAAAAAAAGGAGTCGTCGGAGCGCGCGCGACTGTGGATGTGGGGGGTGTCCTGTCCCGACGGAGACAAAAGGTGGAGACGAGAAGGAAGTCGATGCGGAAAGGAGCGACAGTGTTGAAGAGGCGGGAGTTTTGGACGGTCAAAGTCGGAATGGACTTCTCTGAGCGTATGCGCGTGTCTGTGTTTCGAATCGAGTCGTTGAAGCACAGAGATGAGCAGAGGTATAGATAGATAGAGAGAGAGAGATAGAGAGAGAGAGAGAGAGAGAAAAGAGGAAAGGACAGAATGCAGTGTAAGCCTAGAGAGAAACGGTGATCGGATTGTATATGTACGAAGGAGGGAGTTTCATGAGACGGAGCGAACGGAAGGCAAGCTGGGCTGAGACGGCGACGACGTCACAGGGTCACGCCGTAAGCAATCCGTTTTTTCTTCTTTTTTTTTCCCGGTTTTCTTTTCACACGTATTTTTGTCTGGTTACCCCGGATTTTATCTGCACGTTTTCTTCCCTCTTCTCTGTCGAACAGCAGATGATATGTACAAGTCTGAGTTCGCAAAGAGAAGAAGGGGGGAAGATTCCTATTCCATCCGATTCTCCCGAGTCCGTCGTTCCTTCCTTCCTTCTTCCTTCCTTGGTCTTTCCGGTCTTTCCCCATGATCTGCGTGTGCGTTGTCTCCTCCGTTCCTTCCCTCCGGACACTCCCTAGTCTCGACCCTCTGCACGTAATATTACGTCGTACTCGGACTACTTGCACAGTAAGAGTCCAGAGGCCCTCACCCTACATAAACCCTCGCTGGGCTGATTTCAGGGGGACAGCAGAGAAGAGGAGACATGATATAGAGCGAGCAGTAATATTGATACAGCATAAATGAATGTACGGATACTCCGTAGGACATGTATAAGGAGGGGAGAATCAAGACTCGTACATGGTATCTGTACAGACCTCCCCTGCAGCGAATCACATCCACGGATTCAGGTCTGATGGGTACGTGCCTGGCTGTAATTTCACCTACATGTGCAGACTACGGAGTACAGCGCCGGTTACTCTTGGCTCCCCCCTGTCACGTCCTGTAGCGTCCTGACACGCCGCTGTGCTCGACTGGTACTGGGCCGCTGAGGATCCGCCAGGTTCTTCTCCTTGAAATTACCTGCTAGATTAACATTACTCGTACATGCTCGGCGAGCCCAATGCGTAACACCTTGTCGGCACTCGTACTCGTACATGTACGGAGACCCGTAGCAATAGCAGTCTGGTATGAATTGTACACCGTGCTGTTCCGTCATGATTCACCTGTGAGATTGCAATGCTCGTACGGAGTAGCCTGTGGTCTATACTCCGTGCAGGTGAACGCTATATATCCTCTAGGATCCTGTGTTCTCTCCGTTTTTGCCATCTCCGTCCGTGGCTGACTCTAGGTACTTCGTGGCTTACCCTTGACCGAAGGTGGCTTCATGTATGTGGGCCGTGGCTCATCTCACGTGCGACGCCACACCAAGAAAGATCTGAGTGGATGTGGGTGGATAGCCTCATATCTTATTAGTACATGTATGGAAGCACTACGGATCTGTACTTCCATACATGTACCATGACGCTCACTGCTGCATCCATGTCGATATGTCTGGGCAGCTCGACCATGCTCGGCACCATCACCATCCTCCCCCTACTGCTTTCAAGTTTCTCGAGTTTCACACTCAATATGTAAGCCGTCATATGTCCATTCGTTTGTGCTATATACAAGATACAAACAGCATACTATAAACCCCCCTCCCTTTTCTCCCGCTTTGAAAAAAAAAACACCTGATATCTTTTACCTAAACACCAAAAAGCTCATTATATCCATTTCGAAACAACAGAAGATGAAAAGAAACCCCGCTTTTCAGGTTGAGAGATAGACACGGTAGGACAGATCCTCGATATCAAGCCCTCGACCCTTCGCCATCTCTCCTCTCATCCTCGGTAGACAGCGTATCCGTGACCGAAGCGCCATCGTAGGACGAGTAATCGTCATCCCCATACATCAGACGCGACTGCACACCCGGCCACAGCGGCGGCTGCCCAGCCGGCAGACCGTCCGGCCCGCTATGCGACGTGCCGCTCCGGCTCCTGCTCCCCTCCAGCTGCGCCATCTCCACCGACCCTCTGTGCGAGGACGTGCCGCCGCCGTCGTTGTGGCTCCCGCTCGGGCTCCGACTCCTGCTCCTGCTGCCCCCCCTCCTCGCCCTTCTCCTTCTCCGGGCACCGTCGACGTCGCCGTCGGCGCCCCCGCCGCCGGCCTCGCCCTCCTCCTCGAGGACCTGCTGGAGGGCGGTGCCCTGCCTCGCCGGTGCGGGTATGATCGTGACGGGGAGGCTGTCCGTGTCCGTCGTGGGACGCATCCTCTCGCGGATCCGCTCCGCCTGGTTGGCGGCGAAGACCTCGAGTCGGGCGCGTACGGTCCAGCGGCTGCCCGATGCGCGCGTCCGTCCCGGCGAGAGGGATGACTCGTGCTTCGGGTGCTCGTGCGGCGACGGCGACTCGTCGCCTTGCTGATCTTGCAGATCCTGCTGCGAAGGCGGCGCCGCTGGGGCCGGGGCCTGTGCTGACGGTGATCGTCCTACCACGGCGTACCCGCTTTGTGTTGACGACGCCGGAGCATGGCTGATGTTTCTATTGTTGTTTCTGCTATTGCTGCTGTCGTTGCTATTGCTGCTGTCGTTGCTATTGCTGCTGTCGTTGCTATTGCTGCTGTCGTTGCTATTGTTGCTATTGTTGCTGTCGTTGCTATTGTTGATGTCATTGCTATTGTTGATGTTATTGCTATTGTTGATGTTATTGCTATTGTTGATGTTATTGCTATTGTTGCTGTTATTGCTGCTGCTGCTGCTGCTGTTATTGTTGTTGTTGTTGTTGTTGTTGTTGTTGTTGTTGTTGTTGTTGTTGTTGTTATAGGAAGACGTGGTCCTGTCGTCCACCGTACCGTGGCTCTGAGGCAGGCTGTTCTGCCGTGTCAGGTTGATGCCGCCTGCCGTGGCCTGCGTGATGGGATCTGGTGTGCGGTTGGTCGTGTCCGACGGCGGAGGGTACCGCACTGCATAGACGGTGCTGGCCGCGCTGCCTGTGTCGGTCCGGCTGATGGGCGTGGCCACAGGCGCGGGTCGCGAAGGCCACATGTGCGGCCGCAGGATGTTGGACATGGCCATGATGCGTTGAGAGCCGTCCGGCGGCCCGTTCTGGTAACCGGGCGACATGCTGTGAGGCCATGCTGAGGAGCCGCTGGGCCCACCGCCGCCGCCGCCGCCGCCGCCGCCGCCGCTTCCTCTATTTGCGGACTGAATCAGGTGACCGCTGCCGCCGCCGCCGCCGCCGCCGTCTTCCCCGTCGTCGTCGCGGCTGCCGCTCCCGCTGACACGGTGATCATTCTTGCGCAGCCAGGGGTAGTCGGAGGCGTTGACCTCTAGCGTATCGTCGCCGTCAAAGACCTCTCTCCCCAGGATGCCGTCCCTCTTCTCGTCCCGCTCCAGGGCCTCTATGCGCTCGACCCACTCCCAGACGACGACGCTGGCGGCGGCGGCGCCGACCCAGCGGACGTAGTCTCCCCAGCCGGCGAAGCCGGGCTTGGAGATGTCGAGGATGAAGAAGACGATGGGCATGATGACGGAGCCGATGGCCAGGACGGCTATGACGCAGATGTTGCGCATGGCCGGGTGGTAGAAGGCGTAGCGGCGCTTGGTGAGGGAGTAGTAGAGGACCCAGACGGCGTAGAGGATGCCCAGGGCCAGCTGGAACAGGTAGCTGAAGGCCGGGACGGGGTGGACAAAGGTGTTGTCGTTGGAGGGGGCCGACACGCCGTCGTCCGAGTACTTCCAGCTGTTGAGGGCGGTGAAGATGACGTCGAGGGTGATGAGCGCGAAGGCCACCCACTTGATGAGGACCTTCTCCCTCTGGCGGGGGAAGATGCGGATCAGCGTCTGCGCCTGCGCCAGCCAGAGGAAGGTGTCGGAGATGAGTCGGATGGCCTTGAGCTCGTTGCTGCCGATGACCTCCTGCTGCATCGACTTGGCGTTCTGTATGCCCCACGAGTACTGCTGCTGGGCCACGCGGAAGGTGTCTGCCGTCGCCACCGTCAGAGAGATGGCCACCGTCAGGGCCGCCACCTTCTGCAGCCACGGCCGGCCGCCGATCTTGTCCGACCCCGTGCCCCGGCCCGTCAGCGCGCCTCGCCCGCCCAGCCGCAGCGTCCCGCCGTCGACGAACGTCCGCGGCGTCACGAACAGGATGATGACGAGCATGTACGCCGTTATCGTCGTCGCCGCCAGCGCGTAGCACATCGGGAACTGCGTCGCGTAGAACGGGTTCCGGAAGTCTGAGAAGTGGTGCGAGTCGTCGTCGTCGGACGAGCTCAGACTGGAGTCCGCCAGCGGCGTCGACGTCGTCGTCGATGACGTCGGCGGAGAGTCCCGCACCGCCAGCGTCCGGCACGCCGGCACCTCGTACACGCCCTGCTGCGTCAGCGTGTACGGTTCCCACCCGTCGCCCAGGTACAGCACCGCGTTTACGGGCAGTGTCGTCATCGCCGCCGCTCCGCCCGCGCATATCGTGCTCGTCAAGGGTGCTGTCGCTGCTGCCATGGCCGTGGCCATGGCCGTCGTCGTCATGGTGCGTGCGTGCGTGCGTGTATATCTGTCTGTATCTCGTATATACATATATCTTCTGTGTCGTCTCTTGTCGTCCAGGAGGAAAAGGGGGGCGGGGGGGTTGTCGTCGTGGAGGGAGAGGGAGGGACGGACGTTGAACCCTACTGATCGGTCGCCATGGATCAAAGACGAAAACGACCTCTTTGCCGTTGGGGAACCTGGAAGAATGGAGATGCCGTTTCACTCCCGACTTTCCGGATGTCGAATGATCCCGTCGTATCGTATCGTGCCGTGTCGTGTCGAGCTGTTCCGTGTATTCGCTTATGACTTGTTCAAAATGGCAATGCAGTCGACGGGTCGAGACCCTGTTCGCGAAGCGGCATTAGGGGAATCCGAGGTGCCCCACGTGCTTATAATAAATAAAATATTGGACGGGGGGGGTTTTATTTCCATGGAAAAATTTTAGGATGTTTTTAATTTTTATTTTTTAATTGTCCTCATAATGTTGTTACGGTGCTCGTACTACTCTAATACTACGTAGGAGTAATATTCCCATAGTATGAGTGTATTACCTGTCCCGGTGTGTACCTCAAAAAGAGAAACATTCAGCTCCTCTCCCATCGAGTTACAAGGAAAACTTACAAGACACTATGGCCGAGTGGTTAAGGCGGCACCCTGCTATTAAACCAAGTAGCAATTCAAGGTGTTGGGTTCGCCCGCGCGTGTTCGAATCACGTTGGTGTCGAGTTATCTTTTTTTGTGGTCTTTCCAACTTTATTTCCCCCCCGCTTTCTTTCTCATAGTTCCTTTCCTTCTTTATTATTTTTACTTTTACCCTTTTTTGTTTCTTTCTTTCTTTTTTTTTTTACAACGTCATGTAGAAATATTGTTATGATTGTTTTTTTTTTATAAAAAAAAAAAACCATACACATCAACTTTTATTTTGTCTTTGCTTCCTTCGTAAAACTACTAATGACAATTGTACAGATAACTGCTGAATAGAGGGAAATAAAAGGAAGAGAGACCCGATATAAAAATGGAAATGGAAAATGGAAAATGGAAAAAGAAAAAAACACACACACACACACGCATACACGCAAGACTCCTAACTCACCATGTGCGCAATCGCTAAAGAGACCAGAACAAGAGTAATCAAAGCAAAAAGAGAGAGAGAGAAAGAAGAGAGAGAGAGAAGAAGATATATATATATGCATCCCTCCCATCCTCGTGAACCTTGAGAGAGAGTGAGCAATACATCACCGACATGGGAACATCAACATCCTCGGCTCAGCTCAGCTCAGCCCCCTCTCAAACCCCTCAATCGGGATGGGCCCTTGTGCCCGGTACTCCATCCTGAGGACCCAGCTGCCGTCAAAGTCGATGCCTCTGCGCATCTTGGTCCCGGCCTTCTTCCACACGGCACTGCCGAGCCCCATGTCTGCGATGAAGAGCCGCCAGTCGTCCTCGTGCGCCGCGTACGCCAGCGGTTCCGGCTCGTCGTCGTCCCCCGGCGGCGTCACGGCCTCGAGCAAGCCGCGCTTGGGTGCTCCGATCGACACCACGTATCGGGGCTTGACGAACAGTGGCCCGCCGTCGATGACGGCAATCTTGCCCGTCGTCGCGTCGATGCCCGACGGCATGTCCACGGCCAGCACAAACGCCTCGTTGCGGTTGGCCCACTCCATCAGCTCGTACACGCTCGCCTGGTCGCCTACCCGCAGCTCGTCAAACGACATGGCCAGCCCCAGCATCGAGTCGATGATCAGCGAGATGGGGACCCGCGTCCCCGATGCCGCGTGCCGGCGCAGGTGCTCGAAGAACTCGTTTTTGCTCAGGACCTTACCGCCGAAGCCCCGGTACAGGTCGATCTGCCGGCGCAGGTCCTCGAGCAGGTCGCGCTCCCGCTCGATCCCTACCAGGCACACCACCACTTCCACGTTGCGGTTCCGCAGGTGCCGTGCCGCCGCCAACGCCCGGATGCTCGACTTGTTGTTGCCGGCCAGGAGCACCGTCGTCGACCCTTCCAGCTGCGCCGCCGCCGTCGACCCGGACGAGTTGGCCAGTTCGAACCGTACCTTGATCGCCGGCTCCGACAAGGCGCTGAACACCACCTCGGCGATGCCCCGACCAGCGTTCTCGGCCATCAGGTCGTCAGTGAAGCCCAGTTCGTTGGCCGCAATGTTCTCGATGTTGAGCATCTGCAGTGTCGAGATGGCCTCGACCCGCCGGTTCGACGGCACCAGGTACAGCCCCGGTTGAAATGCTTGCTGCGTCGACCTTTAGCCTCCTCACACTCTCTCTCTCTCTCTCCCTCTCTCCCTCCCCCTCCCTCTCCTGTCGTATGATTCCCAGAGGACGGACACTTACAGATGAGTTCACCCGGCTCAGCGGCTGGCCACCTGCCATGGCGGTGCTGGCCTTGCGCGACTGCGACCGCCTCGACATTCGGTTCTTGCTGTCAGGCCTGCGCACGCCATTCGCCGAATTCCTAGCCTCCCGCCCGCTCATGCCGGCGGCGTCCTGCAGGCCATCGTCGGCTTCGCTGTTCCAGAAGTCGGCGTTCTTGGCGATGGCGGCCGGCAGGTCCAGCACGTTCTCCGACGGGTGCAGGTTCTTGCCGCCGTTCGTCAGCGGCTTGGGGCGGCGGTTGTGTGCGACGAGGCGGCTCGCGTCGTCGACCTCGTCTTCCCTCCTCATCTGGTCAAAGATGGTCCGCTTGTCAAACTTGGCCAGGTTGTTCTCGAAATCGAAGTCACCCATCTCCTCCGTCACCTCGGCCGACTCCAGCCCGTTGTCGCCGGCAGCCTTGCGGCCCCTCGCACCCTTCTTCAGCGAGCTGAAGGGCTGGAACGACGCTGTGCTCTGCAGCATGGGCGTCTGCCTCCAACCCTTGCCACGCCCAACGCTGCCGCCGCCGCCGCCGCCGCCGCCGCCGCCGGGAGGAGGCGCGGCGTCGGATTCCTGACCCGCAAGCTGCTGCTTTGTCTGCTTGTTCTGCCGACGTCCCTTCTTCTTCTGGCCCTTGCCCGTCACGGTGCCGCCGGACTCGTTGCCTGCCGCGTCCGCGACGCGCACGCTGCCCATCGACGCGGCCACGTCCGCCACGGGCGTCATGGGGCTGCTCGACGTCTGCACGGCAAACTGCGAGGGGGAGGCGGCTTGCAGCTCCGCAGTCTGGGAGACGGCAACCGGGGCAGGAGGCTTCCCCAGGCTCAAGATGGCCGGGTCGACAAAGGGCTGCGGCGGCGGAAGCGGCGGCGCAGCGGCGACGGGGACGGCATCGGGGACGGCATCGGGGACGGGCGACTGGTATATCGTAGGCTTCGGCAACTCGGGTTTGATCTCGCTCAGGTCGGCAATGTTGGCCGCATCGATTCTCAGCTCGGGCACCCAATTCTTGGTTCCGGGCATGAACACTATATCCCCCAAATGTCAAGACGGTCAGCTACGGTGGCGGCCGTGCCGGCCACGCCACGCCACCCGGTCGGTAGAGCGGAACTCAGCAGGGCGGGACTCACCATTCGTCAGCGTCAGGCCGCTCCCCGCCTCGACATCCCTGACGGTGCCGTGAACATGATAGCCGGCTGGATCCCTCAGGACCACGCGCATATGCAAGCCGATGAACTGGGCGGCCATTCTGGGCTGAACGGGATCGCTCTCCCGGACGGACAAAGATGCCTGGTCCGTTCAGATGAAGGCGGCGGCCCAGGTATAGGTTTGTCGTGCGTGCCTCGACGGCGGACCCCCTTTTGTAGTCGGCCCCGTAACTCTGATATCAAGAAGTCATTCGTCGACGGAGGACTTTCTCTCTTTCTCTCTCTCCTTTTCTTCTTTCTTCTTCCTTCTTCCTTCTTCTTTTTTTCCCGCCCTGTATGTGTCGTATCGGGCGTTGTCCCTTTCGTGGGAGGGGCGGGTAGGGCAGTTGGGCAAAAGGTCGCCTCTTTTTTTTTTTTTTTGGTTGCCTTTTTTCTATTTTATTTCGATTTTTCCCCTTTGCCGTCGCCGCTGTGCGGGGAGGAAGGGAATACGAACAAAGAAAAAAAAACCAAGACTCCACAGTATCCAGGACGCTCTTGGTCTCCTCACACTCGGAAATAGAAAAAGTGTGGATGCGAGGGGCCGAGGGGAAGGCAGAAGCGAGAGATGTAGTCGAGAGAGAAGGAGAGGGAGGGAGAGCAAGAGAAGAAGTTGGTGAAGGTCGAGGTGAGTGGATGGATGGATGCAAGATTGCGGCGGCGGCAGGTGCCAATGGTGTAATGTAAAATGGCACACTGACGTGGTGGCTGCATCCACTTATCGATATGCTCCTTCTTTCTTCCCTTCACACTCAAGGACTCAAGGAGGATCAAGGCCAGACACAGCTTTCAGCGCAGAGATATAGAGCACAGGAGATGGTAAATCAGTCATCGTCACATCGATAGAATACCAAGTAGTCTTATGGTTGTATTGCATGGGAGGATTGCTTTCTCTCTAACATGTCTCTTTTATTATTTCATTGCCTGCACTTTTGGGCTCTGAACAGCATCAACAGTTCCGCCCCCCTCCCCCCAAAACCTCCATCACGATGAAGAATGATATCAAGACGCCCTCCCAGATGCCCATACACCCCCGTAAAAACACACACGCACAGAAGATGCGACGAGAGGGGGGGGGGGGAAAGAAGAAGAAAAAAAGACATGCAATCATGATGCTCAAGCAGCCCCCTTGCGGTTCGTGATGAAGTCCCCGATCGACGACGACTTGGGTCTGTACGATGCCAGCGCCTCCTCCACGCTCGGGAGCTGCTTGTAAAACTCGCATACCCTCGGGTGAGCCATGACCTTGCTCTTGTTGAAGTGCAGCACCTGCAGCCCTTGCTGGCTGACGGCTCGGCTGAGCGCGACGTAGGCCTGCCCCTTCTCAAACACCCTCCCCAGGTCCACCGCCACCCGCTCCAGCGTCTGGCCTTGGGCCTTGTGGATCGAGAGCGCCCAGGCCAGGATCAGCGGGAGCTGCGTCCTCTTGGCCTGGACCTCGCCGTTGGGCAGCTCCACCTTCCACTCCTCGGGCTGGCACAGGACCGTGCGCGAGCTTCCGTCGACCGCGATGAACTGGACCACCGGGTACTTGTTGTCGCCCTGCGCCGACGCGCTCTGGAACTGCTGGAGCTTGGCCCGGGCCTTGGCCAGGGCCGCCGAATCCGGCGCGTCGTCCTGGCCGAGGCCCATCGACATCTCGAACGACTTCTCGTCCGAGAAGGCAATCACCTTGCCCAGGGATCCGTTGACGAGCGACGCGTCAAAGTTCTTGATGAGCATCACCTGCGCGCCCACCTTGAGCTCGATGACCGGAGGCGCCATCATGTTCTGCAGGAGCTTGTCGCGCACCATGGGATCTCCCGAGTCCGCTGCCGCGAACCGTCGCGCCTCCCCCGGCAGCGCCCGCAGCCGCGACACGTTGGAGTGCTCCACCTGCGCCCTCGTGGGGAACAGCTGCGCCATCTCGACGCCGTCGTCAAACTTCAGCGGCCGCGAGAGCGCCCTGAAGGCCTGCTCCGTCTCGGTGCTTATCCTGCCCAGGCGCATCTCGTTGAGCATCTCGGCAAACCGGGGGTCGCGCTGGCGGAACACCTGCGTCAGGCCAAACGTGTAGTCTACCGACGTGCTCCACGTCGTGGCGTCGAATGCAAACTTGACCTCCCGGTTGGCTCCGGCGTCCGGCACGGGCGGCAGCTGGAAGAAGTCGCCGGTGATGACGAGCTTGATGCCGCCCCACGGCCGGCCGTTGTTTCGGATCAGCCTGCCGACCTGCGACAGCTTGTCGAACAGTTCGCCGTCCACCATCGAGACCTCGTCGATGATCAGAAACTCCGTCTTCAGCCAGCGGTTCTTGGCCTTGGGGTTTCGGCGTATCTTCTTCACCAGGATGTTGGGCGGCTCCTTGCCCAGCCCGATGCCTGACGGATACGGTTAGCAGTGTGGTCCGACAGATTCCGTCCGTGTGGGGAGGGCCCGGTGCGTACCCGCGAAGCTGTGCAGGGTGATGCCGCCGATGTTGCACGCCGCCAGGCCGGTGGACGCCGTCACGGCGACGCGCTCCGGGGCCCTGGCGTGCTTTTCCTTGAGATCCCTGATGATGGCCTTCATCAGGACCGACTTTCCTGTCCCGGCCGGGCCGGTGAAGAAGACGCTCTTCTGCTGGTTGACGACGAGATCCCTGACCATGTTCTGCTCCGGACTCAGGGAGATGGCGGCGTTCAGGGCCGGCCCGGGATCCTTCTCGGACCCGTCTCTGCTCTCTCGGCCGCCGGCTTCCTGGGGCTGGCGCTGATTCTTGAGCAGCCGCCGCTGCTCCTTTATAGCGCTGGCAGAAGGGTCCAGAAAGTCCTTCCGAGCGCTGTGCGCAGGCGTCTTGGCGACGGACGGCTTGGCGGCCGGCGGCTGAGGTCCATCTCCTGCAGGGGGGTCCAGGAACGACGCAGGAAGTGTACGCTTCTTCGGCGGCGGCGCCTTGAACATGCCTTCGTCCTCACCGGAGGACCGGCGTTTCAGCGAAAGGGACGGGGCAGACGCCGCATCCTCCTTCTTTGGGGGCTGCAGATGTGACGGCGGCGACGAGGACCATTCTACTTCCTGCGTGGATCTCAGAGGAGGAGGAGGAGGTATATTCTCCTTGGCTGCCGGCTCTGCCTTTCTCGGCATCGGTGGTAGGGCCGAGGGTGCCTCGAAGTCCAGGTCCAGATCGGCGTCGTCGCTGAAGTCATCCTCGAGGAAGAAGACCTCTGGCTGGGCCTGGGCCTTGGGTATCGTGTCCGCTCCCGGCATCGTCAGGTCAACCACGTTGCTCTTGCTGTCATCGCGGATCGGTTGTTCGTCCCGAAACGAGTCTCGATGGCTGTACAGCGAAGCAAGGTTCCCCCCTTTCTGCTGTTGCCACGATGCTGTACGCTGCCATTTCTGTGACAGCATCCGCTGTTGTTCTTCGTTTTCGGTCCTCGCCGACGCGGCGGCGGCGGCGGCGGCGGCAGGCCTGCTGAACTGGTCTCGAATGTCCGAGTCGGCTGACGGCCGGGACGGCGGCGGATTCGCCCCATAAGCCTTGGCGGCCTTTCCCAGCATGTTGACGTCGCTGCTGCTGGGCGTAGTGATGGCGGCGGCGGCGGCGGCGGCGGCAGGACCAGCGGTGTGCGGGTAGAGTCGGCGTCGGGGTGTAGGCTGGACGGCGTAGGCACGAGTAGGCTGCAGGAGCAGGAGCAGGGGCAGGCTATGACGACGGGTCGACGAGGATCCAAGCGGTAGGCTGATGGAGCCAGGCGTCATAGAACGATGGTCTGCTCGTATATGCGTCTGGATCAGTTAAGATGGAAGGGGTTGTCGTGTCGTGCCGTGTCCGTGTCGCGTCGCGTCGCGTCGAGGGCAATTGACGACCGGATGGTTTAGGAGCAAAAGACGCGCCGACAAGCCAAATCTTTCCGAACGGACCCCTCCACGATACATGTGACCCTGACCGCTGCTGGAGAGCCGGGACAGAGAGCGATGCGAGAGGATCTGTGGAGGGTCGGTAGCGGTAGTAGTAGTAGTAGCGGTAGTAGTAGTGGTGGTGGTAGTAGTAGTGGGTAGTGGGGAGTGGTGTTTTGCTCTAGGTTGCCTTCGATTATTAGTTGAACGGCATTATTGTTACTTACTAATACTCCGTAATCCGTACTCTGTGGGGGAGGAGGGAGAGTGGGCTTTGTCTCGGGGTGAGACGCGTTGAGTATTCGCTATTACTACGTACGAGTGTATGTACAAGACGGTCCCTTGCTGCCGCGACGACCAACGCTATGAACATACAAGTATGCAAATGATATATAAAATATAAATACATATAAATACATGATACTTAGGGGGGGGGGATATCAAAAAAATTCACCAAGATGAAACAGATACCGGTCTTTGTGTGTTCCAACTGTGAATCATCTCCTTTACCGGTACATCTCAAGCTTTTGTATATCCGCCGTCTCATCTCCGGTACGATGCCTCCTCACGACCATGATACGGACCGCTTCTGCCGGACCCTACCTGGACGTCGCTGGCCGACCCCCCTCTACCGTTTCCGTCCCTGTCAGTCCTCCTAGCGTACCTCCTGACCTCGCTCGGCGGCCTAGGCGCCACCTTGTCATACTCCTCGTGCTCGCTGCCAGAGGGGTAATAGTCATCATACGCGTCACGACGCCGCGCCGAGCCACGGTCCTGCCCAAGATGGGGGTGTCCTAGGGCCATCATGCCAGAGATGTGGCCGTTTGCTGGGCGGCGTGATTCCGGCTCAAGGTGCTGCCGACGATTTTCTGGCACAGCTCTAGCGCCGGCGCTGCTCTCCGGCGCAGTGAACCTTGCAGGATGCCTGCTGGGGGCGCGGTGCCTGTCATCTTGCCGTGCCGACCTGGGGGGGCCGTCCCCGGCGTAGGAGCAGTCTGGGCGGTTGCCCCTGGGCCTGACGATCCTCAGTTCGTCCTCGGGAGGATGGCTGATGACTCTGCGAGGATCTTGAGCCGGGACGTGGGCAGGCCGTCTCCCCGTGTCCTGCCGCGGACGGTAGCCGTCTTCGGCCCCCGATAGCGTCTCCGCATCCCTGTAATCTTTCGGGCGTCGGGACTGCTGCTGTGCCACTGTTACTCGCCGAGAAGGTGGTTGGGTGTGCTCCCTGTTGGAGGAGGCCCCGTAGACTTTCGGCGGATGAACCCTGGCCGAGATCTGCTCGTCGTCGATGTCAAGGTCTCGACTTGGACTTCTCGCCTTCTTGGGCAGTCTGTTGTTGCTGGCTTCAGAGTTGGGAGACGAGAGGGGCGTTGTGATTTCCTGGTCGCTGTCGCTGTCTGACTCAGAACTCGACACGTCACTGCTGTCCGAATCAGTTTCTCTGGGCGCCTGTTGGCGGTGCGGCTGCGACCTCTGAAGCGCGGGCCCGGGTGCCTTCCATTCGTTGCTGATGATTGGGGGGGGTTTGGCGAGCTTCTTGCCTCCGCCCGCCTTGGGCGTCGCCGGATTCGTTTGCGTGTGATGAGTCTTTGGTGGCTGCGGCCACGGGACCCGTGACGCCGGTGGTGGTACCACCGGTGTACGGAGAGCGGGAGCGGGAGCGGGGGCCGCAGCCGGCGGAGGCGGAGGGTCAGCGTGACCCGGCGGGGCTGGGGGGCGAGGATGCGCGGTGGGGGCAGCCCCGGGGTGGACAGCAGGAGCCGGACCAGGGGTCGGACGAGGAGGCGCTGGAGCACGGCCACGGGCAGGCGGGGGGGCAGGGGCAGCAGAAGTAGGAGCCGGACCAGGGGTCGGACGAGGAGGCGCCGGAGCACGGCCAGGGGCAGGCGGGGGAGGAAGGGCAGCATGACCCGGCGGAGCTGGGGGGTGGGTATATACGGGAGAGGCAGCCCCGGGGGCGGCAGCAGGAGCCGGAGCAGGAGTCAGACGAGGAGGCGCTGGAGCGCGGGCAGGGGCAGGAGGAAACTGTGTTTGGAGGTTCATGTGTGGTTGGTCGACCTGAGGCGGTCTCTGCTGAGGGTACGGTTCGTTCGGAAACCCATCGTTGACGGGGCAGTTTCCTCCGACGAACTGAGGGGCTGATGTATGAGCATCTCGTTGCTGGTCAACGTGCTCCAGCTGGTAGGTGGCCTGGTTCATCTGTGGCCTTGGGGCATGTTGCTGCGGTCTTTGCTGCTGCGGTTGTTGTGGCTGTTGTTGTTGTGGCTGTTGTTGTTGTGGCTGTTGTTGTTGTGGCTGTTGTTGTTGTTGTTGTTGTTGTTGTTGTTGTTGTTGTTGTTGTTGTTGTTGTTGTTGAGGTTGCTGTTGTTGATATTGCTGTAGCAGCAGTTGTTGTTGAGGTTGCTGTTGTTGATATGGCTGCAGAAGCTGTTGTTGCTGCTGCGGTTGCTGCGGTTGCTGTTGTTGATGTTGTTGATATGGCTGCTGTTGCTGCTGCCCATATTGAGGCATGCCAAACCCACAAACGTCCACGGCGGGAATGACGGTGCCGTTCCCCTGTGGCAGCTGAGCTCGAGGAAGCGGTGGTTGCTGCTGGTTGCTGGGCGGGTAGGGGGGAGCCTGCTGGCGCATGTCGACGCGCTCCGTGGACGGTTCGTCTCGTCTGCCTTGCTCCATCTTATACATCTCCAGGCAGTTGACTTCTGTCCGTGGCACCCTCTTGAAGTAGGCAGTGACCGCGACCAGCTGCGGCTCGCGCTCTGGCTCGGGGGAGGAGGAGTGGGAGGAGGGGGAGGGGGACTTCTTAGACGGCTTGCGGGGTGGTGCGAGGAAGACTATTGCCTTGTGGTCGTTTCGGTACCTGCCGTCCTTGGGCCTGGTCCCGTGCTTCTCCCTGTACTTCTTGTCCTTGTCCTTGTCGCCGCGCTTGGGTGCCTTGCTCCGGGGCTTGCTGGGCTCGTGCTCGGCCCGGCGCTCCTCATATTCGGTGGCGATCTGGGCCAGGAAGGTGTAGAACCGATGGTCGGTCTCCTCGTCCTCCATCAGCCCCTGCACGTCGTCGAGCTGGTCCCTGAGCTTTTCAGGGAGGCACCGTTTCTTCTCCTCCACCGGCTCGGTATACCGGCTCAGCCAGCAGACATGGCGTGTCGCTTCGCGCTTGGGCGCGTCGTGCTGCATGGTGCGCTCTACCTTGACCCACGACGGCGTAAGGGCGTATCCACCCTCGTCCACATCGTTTGTGACATCGGCCTTTTTCATCCTGACAACGATGAAGGACGAAAGTCTCTCGCGTGCATTCGCATCGGTCTTGCATTTTTGACTCAGATCGACAATGTCTGTCTTGATGCGAGGGCGTCTTTCTATCTGACGACGAGGATGAGTTGTCGGGCTTGCTACGTCTCCCTGCTGTGCCCAGTACCGGCCGTCGTCTGCGGCATATGGAGACATCTGCGCGGTGTTCTGGGATGCGTAGCTTTGATCATAGTGAGGTACGGGGCCTGCATCTCCCATGGGAGGAGGCCGGGGGGTGGCTTGATAGCCTTGCTGGTGGTGTGTGTGCGTGCCCATGATGAGGCCATCGGGCGCCCGGTTCAGTACAGGGTGACTCTGCACCGGACGTCCAGGAACGCCCATCGGAGGAGGGGAAATTCCTGACATGGTTTTGGTAAAGTATTATATGATTGGCAGCTTGTGTGTGTGTGTGTGTGTGTGTAGTCGCGAAGGGGTTCGTTGACTTGGTAGTAGTAGTAGTAGTAATAGCAGTAGGTACTCTCAAGATAGTTATGAATTGGGGGGAAGAAGAGAGACTGGGGATATGGCCTGGTAGAGAGTACCAGCGACACTTTTTTCATGCCAAAGAGCCAGCATGGAGAGACGGAGAAACAGGAAAGCAAAGGTCCTTCAGTCGGCGACGGCTCTTTATATGTCGCAGTCCTAGCATCAGTGTGTATCAACACCTTTCTCGACGTGGTGTGGCCATGGGATTACTCGAGTTACCTGGTTCAAGTCTGTTCGGTCGGGACGTATTAGTTCTATTCGTAACCCGGTCTCTCTCTCCTCTTCTATCTCGACCCCTCATCCATCGTCGGGTTGTGTGCGCTGCCATGATAGGTACTGCGCAGCCGTTTCCTCCAAGGTGGCTGACATGGGACGCATTACAACATAGGCATGCACACATAATCAGCAAGGACAGCTCATCGTCTCTTCCTACTGGTCTGCGGACCGCCAAGACGAGGCAAAAGGCAGACAGAGTGAGGCGGCCATCCTTGGGATTCAGGAAACTGGAGGAGGGAGCGTTGGAGGTGTTGCTCTGGCAGCTATTGGTGTGTGTGTGTGTGTGTGTGTGTGTGCTGCCATGGCAGTTATCTTGGTTGTTCTTTGAGAATCCTGAGCCCAACATGACTCATCCCATCATCCCATCATCGCCACGACACTATACATTGCAGGTAACACAGCAGAACGTCGGCGGCACATGTGTAATATACTCTCAAGTCTCAAAAAATGAAAGTGATCGGAAGAGAAGAGGCTGTGTCCGTATGTAGCTCATGGTCAGCATGTCCCCCCGGGGAGACAAATCATCCCTTCACGAATGGTGAGTTCGTCGACCATGGGGTGGCCGCGTGGTGATAGGGATGGAGGCTCCCTCACACCAGTCCCGCCAATCGCGGTGTATAAGGTTCCAGAACTATGCTGAAGCCCAGTTCACGCACCTGCCACGATCTTACCTGCATCGAAGTGCATTGCTCGAAGTTGCAGGTTCCGGGGACGAACGCTCACAGCAGTTCGATTCAGCAGCGCATCGCCAGAAAAACATGTTGGCTATAATGTGTCCATGTGATGATGGTCAAGGAGTACAGTAATAGTACTGCTGCATGTATGATACTCATACTACTGCGCACCACACCCACCACGGTGCTTTTTTCTTCTCCTGACCAGTCTTCTGAGCCGTCAACGGTGCTTGGCCACAAGGCAGACTTGGTAGGATGGTGCGTACGATGGTGCGTAGGATGATGCGTAGGATAAATCAGTGAGTGACCTTGACATGTATGCAAGATGTCCCGGCGGCTGCGTACAGGGGACAAGGAAACGTGCCGACGTGTTATTTATGTATGCGACGCGCCAGCCTGAATGCCCATGCAGTGCTTGATGCAATGCACGCACTGAGTCGGCTGATGGACACCAGGGGTCCCTCTTCGGTCCCTCATCTTGTCCGAAGCAGCAGACGCCGCTGACTTCCCCGTCTTTGCTTCCTCCTTCTGGGGCGCTATACGGACAATTCGGGCCCAATCTATTCGATCCCTGGCGATCGGGGAACCCTACGTCGTCGAGGCGTTGGGCTGAGCTAGCATACGATAGATAGACCGGGGACGCGTACTCTTTGCTGTAGAATATGCATCATCACCGCTCAGGACCTGATAGGCTAGACTCCCGATTCCGGAACGAGGCTTCAGAATTTTCAGATATGAAAAGGGGGTGCCACTGACGCCATACCTAGAGTCTTGGTACATGCTGAGAGCTTGTTGACCGAGGGAGCCGGGTGGCCTTGTGCTGCAAGTCATGATGTCACCATGGGAGTAAACAGAGATAAAAGCTGGACCGTGTAGCATATAACAATATAGTCTCATGCCGTAAGACGCTATCGTATCTTCATATCCTTTCCTCGTTCGTGAGGTCATGGAGGGGAAAGATGAAGATGACTTGCATTGTAAGATGAATCAGAGAATGTTGTTCCGTTCAGCCTAGACTCGTTGACAGCTGTACACAGATGATGAGTGAGGCGTACCTTCCTACATGCACCCCACCACCACCAAAGGCCTCCTGAGTCCTGACTGCTTCCTGCCGTGATCTCTACCTGCTGTGCTCCTTCCCTTTTTTCTCGTGACCTACTTAATACTAATTAACACTAATATCAATACTGCTAACTGATAATAATACATGATAATACCCACCCACCCACCCACCCACCCACCATCTTAGTAATGAGGACGCATTATGCCCTGTACGTAATATTATCCTTGTCCATCTTCACATTCCTCTCTCTACCTGAGGTGACTCGCTGATTCTCTATTCTCTCTCTCTCTCTCTCTCTCTCTCTCTCTCTCACTCTCCGTCGGGTACCCAAGAAGGAGGGAAACCAGGATCCCCAAGGAAGTCAAGAGGAGAGACAAGCAGCAGGAAGCAAGACAGAGACCTAAGAAGTGATGACATGCAATAATCTGTGGAATCCATAGAGAATTTGTAGGGAGGAGTTATACAGGACCCATAGAGTTAATCACATGCTAGGAACCAGCTCTAAAGCTGATCTAAAGTCCTGAGGTGAAGTAAGAGGAAATGAAAAGAGGGATAGGGATGAATGGCTTGATGATAGTATAATCATTGATATAGGCTACGACCCCTACCTTGAATCCCTCCCACCCAACCCTTGTACATCTCTCACACCCTCTCCTCCCTGCCCCTCCTCTGCACATGTACGATGAACCATTGCGTTGCACGATTATTCCCACGTCCTCTCCTTCTGCACTTTCTACCTGTCGCGCATCGGTTCCCTTGGCCTGTGACCGGCGAAGGTGCAGCACCGCACACTGTTGATCCCAACCTCCTCACTCGTCCTTCACTCGTCCTCACGAAGCTCTCCCTCCTCAGCTTGACGTGAGCTGGATGATGCCGCATCGGTCCATCCGACCACACACACTCCTCGCGGTACCGATACATGGTTGAGAAGAATGCTTGACGACTTGTAGGCTCTTTTCACATCTGATGCATCTCGCCACGGGTGACCGTGTTTCTGGGACCCGGGGGGGGGGGTTCTTCTAGTCTATCTGGGTCAGCTGGTGAGCTGGCACTCGGGCGCCAGATCAGGTATCCCCGTCATCCTGCAGAGAGCACGGGGTATGTGACTTGGAGTATTACTCGAGTCAGGAAACACATTGGTACTGATATCTGCTGCAGAGGTTCTGGGCAATACGACTATACACGGTCAATGCTCGTGTTGCCATGACGGATCTGATCTAGATCCCATCCTTGCCTTCTCAACCGCTCCATCTAAACCCCAGTCTCGCTCGACCCGCCATGGAGAATAGCGGGGTCTCTACGATCTCCCCGCAGTTCCCGACACTTGATCGTTCCTCCAGGCCTTCCTACAATCCGCAGCGTAGAGAAAGTACCGTCAAGTGTTTGTGCCCAGAACTCCGAGAAAAAAAAGAAGAAGGGAAGGAGGGAAAGATTGCGGCATTACTTTTCATCACGTCATATATATTCTCTCTCTCTCTCTCTCTCTCTCTCTCTCTCTTTCTCTCTCACAGAAAATGAAATTACCCCATCTAGCCCGAATGTCATCCATCCTTCTACGCCATATATACGTATGTATTGCCTTCCCTCTCTAGATAATCTTTATCGATGAGACTTGAAGACGGGCGGAATGTCAGCACACACACAAAGAGAGAGAGAGAGAGAGAGGACATGTACATCCCGTAGAATTTGAAAGATGGGATTTGGGGGGGGGGGGAGCCTCAGTTGTCTCTCACCTTTCAATCTCCTTCTTGATAGCAGCCGGCTCGACGCTGCCCCTCTTCTTGGTCATGTTGATGACTTCGGCCTGAAGGTCGGGGTGGGTCATGGTCTTGCGGCTCTTCATGATGCGCACAATGGCGGCCTGGGTCTCGAACCTGCGGTCCTGGGCGATGCGCTCGTGCGTGGCCTTGTTCTCCTCCCTCGTCTCCTTCTGCTGGATCTGGTTGATCTTGATGCGGTACTTTGCTTCGTAAAAGGCCCTGTTGAAGGTGAAGGTGTCGGACTCGCCGACCTCGCGGCCCTTGGGGTACTTGGAGAGCACGCGGACCTTGGCGCACGCCAGGGACTGCAGCGTCCTGTCCAGGTCGCCGCCCCTGAGGCCCGTGCTCTTGGAGATCTGGTCGTAGCCGAGGGCCCCGTCGTTGGGAACCGAGTTGAAGAGCAGGAGCACCGCCGCCTGGTATGCCGACACGACGAGCTCCCTGGCACCCTTGGGGAACTTGGCCTTGAGGACGCACTGCGCGAGCGAGTGCTTCCACGACAGGATGCGGCCCGTGTGCTTGTTCTTGTAGAAGGCGTCGAAGCGCTCCGTCTCCGTCGCCACCTCGTCCGGCAGGCTGAGCTGCACGTCCGGGTACGACGGCCACGCCGCGGCCGACAGCACCATGACGTGCAGGTCCACGAGAGGCTTGCGGTCTGGGCCGCCGCCGCGGCACCACTCCTCGTAGGCCTCCATCTCGTCCCTGGTCAGCTCCTGGTCCTTGAACATCTGCTCCAGGTTGTGCGTGAAGTTGGCGCCGCACTCGCCGCGCAGCTTGGCCAGCATGCTGCGCTCCGCGTCCTGGCTGGCGCTGCGGCTCAGCAGCAGCCTGCGCGCCAGGTGCTTCTTGTAGAAGGCCTCGAAGGTGTCCTTGCCCTCGATGAAGCGGAACAGCTCCAGGGCCTGGTCCAGCTGCCTGTTCAGCTCGGCGTCCTCGTCGGCCGTGCTCGCCTGGCCCTCCTTCTCGGCCGCGGCCCGGTCCTTGACGTCGGAGAGGAGCGAGGTCGGTAGGGCCTTCAGACCGCCCCGCAGGAGCATGTCGATGTGCTTAGCAATCATCTCGCCAATCTTGGAGGTGCCAATGTCCCAGCAGCCGGCCACCTTGCGGTCGTTCATCATGCTGCCAAAGGCCTCGCGCATGCTATACAGGAGCTCGTCGTCTTGCGAGAAGGCGTCGCGGATCATCAGGTCCAGCGAACGTCGGAGGTCCAGCAGCCGCACAACCATCTCGTCCCCCCGCTCCTTGTCGCCGATGACCTGCGACACGGCACCGCGGATGTAGTCGGTCCAGGGCTGGCGCAGCTGCTTCTGGATGCCCGACAGGCAGAGGAGCTGGTACAGCCCCTTCATGGAGTCGACGTCCTTGCTGGCCAGGAGCTTGGCCATGCTGTCGGCGTCGAGAAGCTTGCCGGTGTAGTCGTTGATGGTGATGGCGTGGGCCGTGTCCATCAGCTGCCTCTCGGTGGCCGACTCGACGGCAAATTCGAGGCAGCGGTAGTGCTCCTTCGTCAGCAAGCTCTCGCACGCCTGGATGTAGGCCTTGAGGCTCGAAGTCGCGTGCGAGTCGACAAAGTCCCGGAAGAAGGGCTCCGACAGCTCGAGGAAGACGGGCTCGAAGTACTTGACGTAGACGTTGAGCACGTACAGCATGCGCAGGCAGCCCTTGAGCAGTGCGGCGTCGAAGCCCTCACCCGTACGGTCGCTCTGTATCAGTTCGCACATGGCCGTCACCGTCTTCTTGCCGGTCGAGTGGGCGTACGCGGGGCCCTGCGCGGGGAATGCCATCTTCTTGAAGTAGGATATGGTCAAGTCGTTTATGGAGGGCAGCTTCTCGCGGAGGAGGTACGTTCGGTCAAGATAGCTAAATGTCGAGCGGACAAGAATCTGTAGTAGACGCAGAGAGAAGTCAGACAGGGACGCCAAGGTATATGGAGGGTGTAGGTCGGTGGTAGCAGTAATAGTAATAGTAATGATAATGATAGTAGTAGTTAGTAGTAGTAGTAGTAGTTAGTAGTAGTAGTAGTAGTTAGTAGTAGCAATAGTGGTATTGGTAGTGATGGTGGTGGTGGTGGTGGTGTTGGTGGTGGTGGTAGCATTACCATTTGTGTATTCCACGTCTGCCACTCAGACAAGAGCCTGCTGGCCGTCTCCATGGTCGAAGTCCTTGCCGACCTCTCGATGCGCGGCAGGATGACGGTCCGGACATGGGTATCCATGCTCTCCCTGAGCGTCCTGTAGACCTTGTCGGCGTCGCCCCTCCTGCACAGGTCCTCGACGCCACGGTACAGCCTCTCGAGCGGGACGGCGGGCTTGCACGAGGAGAAGACGGCGTCGAGGGCGTCCCGGAGGTCCCTGTGCGTCCTCTCGTAGTGCTGCTGAACCTGGGCGTCGCGGTCGGCCGAGGCGGACGTCCTCAGGTTCTTGATCACCAGTCTCCTGGCGCCGCTGTAGGGCTGGAAGACGGACGGCGAGGACGACGGCAGGGACGACGGCAGGGACGACATCTGGCTCATGTCCACCGTGTCCGGGGGCATACTCTTCTTCCTTCTCGAGGAGGCTTCTGCCGCCGCTGCTTCCGTTGTGGAGAACTTGGCTCGCTTGTTGATGCCGCTGCCGCCGCTTGACGGGACGGGAGAAGATGTGTAGCGAGACCGACGGCGGGAGGGAGATGGGCCTTGCGCGTCGGACGATGCAGGTTGCATGAGTAGCACAAGCGGGTTTTTCTCTTCTTTTTTTTCTTTCTTCTTTTTTCTCTTCTTATCTTAATCGGTCCTAGTATGTGCGAGTTCAGTGAGAGATGTCGGAAGTATGGTCTGCTTCGAAGGAAGACACAAGGTTTCTCTGGAAGAATTGTTCGTAAACGATTCCGTCTCGAGGGACAGACAGCAGCAGCGAGCGGTGATGGCAGCTGGGAGGTGGGGGAAGACGGTGTTGATCGTATCCTTGGGTTCTTGGGTTGTGTGTCTCTCTGTAACGGAGAGGGTTTTTGTCTGCTCCGTCGTGTACATACACATATATATATATATATATCAGGGACACCGAATGTTTGAAGAGTTGCTGACGATGAGTGACGGGATGGACCTTGGGAAGCATGCAAGCATTGGACCTGAACGTGGGTTCGGTCTAGCCAGGCTCCGTTCCATGGTTTACTATGTCACCCTCCCAGTGCCTCCCACCACCACCGTCACCCCCACTCTCACTCTCGAAGCGCAACCGGAGCTACCATCTTCTTCGTTCTTAGCTCCGACGCCAGCTACCCGGTATCATTTGGGTGCATTTTTGGAGGAAATTAAAATAATAATAATAATAATGGTATAAAAAAAAGGAGGGGAACCAGGCGCATTCTCCCTCGAAACACACCTTATTGACAAGCTTCATAACCATTTCTCATCTTACGCTGCGTGCTCGTATGTCTCGCATCATCTTGAAAACAAAAGCATCATCGATGAGAAGGGATGATGTGAAGTGGGAACGTAAGAACCAATGTCACCATCGCATGCAATCAATACTTTTACTGTCTCCAAGAGTAAAGCGCCAATTCTATTCTATATCATTACATGAACCTCTGATGAAAAAAAAACCAACCATCCTCTCACCGTGCATCGACAATGGAGACTGCCATTCCTCCAGTCTGCGCGTAAAGCCCATCCCCTCCATGTTATGACGATACATGCTACACGTCACGCATATGCTGCCCAGCCTGTCATCTCGTTAGTGGGAGAGCTCCGTAGATCCAGACATGGAGTCATCACTCACCGGAATACAGCATAGCCAGGTTGCACTCATCCATGGCCTGGTTGATCAGGTCGTTCACCGTTGCCGTCACGCTCAGCGTCTTGGACAGCTTCTTCCGTACCACCTCGAGCGCGCGGTCAGCCTCGGAAGGCTCATTGACGTCGCCACCCTTCCTGCCCTTGCTGCCCCCCTTCTTGGCTTCCGCCTCGTTCTGGTCGGCCTCGTCCAGCACCGCATCATCATTCTCCCTGGCCTTCTGCAGCTTGGCCAGTCGCAGGGGCGAGATGGACCACGTGTACAGGGGATCGTACCGGAGCACGTCGAGTATCGTCATGATCGAGTACTGCTCCTCGCGCATTGCATCGAGCGTGAACTCGCAGCACCGCCGGAACACGCCCTCCGTCTTGGTCATGCCCATGCCATCCACAATGTCGCGCGTCAGCCGGAACGGCACCAGCTCGGGAACGGGGAGGATGCGCCCGGCTTCGAACGCCACTCCCAGGTCGATATGCACCACCTCGCCCGTCTTGGCGTCCAGCAGGATATTGTGTCCGTGCCGGTCGCCTAGCCCGAGGACGTGTCCCAGCATGGATATCGCTGCAGTCGTCCGCGTGTAGGCTAGCCTCTTGTAGAACCACTCATCCGGGTCTGCAAAGTTCTCCATAAAGAAGTACCGCATCACCGGGTGGAACTTGTCCGTCACCTTGCGGTACGTCGAGATACGCGTGTCGGTTGAATTGTTCTGCACCCTGAATATCTCCTTACGGCATTGCGATCCCTTGAGATCCGTCGGGTAGTACCTCTCGTGCGCTGGCATGAGGAATTCATGCAGCGGTATCGTGTTGGGCACAAACTCAATCAGCCCGGACGTGGCCGTCAGCGGCAGCACCTTGTATGTCCGGATCCCAAGGCTACGTTGCTGCGTCTCGCGGTGCAGCTTCAAGAGCGCCGACACGGCCGCAAACACTTGCTCCATGATGGCGTCCTGCCGCAGATCGTCGTGCCCGCCCTTGACCAGCTGCTTGTACCGAACACCGTCGGTGCCCACGGCTGTGATGATCTTGGGTGCACTGACTCCCGACGCAATCGTCATCTGCGGCTCCAGCTTGGCAACCATCGGCACGTTGGAGTACTCCTTAGTGACGGATATCTCGATATCCATGGTCGGCGGGGGGATGGGATACCTCATGAGACAGCTGACCAAGTTGTTTGCCGCGACCGAATCCTTGAGGTTCACTTTGATGCCCGACTTGTACTTGCTCGCATTCTTTTCCATGGCAAGCGCGTGGTAGTACTTGCTCGTCTTATCAACCGACAACCAGGCATTCGCCACTGACTTGGTAGCCGTCAGCCGCTGGCGGACCTTTTCCGTCGCTCTGATGCGCTGGAGAGCTACCTCATCCTCGCTCTGGGCCTTAGCCTTCGTCCCTGACCATATCTGATACATGCCGTGGTACGGGTGGTCGACGCATATGTTGTAGACGAGCTCCATGAGGAGTTTTTGAAACGTGTTGTCCAGGTCTTGTAGTCGAGATGTGAGCTGGTTCATCAAGGTAGCAAACTTCCTTGTCGGCACCGACCGGAGATACTTCACAACCGCCTTATTTGTCGAGTCCTCGGCCGAACGCTCCAGCCAGAGAGCGATGAAGCGCAGCGCATCCTTGTTGTGGTCATCCGAGGCAATGAGTGCTAGCAGGTAATTCTCCAAGCTGAGCCGCACGAACTCGCTCCGTGTCTGCTCCACGCGCCGTAGTTCTTGCTCGTCGAGGCTTAGCCACTGCTTCTCCTTGGCCAGGACGTGATTGTACCGGATCCGCTGCTGGCTGTTCTTGGCGGAGTCGATCAGCGACTTCAGCTGCTCCACTTCCGTACTTTTTCCCTTTCTCAGGCTCTGGAGTCTTGCGAGGTCCTCCATACTTGCGGGATCCTGGAGCTGCCCGTCGCAGAACATGGCAAATTGGTGATACACCAATCCAGCCTCCCTTCCTTCGCTACGGCCCCTGAGCTCCTTGAGCGCAGGCTCGAGATACTTCTTCTGGATATCCTGGGGTTTCTCCAGGCGGGCTACTGATACTTGGTGCCCAATCTTAGAGAGCAGGTCGGGTCGGGTGATGGGAATGCTCTGTTTCACGAGCGACGAACTGCGGTCGATGCCTTGGAGTATACGGATTGAAGTGCTCATCTCGCCATAGTCCCAAAGCGAGTTTGCCGCTTCAACCTTGACAGCAGCGTCAACAACAAGACCGTGCTCTTCGCAAGTGGGTATCAGGCCCATGAGCGTCGTCGCCACATTAATCGACTCCTGCGCTGCTCGGTAGTAGCGGTATATGCCAGCCGACAGCAGCATGGATTGCATCTGAGATACCCGGAACTTCGCAACCGAGACCGTTGCATTCTGGATTAGATGCGAGTTTTGTGATAGCATACTCATAGCAGTGCCTCGTGAAGATAGTATCTGACTGACGTCATCGTAGCTGAGAGATTGTTAGCATCGTTCATACCTTCCCTCAACACCTTTGGTGTAGCTTACAGTCCGCGTTTCATCCACTCGCTGCGGGATTTGAACTTGTCTAGAATCTCTTCAATCTCCGACGGGCCCCGTACGTTCATCAAATCATCAAGGTCAGCCAGTGTAGCCAATGCTCCGAGATGTTTTCGGATCGCAGTTGCATTGAGATCCTGGTTCGTCAGTCCGTGCATCGTTCTCTTGAACCCATCGTAGATGGTCGATTGAACCAGTGAAGCGCTTGTCGCCTGATACATGCTTTGGAAAGCCTTGTATGTCACAACTGCATGGTGGTCGCTCGCCACAGGTGCAGGAAGATTCCACATCTCGAGTGCCTGAGCCGTGTGGAATGTACTCTCCAGAGACGATGGAGTTGAACCAATGTTCTGCTGAGTTTGCAGGAGGGAATTCGAAAGGCCGGATAGTCCCAGTGTATTCAGTGTCTTCACTAGACACTGCGCATCCCTACCCGAGGACGGGTTTCGCTGCCGTAGATGGCTATCGTACTGGGCGCCCCGAAAAGCCAGGCTCTTCATGCCTTCGTTCTCATATTCGACACGAGAGAGAACCTTGGACAGGCTCGCGTCTTCGGGGAGACCATAATAAGCATCCGGGTCGTCGATATTCTCAAAGACTGCCAGCAGTGTGTCGTTGACACTTTCTTCTCTTATGGCTGACGATCTCCTTGATGACCGTGTAGATTCGGACGAGGCCAGCTCTGCAAACAGAAGAGATGTCTTGTACATGCCACAGCGACACGCAGCTGATGCCGCCTGAGAATAATCAATATCCAGCCAGTGTGTGCGATCTGCAATCGATGATTCCTTTGGGTACTCCTGAGTCCGAAGATACAAGACCATGTTTAGGAGCTGCTTCATGCCATCTTTGGTTTCAAGCTCGTTCGACCCAAGCCAGTTCCTCATCGCGCCAGAGAGCAGGCGCTTGACAGATTGCTGTTTGTCGAGCTGGAAGCATAATACTAAATGGACCAGGAACGGGAATGCCTTCTGTGCAAACCCCTCGACTCTTGAGAATATTGGCGGAAGAGCTGAGAGAATGATTGAGTCGGAGACCGAGCGTGTGAGATGAATACAGAGCTGTGACAGCCATGATGGAGATGATACCTCCTCAGTCCAGATAGCGCCGTCGCTACTTGATGGCAATGTGCCGTCGTTTTCCGAGGGAGGCAGGTGGTATTTGTCCCACTGAGAGGCGAGATAGAGCGGTTCCCTAAGTGTCTTCTGCGCGGCCATGAGCAAAGGCTCATCGTTTTGAGATACGGCCTGTGATAGTGCTTTCCGCAGCGCAGTCTCCGCCAGGCCGGCCGTGATCGAGTCTGGGCTCGACGTCAGCTGCTGTAGGAGATTCAACAGCCCCCTTTCAGACGCGTTAGATCCGCTGGCTATGTTCCGGTACTGGGAAAGCTGAGTCTCGCGGAGGATTCCTTCCGGAATTTTACCACTTGCCGCGAAAGACCTTCCCATGACCCTGCCAGCCCACGAAAGATAGCTCTCGCTGAGGTTGTGTACCCTGCAGCTCTTCCATATCTCAGCAGCGAATTGAACGGCGGCGCCATCGTTGTCCACAACGTCATCGAGAGCACGCGAAGGAATAGTAAAGTCGTTACACAAGATCCCAAGCGCCACGTCGCGTGCGGATTCATTGAGGAGTTGGTCATGGGAGGCACCGTCCATGAGAATGTACAACAAGAGCTTGCTTTCGGCCGTTCCTTTGGTAGCATTCCCGGACGATTGAACGTGTGCCGCCGACTCTGTGATAGACTTGAACAGATCTCTCTGTGATGTACTCGTAAACGATGCCGAGTCGTAACTCGCCAAGTACTCGGTGAACCACGAGTGAAACTGCTTTGCCTTGCTCATGGTGGCTTTGAACTGCTCCTTCTGTGTCGTGCTAGACTGACTCGACTCCAGAAACACCCTCAAAGAAGCCAAGGTTGACAGCGCATATCCGGCAACAAAGGAGGGAGTTTGGCTGAGATATTCAACTCCCTCATACAGGAGATAATGGCTAACACCTAGCGCGTCATCAGCACATTCCGGATCAACAAGGAAGCTTCTGGTTGAGTTGAGTAGAAGCTCTAAGCAATGTGAATTGATGGCGATCGGCCCAGCCAAGCAAATGAGGATCCGAATCTTGCGGAGAACCGAGCACGCATGCAGTGAGCCTAGGGCAGGATGCACTGTGTTGAGAAGCTTTCTAGCAATCAATGAAACAAGTGCAGGTGTCCAAAGATCGTCAAAGTCAAACAGCATGTTCTCGCAAAGGCGACGAATCTCCACAATCAGATATCTCGCCTTGAACATGGGCTGTTGGTTCGGTGGCAGCTCCGAGTCTGAATGGGATATGCCTTTCATCCTTTGCATGATCTCGGCAGCATACATAAGATCGTCCTGTCTTCGGAAAGTCTTCTCTATCGGGTTGTCCTGGTCGATCAGGTCGAAGAAGATGGCAACGATGTCAACAAAGTTGGTGTACTTTGCTTCCATAAAGATTTGGCTGCTCAGCTTTCTCTCAATGTACTTCTCGCCTCGTCTTTCGTTGCCTCCCTCAAACGCATCTCCGTACATCATGCTGTAGGCCATTGATGTGGCAAAATTCTTATTAAGAAGATCGCTCTCCCGAACCCCAATGCATTTGGCCATGCTCGCGCTTGTCTCATCTTGGCCTCTCATGATGATCAATCCCAGGGCCTCGGCTTGGAAAGAGCGAAGAAGATCGGCGAGGGAGTCAAACCCAAAAACAGAATAAGGGAGCGTATCGATACTGTCCTCTTCGAGCCAGGTATAGAGAAGCTGGCGAGAGAACAGGCCAAATAGCTCCTTTGGTGTGTCCAGATCAAGAGCCTCGGAGACATCGGCGAGGCATCGGGTGGCATGATCTGCCGAACACTCAATCTTCCCAGGCGTTTCAAAGATATGATAAGTACATCTGCGAAGCAAAGTAGGCCACCGACAAGCTAGTTTCGACAGTACCAGTAGTCGGAAGGCGATGCCTGCAGCATTGTCCTGGTCTTTCGGAAGGCTAGCAAGCACGTCCACGAACACATCGTCGTGAAGCTTCAGGACATACAGCTCAAACACACAGGCAATCTTTCGTCCAATGAAGTATTTGACCTCCATCGGGGCCATCTCCAGGATATAAAGCAGTGACGTCCGGCAAGACTCGACGCCCATGTCATTCCCGTACTCATGATCCACGCGCAGCAGGGTTAGCAATAAATTAACCAGTGAAATGTGGGCCTTGGCCGACAAGATGTTTGATGGCAAACAGCGCCGGACGAAGTGCACATACAGGTCCCCAACATCTGCCGCCAGATCTTGTGTGTCATCAAGCCATACCTTGCTTGAGCCCTCCATAACATCAATGCAGAGCGTCAAAGCAATCTCGCAGCATCGGTAATCCGACTCCGACATCACCGCTCCCAGCCGCTTGATGACCTTTACAACCGAATCGTGACTTGCAGCCAGGTCGGATTTGAATATGTCGACCAGGACTCGTTGACATAACAAGAGGTCCTCATTCGACATGGCGATCAACTCGTCGATAAATTGGCTCGGGAGCAGTCCGATCTGTCCCTCTGCATCCTTGATAACCCTCAAGAATTCCATCCGCACTTTTGTGTCCATATAAAACGATCTGGAGTCGACTTCGAGTCGTGTGATTTTCCTCGGGATGGCGGTGACGGGCCCAGAAGTGGCACTGGCTCTACTGACTTGGGAATCAAAATCCTGGTCAATATCCATGATGTCACAGCTGTTTCCAGATGCCTGGTAAGATTCCATCTGATCCATAGTGCTGTGTATCCTGACCAGAAGGTTGAGAAGTGCGGGAGCCTCTTTGTCCAGTTTGTCCAGAGATGCAGCAGAGAACATAGGTATACACGGCCGTACAAGCCGCAGGGTACAGTCTACGAATGCCGGAGGCTCGACTGAAGTAGATGCAAGCCTCAAGCTCTTTTCAGCCAGGACCAGAAGGTCGGACTCCACTGTGGAAGAAGGTGTATAATCGAGGCCCGAGATCTGGGGTATCAGCATGGCCCCAATGATGACGGCGGAAAGAAGACCCTGGAAACGTTCAACAGATATCTGTGTTCCACCCTCGTAGGTCTTTTTGGACCACGAGAGACATAGTTCATCAAGTTCTCTGAGCTTGGGTGAAAAGAGCTCCAGGATAAGCTTCTTTGATGCATGGAAGCTATTTGGATCAGTCAGTGGTGGTGATGAAACCAGATGAGGGTCCAGATGGCCTGGTAGTGGTTCTCCAATAGGAGAAAGAAGGAGGAGATATCGGACAAAGGGTCCGATATCTTCGTGTAATCTCCAGGTCTCACGCAATGACCCGCCGGTCACAGCCACGGGCCCTCCTGGTGGAAGTGGTGCCATTCCACAGCAAGCTCTGAGAAGGTTGACAAAGTCGAAAGGATGGACATGGATTGAGTGGAATGATGCAAATGAAAGTTCGCCTGGCGAGGTAAGTAATATTAGCTCTATCCCTGCAAAGCCGTTGGAGTATCGCCTACCTGGATTCCATCGTAGAAACATCCACCGGATGATATAGTTGCATGTGCTCTGGCTGGCGTTTGGAAGTCTGATGTTGCGAATATGGAACATTCGGAACATCAGTGCCAACGACGTGTCAGACAAAATCGCCGGGCCATTCACATCTGCTGTGGTAACAATGTTGTTGACTTCTTCTGACAGCGTATGATAAGGCAAAAGCTGAGATTCTAATATAACGCGGACCAGAGCACAAGCCGCCCTGCTTGTCCCAGGAAGGCTAACGGCCCTTGTGGCAAGGTGCCAAACTCGCCTCCACGTATCCGTAGTACTGGGCGAGTTGGTTCCCAAAGCACACCTAAAGAGGTCAGATTCGATCTTAAGAATTAGGACAAAAGTGGAGTTGGAGGCTGTACCGAGCACAAGCTATAAGAGCCCAGGAAGAATTGATGGCGTCCTTGTCGGATCCAAGAACAACGAGCTCCCCGAGTAGCTCAGCAGTTTCATTCTCACCTAGAGCGTTTGTATCGAGCAGAAAAGGCACCATTTGAAGGGCTGTACGGCGAGTTCCGGTGTGCTTTGATTTGAGCTTTGTCCGTAGCCTGCTAAATTCTTCCTGGGTGCGTCGCTTTTTTCGGGGCTGTTCATCATTGCCGCCAGATCGGCCGTCTGCCCGTCTACTTGACCTTAGAAGAATCGACTCCAAGATTGCCAGATTCTGGACAAGAGCCCAGTAGCCTTCTCCCTCGATATTGTGTGGCCGAAGCCCAAAGAGAGAGTTCCGCATGTGATTGCCAGGCAAAGAGGATAACGAGAAGGTAACATCGATTAGTTGCAGGCGGACGGCTTCGCTCCTCTTTGAGTATTCTTGCCACAATTGGTCTGCCAGATCCTCCAGGACACTGGCAAAGGTCCATCCATCATTGTGGCCAAGGGTCAAGAACTCGAGGTAGAGGTGGGTGAGGAAAATACACTTGGATATCTCGTTCCTAAGTGCTCTGATAAGCTCGTCTTGCGACACCTTATCCGCCTTCCACCAGTAAGCCATCAGAGGAACAACGCCCTTGACTAATGAACTGGCCTGTTCGCGTTCTTCGCCCTGGAGGCTGGAGAACACTGTGTTCAGGATGGCGAAGCAAAGAGTCTGGACAGCACCAAGACTCAAATGTTTAACTTTGAGTGCCCTGAGAGCAGTATCGACTACCTCTCTGGATCGTTGTAGAATCGGGGCATTGGCGCCCTGGACTAGATATCGAAGACCCTCCAATGAATCTCTTAGTGGGCCCCCTTCGCCTTGTCCCGCCCGCCTCTGAATCGGTGTGGAAGAGTCTGCCTTTGCAGTGGATCTCAATACCAATGGTTCCGGGACAGGTGAAGCTCTAGACGAAAATGCGGAGAAATCCCCTTCTTCGGGGAGCACATGCGCCATGAGCTCAAGGAAGAAATCCACACAGGCCTTCCACGGGGCACCGTCCTTACGAGCAAGTAGCTCGACGTGAGCTGAGTGTGAGAGGAGTTCCGCCAACGCTTTGACGTAATCTTGGAGAAGAGGCATTACAAAATCATCGTTGGGACCTGGCAATACTTGAGTGATGTGATCAATAACGGCCTGCAACGTTTTCGGTCCCAACTTGGAGGTGCCACGGCCGACGGCCATTCTCACGGCGGCAGCACATTTCGAGAGGCGGGAGGAAGCAGCGCTCGAGGTGGCCTGTGATTTCCGTTTATCATATAGGCTGGGTTTCTCGCGGAGAACGAAACTGAAGATGGCCTCGAAGATTTCGTGATAGCCCTTGTCCCCTAGATCGGCGCTACTGCGAGTTAGACATGAAAGGCGACGGCCCGGGACGGAATGCTTAAGACATACAGAGCGGACGACCTATTTCGTGGATTCAGGAGATTTGTGAGCTCTAGAGGCCGTCATCAGTCAAGGAAATCCGGCACGGTGAACTCTGCAGGAAGAAGAAGCCTACCGTCTATGGCCTTCTCGCGGTCCTTAAGTGAAGCAGACTTGACATCCCCTGCGAATATGTTAACATGAGTCCAGGAACCCCAACTTATTGAGCTTCCACTAACTGGCAAGGCTCATGACGGTGGACTTGTGAGACGACATTATGCCAGTACTGGGACCAGAATTACTGGCCTCCGTCACACGGTGTTTGTTCCAGGTGTGGTTGCATTTAATGGCGACCGGCCACCAGCGGTTACACGGATGACAGACAGGTCAAGACGACGCGTCAGGGCGATGATGTGGATGCAGAGCATAAGAACAAATCCGACAGGTTACAGTAGAAGATAGTAATCGTACAGTATCCAATAAATCGCCTTTCCTGGCGATTACAGCTTCAAGCAGGTATCCAACCCATCGGCGAAGTTGGAAGAAAGCTGTGCTGGAGCTTTGTTCCCGGCCTGAGGTATCCACCATTTCCAGGCACACTTGGGCGGGAAGGAACGCCCCGCGCTGTTCTGTTGCCTCCTGCCGGCCAGCTGGAGCTCTGATGCAGGTGCGCTAAGAGCCACTGAAGCAACGCCCACCTACCCAGCTTGTACAGCGCCTAATCTGGCAGGCTTTGGCAGAACAGCTCACCGCCCGCCGTAGCAGTTGTTTACTATGGACCTTCTTTCCATGACCAAAAAAAAAAGCTGCCATTGACGACGACGACCAGATCACCACTGCATATCCGCCATTGCCTATTCACTACCACGACTGAACGCCAAGGATTGTGAATTATAGGTGTCAAGGGTCAGATGCGCTCAAGCTCGCGCTCTCCAACGAGGTCGTGCTCTTCTGATCCCGGTGTCGCTACAGCCTAAGCTCTACCGAGTCGACACAATCCACCTTAGCCCGACGACAACGCGATATCGAACCCAAACTGAGCCCTGCATTTCCCATCACGTCTACCGTAACAACATGCGACAGCCTTGAATCATCAGAATGGCCGAGTTTCCGACGTTAGACGTTCTTCAGGCGTTCCACCAGGAGCTCTTAGCCGTGCGCGAAGGACGCGCTGGGATCGCAGAGACTTTGGAGAACGGCATCTTTGTCGAGGCCTTCGAAGGCGAACTTCAGAGGATATGGTCGAGGAAATCAAAATGCCAAGACAGCCGAAGTACAGTTCAAAAAGGTGTGACCATATTCTCTGCTGTCTCGCTCCTACGGAGCGCAATGGCTAAACTTTCACAGGCAAAATCACGGTAGATGGCGATGAATACACGATCAACGACTACTTTCAGCAAGCCACTTTCGCGTTCGCGGACGAGGTTGACCTCGATGAGCTTGAGGCAGCCCGCTTCCTCCTAGAAGCTCAGAGTGACATGGAGACCCTAGGCCGGTCTCTACTCGAATGCGGCATCATCCGTTTCCATCAGCAGCGCAAGTTTGCACTCGACGCGTTGCGCCTGCTGCTCGAGATGGACAGCGATGAGGATGACAGGGAGGACAGCTCACAGTCACTCGAAGCGGCACAAGTCTACGTCTTTGAGCGCATCTTCAATACAGCCCCCGGCGCCGCAAATGCTGGTCAGCGCTTAGTGCCTCGGTGCATGTCGATAATGCAGACAACCAAGAACTGGCTGCAGAAGCTTGGCGATAAGATTTCCGCCGCCCAGGCGCTCGGTCAGAACCGACCCGGTGCCATGTCTGAGGAGGCGGAGACCATAGAATTCTCCCGCGTCAGCCTAATACAGCAGCATGAGCTACTGGCCATCATCCTGAGCAAAAGTGTAGAGAAGAGACAGGCCGACGTCTCAGACTTCACCGAGTTCATGGCATCCCTGCGTCGCGTGGACAGATATGACAACCTATTAGGTTTGTTACATGAAAGGCCAGTCCTCCCGGATTCGTACTGACAGTTTGCTAGTTCACCTCGTACCGGCCATCGGCGCCTATATGACAGCATTCGGGTCAGTTGATGGAGGATATGATCTCATCAAGGTTCGCGAGCTTAACGACCAACTATTCCCTGCGGCTGGTGAACCAGCTTGGGGCCTACCATACTTCCAAGCTGCAGTCAGATCCTGGTGGCTTGTAGAATACAGCGGGTTTTACCTAGATGACCCCCCGGAGGCAGCCATCCCACCCAACACGGACTTGGACGAAGGTGCGTAGGCTGTTCCCGTTCTACTTTACAAACGCTGACATATTAGCAGAGGATCGCCAACGGGCAAAGATGTTCCAAGATTCCCTCAAGGAAGGAGCATTCGACTTCCTGCTCTCGGTAGCTGGCGATGCACGACCTCCTGACTGGCACGACTCTGTGCGAGCTGAAATGCATCGATGGCTACAAAGGAAGTCACCAACCTTGGGACCCGATCCAGTACAATTTTCCGATTTCTTTCGCCTCAGCCTGGTCTCGCAGCTCGAAGTGTACATTGACACCTTCATAAGCAACCTACCCGATGTTCTCCGCCGCCTTCGAGTCGAGGAAGACGAGCAGCGGCAGCTTAGCCAGACACATGAGCAGGACCTCGACCTTGAACGATTCCTGCTCATCATTGCGTACGCCTACGAAGACCGCCCTGACGCTGCCATGGACTTTTGGCGGGATCCAGAGAGCAATCTGAACGGTTTCCTCCACTGGGCATCAAGGAGAGCATCGACACCCCTTGTCACGGCATTTTGCGAGATGCTCCAAGCCATCTCTGGTGACGATGAGTGCGCCGGCAACGCGCACATCTTCCTTCTGGATGAGGGGCATCACTCGTCTGGAAAGATGCGGAAGTCGCAATCCCTCACCTGGACCCAAATCTTCAGGGAACTTAAGTTCTTCTTAGACAAAGCAAAGCAGAAGCCTTCACAAGCCCAATCAGTGAGGTACCGGGGTGGTAAGCCTACGCAGGACCTTGTGGAGAAGGAGCCAGAATCGACCATGATGCTGGAGTCGTATCTGAGGCTTGTGGCCAAGCTGGCGACCGAAAACGAGACGGCGCGCATTTTCCTCCTCCAGAACTCTTCCTTCAACCTGGTAGAGTCGATCCTGGAGCTGGCTAGCACACATATTCGCCCTCAACTACGAGGCTGCAGCTTTATGGCACTTGGGGCTTTGATGACGAGGAAGACGACTGCCGAGGGCCATACTATGTGGAACTGCCTGGACATATGGGCTACTGGTGGCTACGCGACATCTCTGGCTGGGTATCACCGCCAAGCTAGTCAGACTCCTTCATCTTCCATGGAGAAGACCTTTGATGAGATGAGCCGCGGCTTCGAAGATTCCGATTCGCTGATCCGACTGCTCCTCTCTCTTGTCTCGCCTTCCATTGACAGTAGTCCCCTGAATGACGCACTGCCCTTCCCTGAGACCCTGGGCTCAGCCTTCCGTGCACCTGGTATCGAAGTCTACGTCGACTATGTTGTTGGAAACGTCTTCGCGGCGAAATCGAGCGAAATTCAAGATGTTCATCAAACCCGGGTCCTCCGACTTGGCTGCCTCGACTTCATGATGACATGTCTGGCCACATTCAACGAAGACCTGATTATCATGGCCAACGAGACAAATATCATGATCGACTCGATCGTCTCCACCTCGGACCTGGCAACGTATGTTCGCATGCACCCATTCGCCAGGGTCATGGAGTGGATGTACAGCGATAAGGTCATGGCGGCCCTGTACAACACAATTCACCAAGAACCGATTGATCTGGGCAACGCCACGCCTGACTCCCCTCTCATCCTTGGCATCCTGCGTGCTGTCGATGTCATCTCCAAGGTCCTGGACCTCCAGGCAACATACCTTGATCTTGTGAGACCTATCATCAGAGCTCAGGCTGGCGCCCGGCATCAACCCGTTGCCAAAGCTGCCTATGCATCATTCGAGGATAGCTTGGTAACGAGACTGAATCTTGTGGTTGACCTGGGCAACTGCTGCGGAATTGGGCATCCAGAGCTTACTTTAGCATGCCTGAAGCTACTGGAGAGGATGTCGTCATCATCCAAGATTACCTCCCTCTGGTCCGCAGCAGGCCGACAGAACCATCGCAACAAGGCGATTGTGGCCATGGAGGCTAACGAAGAGCACGAGTCGATTGCGCGGTCGTTCATCTCGGAGATAACTGCTCCTCTTGACCTGGTGCGCAAGGAAGAGTCACCAAGCTATATGACCAAAATCTACATCCTCGACTTTCTCTACTACTGCCTCCGTGAGACGCCCAGGGAGCCCACGATTGCTCATCTCCTTCTCGGGTTCAAGTGCGATGTCGATTCATTGTCTGTTGAGAGTAACAGCTTGTTCGAATCCCAATCATCGCTCTTCCACGGCCTTCTGCGCCTTGTGTTGGAAACCCCATCTAGCGAAGCCGAAGGGGTCCGACAGTGGCTCGTCGCATTGAAATCGCGCGCCATGCGGATCCTACAGGTCCTCTGGACGTCACCACTGTCGTCGTCACTGGTGATACAGGAGCTACGGGATAACGAGTTCCTTTTTCACCTCTTGATACGCGAAACTATCATCCAGCCAGACCTGACATGGGAGGGACAAAGCGTTTTGAGCCCCGAATTTCTGCTGACTGACGGCTCGGTTACGCTTCTTGACCTTCTGGCGCTGCGGAGCATGACGCTCGAGTACATTGCCATGGAGCTCTGCATGATATCGCAAGGCAGGATGCCGAGTGTTAAAAGGCGTATATTCGAGGCGCTCAACGGGCAAATCATTGGCGAGGGCAACGAGCCCATCCCGGCGCCTACGATATTCGACCTCTACGACTTCCACCTTCCGCCGGGTGTCTGGAATCTCGAAATGGGACCGCTCGAGTACCACCAGGGCCTAGATCTATCCGTTTGCTTAGAACAGGATGCCGACGGGAACCCGGTCTACAACATGGCTCGTGTCGAGGAAGTCCTGCTTCTGAAGCGCAGCGAAACCCAGAGCCAGGGCATCGTTGTTACAGCGGCTGAGGCGGCGAGCATGGACGACGAAGAGGCGGCTATTATGCAGTACCTCTTGTCTCTGAACCGCGAGAAGCAGGTTGCTACGCAGTGCCTCAAGGTGCTCAGGACATGGATCAAGCTGCTCCTCGTCATGGTGGAGTGCAACGACTTCAAGGGCACGGCGCAGACCTCATTCTTCCTGCAGGCGCTCCAGGCCACGCTCCCTAGCCTAGAGATGTACGCAGCCGACCGCCCGGAGGAGGCCATGGAATTAGCCAAGCTGTCCAAGGTGCTCCTCTCCAAGCTGTGCCAGACGACGTCGGACCTTCTGGACAGACCCTCGGTGGCCATTGGCAATCTGATCAGCGACAAGCTGTACCAGGTCTTCCAGATCTGCCTGCAGGCCATCGGCAAGTGGGCAGGCACGTCGGAGCTGCGGGCCGTGTACTACGAGATCTGCTATCGGTACCTCACGGGCATGCCGGACGGGGGGCATCTGACTCAGAGCCGAACCAAGTCGGTCAAGGCGGTGCGGGTGTATGGTGAACGACTGATCAATGTCATCTGCGACGATGCTTACGGTGGAGAGCCCACCTGCCAGACGGCGGCACTGATCCTGCTCGGCACGCTGGTCAACCTTGACCACAAGGATGGCGATACGCATGTTGTCGACACGCTCAACAGGCTCAACTTTATCGGCGTACTCGTCGACTCTCTCCGCAACGTCATGCAAGAGTGGCAAGACGTGTTTTCCTCTGGTATGGTTGATACACTCTTTCTCTCTCCCTCGCCTCTTAATCATCTGAGCAAAATGTATGCGGACTGACCATGTTGTGATCTGCACAGGCTACAAGGACCGAGAGAACTTCCAAAACGCCCGTCTGGCCCTGTTCCAGCAACTGGCCCAAACGCGCGCCGGGGCAAAGCATATCTTGCACGCCAACCTGCTGCGCGCCCTTGAGACGTCGGGCCTATTCGTGGCCGACCCGGAGCTGCAGATCCGCCAGGGCAACCCGCGCGCTCTGGAGCAGCATTACGACCTTCTGGCCAAGACGGTGCGCATCATCGGCGCAGCGCTGCTGAGCCGCGGCAGCCATAACGTGGTGCAAGGCCGCAAGTTCCTCTCGGACCACCGCATGCTGGTGACGCACGTGCTGAAGCGCAGCGCCGGTATCGGGGCTGGAGTCGTCGATCGGGGTCTGGAGGAAAAGGTGGAGGATCTGGCCGATGGGTTGATCATCTTGATTGCCGCTACAGGATTCCTCGAGGTACGTTTCTCTTTCCCTCCCGATTCTTCTTCCATTCATACGGTCTGCTAATTCTTGATTAGTTTGAGGATGAGACGGTACAGCAGATTAAGAAACAGAACGAGGTGCTCTTCCACTAAGGAAATCTCATCTGTCAAGAGGGGGTTGGGCGTTGGTATTTTTTGTAATAAGCAATATGCAATTTTTTTCTCCCCTCAAGACTTTTTTTTGGGGGGGTTGGCGATCAAGATATGTGGGTATCCTTTTTTTTCAAGAAAAGAAAATCAGTCTAGACACTCTTTTGGGGTTGAGGTGAAGGCGTTGGTAAAGAAAAGACGGGGCAGAAAATATCTCTGCGCATCTGCGCATAGGGGAGGGTCGCCCAGGCACATTGTGTGTATCATCATCTATGGGTGTATCCGTGTACAAAAAGAGAGAGAGAAGAAGACAAGTCATGAATGTCGCTTTGTCTGGTAGTTGAAGAGAAGATAAAAACGGGAAAAGAAAAGAGAAGAAAAAAAATGAACTCCATTTTCATCATTCACCCCTCATCCCACTCCCTTCCTATCCATCAAGACGCCGAATCCATGCAAAAACAGAGAAAGGAAAGTTATGTGGCATGTGAAGAAGACGCAAATCATGATGCAAGATGAAAGAACAATTAAGAGAGATGAGGACCGTACCCGAGGTCAAGTGATGTTGTCTGCCTTGCGTTTCCCCTTCCTCGTCTTGGTCATGAGTTTCAGCTCGAGGGGGTAGAAACCCTTGGTCTTGGTGGTGTACTGGGAGCGGGGCTTTACGTCGAGCTTTGCGCGACACATTGGACATCTACCCCTCGTCGTCTCGACGTGGAGGGATGAATGTAGGCACTCTGCACAGTATAGATGGCCTTGTTTTCGCAATAGCGTCAGTATTGGTATTTCCGCCGTGTTGAATTGCCTTGGAGACTTTGAGAACGTACCACAATGTGTGACGGTTAGAGAAGCAGCATCATCCATGCAGATTGCACACTGGAAAGCTGATAGCTTAGTCAGTTTGGTGCTGCTGCTGCTGCTTCCATTCTCCGGCTCTTGCTGCTGCTCGTCTCGTGCTGACGGTGCCTGCGGTGCTGGAGGTGCCGTGAGGTCGATCATGTAGGTGCCACCCCGTCCTCCTCCTGCTGCTGCGGTCATGCCATGTTGTCGCCTGACGGGGGTGACACGGAAGGGGTTGTCGTCGTCGTCGTCGTCGCCGTCTAGATTTACAAAGTTGCCCCGCTTTGCCGATGATTCCCCGTCTGGTGCCCGACGTCTCTTGTTGGATACATGTGCGGAGGGCGACATGGTGACGTCGTCGTCTAAACCGTCGCCGATGTTCTGGGATATGGTGGCTGTGTCGGGTCCGGTGTTGAAGATACGAAAGGAGTCAAAGGATGTCGATGCCGAGGGACGAGAAGTGAGCGATACCGGATGAGAAGGAGGGGGGATGTCGTTGTTGTTATGGTGACCGTGAGCAGCAGAGGTAGATGGTTCTGTTTCACGGTGGTAGTTGCTGTTATCGGCGGAGGTGTACGCAGTAGTGAATGATGGATAAGTAGAGGGCGATGAATAGTCGTTGGTTGCCAAGTCGCGGAGGAAATGGTCGTCCTCGCCAAACAGTTCGTCTAAATCAGCGTTGGTGACGAACGTCAGACTAGGCAACGTGATATCGTCCTGGGGCCACTCTCGCGGAGGCGGGGGGGGGCTGGCGACGGCGGCGGCGGCGGCAGTGGCAGCGGCAGATGATGCATGCTGTGGAGTTGGCGGTGCTACTGCTAGGGATGATGATGACCCCGTTAAGGCAAAAGAGATGCTACTGTCATTGCTGCTGTAGCTGCTGCTGCTGCTGTTGTTGTTGTTGCTGTTGTTGTCGTTGTTGTTGTTATCGTTGTTGTTGTCGTTGTTGTTGGGCCGTGAAGATGGTGTCGATAGCCTCCTACTGCTTCGCCTCCTTATCGTTTCCGGAGGGGAAGAGGCGGCTGGAACTGGACCAGCGGCCTTGCCATTACGGGCATTGTTGGGAGAGGTTTCGGATGGGGGCCGACAGACTCGGTAGTTGTCGGAGGGCGTCAGACGAAGTGTGTCGACCGTGTCGACGGCCGTAGATGTCGTACTGTATCTCCTCGACTGCATGAAGGGCATATCAAGGTGTTTTAGGAGAGAGGGTGAATAAAAATCTTCCACCATTGTCTTGTGCGTTTGTGTGTGTCGTGTGTAGTCTCTCTTCTTGCCACTCGATGTTTGAGGTGGTGGCGCTACTTATTAATCCATGTTCTGTTGGATCTGGCTTACCCTGTAAAACAACCTCGAAACCTTGTGCCAAAGTTATGCGTAGGTACCTAATCCGATTACGTATTTGTGTTCCGTGGATCAGAATTCGAGAGATGGGTGCTTTTTACCATTTTTAATGCAATATTCTTTTCTTATGGTTCTTGCGAGTGTTTACCTGAAGTATTGATCAATTTTATGTTATTCCCGAGATGACCATAATACATGCCATGCCGCTGTAGTCCGGATGCTGCCGTCATCTATCCGGGATAGCAGCATCTGGTGTTTAGTTAGTAAGCAGTGATGACCACTGGACTCTGATCATCACGTGCTGTAATACCTGATGATGGAATTCTGTCTAGACCTAGCACTCACAATAGATTTTATCCAATATCAGGTATTAGAACACCTCTTCGTAGCGTGTTATTAACACTATAATAGTACGAGTACGGGGTGAATAAGGCAGCTCAGATCCATTGTACGTGTTGAGGTGATGCCAGATAGAGACATACAAATCATGTACTTCACGCTGAGTCCATCGTAGTAAAGGTACTTAGTAATCATGTATACCATGATCGCACACTGACTCGCAAGACTGCCTGCATCTTAGGGAGAACTACCCCACCCGTTACATCGGAACTCCTTTCACCCCCCCCCCCCCCGTCATCATCTCGTCAATCGATTTACTCGTAACACTGGGCACCCGCGACAGGCTCGTGCAGGCCCCTCCCTTCCTGACTGACCGGGCCCTTTGAAAAAAGAAGAAAAAAATTGCTTGATCTGCGAACCTCTCGCGGCATCACATCCAACCAACTGCGCATAGCGAAATGTCACATCGATAACTACAAACAGAACATGTTCCGCCCTGCCGCTGGCCACCTTCAACGAGGTACCACGTCCAGCTTCGTGCGGCTCGCCCGCCACCATGCCCATCGTCGTCACGCCTTACGCGCCCATATTCGATGGCTGGCAGATGTCGCGAACTCGAGGCCAGGTAGAAGTCTAGCACGTGAGCTTCACCGACATCTCTTTCAACGCTCTTTTCTTCTTCAACCTTGCTGACACCCAGTCGTACTGCTCTCCAGTTCCGACCAAGGCACGATACAACGAAATTGGCATCCAGCAGCTTAGCGCCCACGTCTTTGACCAAGTCTTCCCCGACGGCTGCAAACCCCCTCCCGAGGAGCTCGTCGAGCTGTCAAAGGATCATCTGCGACGGCACGACCTCCTCGGCAAGAACACCGACAAATCCGACCCCATCGCCTTCGATCTACCGCAGCTCCAGGGCCGCACCCTCGACGAACACTTTTTCAAGCTGGGATCCGACTGCGCGGAACCGTTTCTGGGCTTTGCAAAGGATTTTGCCAGGGCCAGTGCACCCCCGAAGCCTCGCAAGTGGGTGCGCCGCAGCGGGTGGACCAAATACTACCCCGACGGCCGCACCGAGCAGGTCGACGCGCCTGGCGAGAACATGCTGTGCTTCGACACCGAAGTCATGTGGAAGGAGAGCCCGTTTGCCGTCATGGCCTGCGCTTCGAGTCCCACGGCATGGTACGCGTGGCTGTCTCCCTGGCTCCTCAAAGAGTCTAGCGATGACAAGCATCTCGTGCCCCTAGGGGACCCTACCAAGGATCGCATCATCGTCGGCCACAACGTCGGCTTCGACAGGGCCCGCATCCTCGAGGAGTACGACATCAAGCAGTCGAGGAACGCCTTTCTGGATACCATGTCGCTTCACGTTGCCGTCAACGGAATGTGTTCCCAACAGCGACCAACCTGGATGCGCCACAAGAAGAACCGCGAACTGCGAGAGCGTGTTGCCCGTCAGACCGAGGATCATGGACTCGCCGAACTCCTGAGCAGCCCGAGCGGCGCTCACGACGAGGAGGAGCTGTGGGTCGAGAGGAGTTCAGTTAACTCTCTTCGTGACGTGGCCAAGTTCCACCTCAACGTATCGATCGACAAGGCTGTGCGCGACGAGTTTGGCGAGCTGGACCGCGACGGAGTCCTCGGTAAGCTCGATGAGCTCATGGACTACTGTGCTGCCGATGTCGCCGTCACCCACCGTGTCTACCAGATCGTCTTCCCCAACTTCCTCGAAGTCTGCCCTCACCCCGTCAGCTTCGCCGCCCTCCGCCACCTCTCATCCGTCATCCTGCCGGTCAACAGGTCTTGGGAAGCGTACATCTCCAACGCCGAAGCTACCTACCACAAGCTCTCCGATGGCGTCCAGGACCGCCTGGTGAAGCTGGCCGACAAGGCCATCGAGATCAAGGACCGGGAAGACATCTGGGGCAATGACCCGTGGCTGCAGCAGCTCGACTGGTCGGGCCAGGAGGTCAAAATGGTCAAGGGAAAGCGCAAGAATGACCCGCCCCGTCCCGCCGCTCGACAGAAGAAGCCCGGCATGCCGCGGTGGTATAAAGACCTCTTCCCCAAGAACGATGCCCCCATCAACATCACTGTACGCACCAGGATAGCCCCGCTCCTCCTCAAGCTGGCTTGGGACGGCCACCCCTTATTCTGGTCAGACAAGTATGGCTGGACGTTCCGGGTACCTCGAGCAGAGTCCGGCACATACACAGCCAAGCAGATGATGCGGTGCGAGTTTGACGAGTCGGAGCCCGCTCTGCGTGCCGACTGGGCTCACGCCTACTTCAAGCTACCCCACAAGGATGGCCCGTCTGCTCGGTGCGTGAATCCCATGGCCAAGGGCTACCTCGGCTACTTCGAGAGCGGAATACTCACGTCGGAGTATCCCTACGCCAAGGAGGCCCTGGAGATGAATGCGTCGTGTTCCTACTGGATCAGTGCCCGGGATCGCATCATGTCGCAGATGGTGGTATACAACGAGGACCTGCCGGGTACCGGCGAGAAGGGGGTTGGGGTTGGGAAGAAGAAGGCCGAGGCGTCCGAGGAAGCCGATAGAAACGGCTTCATCCTGCCGCAGGTGATTCCCATGGGCACGATCACGCGGAGAGCGGTGGAGAACACGTGGCTCACGGCGAGCAACGCCAAGAAGAACCGTGTCGGCTCCGAGCTCAAGGCCATGGTCCAGGCGCCCAAAGGCTACACATTTGTCGGGGCAGACGTGGACTCGGAAGAGCTATGGATTGCCAGCTTAGTCGGGGACGCGACCTTCAAGATCCACGGCGGCAACGCGGTGGGGTTCATGACGCTGGAGGGCACCAAGTCCGCCGGAACGGACCTGCACTCGCGGACTGCGTCGATCCTGGGCATCACGCGCAGCGACGCCAAGGTGTTCAACTACGGACGCATCTACGGGGCGGGGCTCAAGTTTGCGGCGACGCTGCTGAGGCAGTTCAACCCGGGCCTGTCGGAGAAGGAGACGATGCAGACGGCGTCGCGGCTGTACGCCAACACCAAAGGCACCAGGACGAACCGGCGGGCGATCCACAAGCGGCCGTTCTGGCGCGGCGGCACCGAGTCGTTCGTCTTCAACAAGCTCGAGGAGTTTGCCGAGCAGGAGAGGCCGCGCACACCCGTTCTCGGGGCTGGCATCACCGAGGCTCTCATGGGCCGCTTCGTCAGCAAGGGCGGGTACCTGACGTCCCGCATCAACTGGGCCATCCAGTCGTCGGGCGTCGACTACCTGCACCTGCTCATCGTGGGCATGGACTACCTGACGCGTCGGTTCAACATTGACGCCCGGGTGGCCATCACGGTGCACGACGAGATCCGGTACCTGGTCAAGGACGAGGACAAGTACCGCGCCGCCATGGCACTCCAGGTGGCCAACGTGTGGACCCGGGCCATGTTTGCGCAGCAGGTGGGCATCGACGACCTGCCCCAGTCATGCGCCTACTTCTCGGCCGTCGACTTTGACCGCGTGCTCCGCAAGGAGGTGGACATGGAGTGCCTCACGCCCAGCAACAGGACGCCCATCCCGCCCGGCGAGACCATGGACATGACGGCCCTCCTCGACAAGGGATCGCTCGCCCGTCTGGACCCGGATACAGTCCCGGATGCCAGGTACGCGCCCCGCACGGAGAGCATAGAGTACAGGCCCCGCGTGCCCGTCATGCAGACGATCCGCGACAGCGCGGACGAGAGCGCCTTCTTCCGGCGAGCGCAGATCGTCGGCACAGACGACGAGCTCCGCGACCTGCTGAGGGACATGCGCACGGCGACGGCGCCGTCCACGACGGCGGCCAAGAAGGTGGCGCTGCCGACGACGGGCTCGAGAAGAAAGTCGGTCCTCCCCTACAGGGCTCACCCGCAGCTCGTGCCTATGGATGAACCCATCTCCGTGTCGGAGGCTATGAATCGGCAGCACAGGGCGTACGATTCCAAGAAGTGGCAGTGGACGAGCAAGGGTGGTAAAGGGGCGAGGGCTACAAGTTGGAGGATGTGATGTCACCTTGCCTGTCTCTCTGTCCTCTTCCCCTACACCTCAGGCTTTCTCTATATTTCATTTGGTTTTCTCTGATATACGGCGGTATGAGTTGTATCTCTCTCTCTTCAGGGGTGGGTTGTTTTTGTTGTTGTTGTTGTTGTTGTTGTTGTTGTCGTTGTTCTGGGATGCATTTTCATGGTCGGCGGTGTTTTTTCTTCTTCCTTTCCCCCCCATCTTCTCTTCTCTTCTTTCTCCCTTCTCTCTTCTCCTCTGTGCACAGATGATGGTTGTAAAAAAAAAAGTCTAGCATGTATGATATGAAGTTATTGTATAATAATAATTGTTCAGTATATGGGGTATCGAGAGAGCGGCTGAGAGAGCGATTCAAGAGGGCTACCTCTATAGAGAGCAAGGATTGGCGGCCTCTAAAATGTAACTGAGGCTGTGCCATGCCATGCCTCCGCCGCTGACCCGACGAGTCAAGACTGTACGAATAAAGTCACCCTGCCCTCCCTGACGATCGGCCTGGATTGAATCGTCGGTGGTCCTTCTGCATTGGGCACGAAAGCCTGGCCTCGGTGATGGTGTCGCTCCCCCCCCCTCCCCCCTCCTTCATCCTCAAGCTCAAGCCCCCCTGCTGCCTAGGCAGTTTCAGAGCGGCTGCTGCTCTAGTTGGAGAGGAGAGAGAGAGAGAGAGAGAGAGAGTGTGTGTGTGTGTGCTGTGACAGCGGTAAGGGGCAGGTCTGCATTGTTAGGAATTTACTAACGATTGAGGCTGAATTCTTAACAGCTTCAGGACACGGTCAAGGGAGGCAGCTTAGCTTAGCGGGCGGGGCGCAGCGGGGAGTGGGGGATGACGTTTGGGGGGGGCTTCTGGAGGGGCCGACGGCTCACTCTCACCATTCTGTCGTCTCCTGTCCCTCTTTTTTCCTTCTTCATCTTTCATACTTTCATACTCTCTCACAGCTGTCTGCTGTCCCATCACCTCTGTTTCTCTCTCTCTCTCAATCCCAAACACACTCTCACTCTCACACTCTCTCTAAGTGGTCGATAATATACGCGGCAGGAAAAGGAAGAGGCAGAAGAGAGAAAAAAGAAAGAGAGAATAAAGAAGAAGGAAGAGAGTGAAAGGATAGATAGAAAGAGAGAAGATGGCGGACACGACAACCACAGGCGACATCATCCAGCGTCTCCGCGACTCACGCCCCCCCGCGACAGATGGATTCACCTACTTGACCATCATCGAGAAGTCGCTGAGTCCGGAGATCCTGCCCGCCCTCGGCGAGATCCTGGACAGCGCGGAGCTGACCAACGATATCGGATGGGACCTGGTGGACATGCTCGTGCCCGTGCCGGGTAGCTCCGTGTGCCTGGAGAAGATTGCCAGGCTGGGGAACCCGCGCGAGGTGATCCTCAAGGTTCTCGAGGTCATGGACAAGACGGCGGCAGCAGAGGCGTCTAGGAAGCAGGAGGAGGAAGCAGAGGCAGAGGTGGAGACGGAGACGGAAGCGGCAAGACGGAAGCTGCTCGGCAGCGCCGGCGCCAACGACAAGTTCGTCGCGCTGGTGGGCATGCTCAAGATCCTGCACGGGAGACTGCAGGTCAAGAAGCCCTCGCGGTTCCTGCACACGACGCTCGACACCGTCCTCCGGGCCTACGACGCGACCAGCTCGGCCGCCACGGCCGCCATAGTCGACCTGGTGCGTTCGCTCTCGGGCCAGAGGAGGCCGGCCCTGCCCACGCGCCAGTCGAGCACGCGCCTCGACACGCCCTTCCAGGCCACGGACCCGACGCAGACGGCCCCCGACCCGGAGGCGGACAAGACGGAAGGGCAGCCCTACGCCCCCGAGGAGGAGGACCTGGTCAGACGGCTGCTGCAGTCCTTCGTCACGTGCATCATCGAGGCCTATGTCAACTCGAACAGTCTGGAGTGGGCATCGAGGCTGCTGGAGTACACCGTCCCGGAGAGGATCGTGCCTCGACGTCCGACCATGATGCAGGCGTACAACGAGGTCGAGTCGCTGCAGGCGATGGACGCTCTGGTGGGGCAGCTGGTGGTGAGTGAAATTTCCTGGAGAGAGAGAGAGAGAGAGAGAGAGAGAGAGTGTGTGTGTGTGTGTATGTGCGTGTGTATGTGTACGACGCTGACAAGGAGAGGGAGAGAGTGAATAGTCGGTCGCAAGTGATCTAGGTCTTACCAAGCTGTCTAAGCAAGAAGTGCACGACATCTTCACGGCCCCGGAGCCCGTGACGGAACCGCTCGCGGCCGACGATCCGGAGGAAGGGGAGGCGACGGATGCCGAGGCGGTGATCAAGCTCTCGACGGGAGGGTTCACGTGCCTAGCAGCCTACTGGATGTTCTCGTCAGACGTGTTCGACGCGCACCACGCCAACGTCGACGTAGACGTGTTCCCCGAGCTGCACCTGCTGCTGCGCAGCCTGGTGGGCGACGAGGACCCGCAGGCGGCCATCGCCAGCAACCCGGGCACGTTTGAGGCACTGATCGTCATGGCCGTGTGGCTCGACAGCCACCGGGGGACGGTGCCCCGGTCGTCGTCCGCGGTGGCGGACAACGACGAGGTCGACATCATGTCGTACCTGCACCTGCTGACGCTCGTGTCCGTCTTCCACAGCAACATCCGCGTGCGCAACGCGGCCACGTTCATGGCCGGGTCGGTGCTGCACGCCGACCCGGACGAGGGCGACAGGCTGGCCATACTGGAGGACCTGATGGAGAACTGCATGTTCTCGGCGCTCCAGGCGTGCGCCGTATCCTGGCTGAAGGAGGAGATCATGGCGGCCGCGTCAGGAGGGCGGGGCAGCGGCGGGGGCAGGGGCGAGGGCGGGGGCGAGGGCAGGGGCGAGGGGACGACGCGCGCCCTGTTCGCCGGGCCGGAATGCTTCGACAGGCTGCAGTACACCGTCTTCCCGGATCTCAAGCACCTCGACGACGCCGACAGCCAGGCCGTGTGGGACTACTGGACGCAGGCATCCCCGCTCCTGCTGCAGGTGGCCAACTTTGCCCTGTACCTGTTTGGCGGAGCGCAGCAGGCGACGTCGCCGTTGAGGGACGTGGTCCCCCAGGGGCTGGCGACGACGGTAGAGCACAGGTACGTCGAGCCTCTGGGTCGGGCGGCCAACCGGTTGACCGAGGCGCTGGACAAGGGTCAGATCACGGCGGGGGATCCGGGATCGACGGCCGACGCCAAGATGCAGCTAGGAATCTTGGCGGACACTCTGGGCAGGGTACCGTTGCAGTGATGGGTAGCCTTGTACGAGTAGTGAGGGAGTACTGGGCCCTCTCTTTCTTATTTTATTAATATTAAAAATCCCCCCCCCCCATGGACATTCCAAGTGCCGACAATTTCCTCCTTCTTCTTTCTTCTTCCACGGAGAAGACTTTTTATTTTTATCCCTTTATCTCTCTATTCTCATCTTCTACCTTGTTCAGATATCTCTTTTACTCTCACCACCAGGAAGCTATATTAATGGTAACCGGGATATATATACGCCATCATCACGAATCCACTTCAGCAGAGTGAGATGGATGGTCTCGCCGCCGTCTCGGTGACGGTTTCTCGCCACGTGAAATGCACATCATCTATGGAGTCATATGACCACGACTACTCCGTACTCGTGTACACGTATATGTATGATGGACTGACTACGTAGTATCGTCACTCGTAGATGATCAGATCAGACAAGAGAGATAGACTGGATATGTCTGTTCCGTCACCCCCCCCCTCCTCCCCCCGTCTCTCAGAGTTAGGCAACAGGCAAACGGTCTGGATTCGGTGTCACGCAAAGGCCGAGGCCACCGACTCTATCGAGCACCTGCTACCGCTCAGCATCACGATACGAGCGATTATGATAGTACGCAGTGAATAAGCGGTCGGATGCTCCCTCACGAGTAATAGCGGCCAACTGTACGGCGAGTGCATCACCGCTAGCATCAGGTGGCAAGGGTGTGCACGTGGGCAGGGATATTGAAGAGTCGTCAGGTCCATGTGACTCACGAATACAAGACTAAATCCAAAATCCAACCCTAGAGGAAGGAATTCCAGAGGGAACGAGAAGACTCCGGGACGGACAGGCTGAGTCAGATAGCCGACATAATATAGAGTTACCTATTTATCGATTATTCGTAGCATGTACAGCGGAGCCATCGGAGCTAGTCGCCGCCTCCGGAACGGTCGGAGTGTTTTGTTATTATTATCTATTCTATAGTCTTTTTCCTTTCAGATAATCCCCCCCCCCGCCTCTCTGTCTTCTTTCCTCACCCCCTTCCTCTCTATTCTCTCTAGAGCTGGTCATGCCGATCTGTGATCTGCATCGAGGTGGCCCAATCATGTCTTGGGGCAAGCCAAGACGGTTAGGGATAGAAGTTATCATACAACGACCCCCCCCTTCCCCCGGTAGTCATGCCCTCTGTGTGCTCCGTCGTTGCCCGAAGTGTGAGAGAGAAATGAATGATGTCAAAATGTCCGCTTCCGTAGGACCGTTACAGAGTCTCCGAGGATCCAGAACGTGAGGACTCGCACCCATTTTTTCTTCTCCTTCTTCTCTTCTTCCCTCTCCTCATTTCTTTCACAGGAGATCCCATCATCCGTATTCTACTCTCTCTATACCCTCTCTCATTCTAAATTTTTTTTCTTCTCCTCTCCGCTCCCCATCATGTGGTGACTTGGTTTATCAAAAGCGTCAACTCCCCCCGCCACCCCAACTGCTTCGGTACTTTACCCTCTCGGTGTGCGCGTCATAAGAGTGACGTACCTCGACTCCCACACACATGGAAATGCAGTCTCAGCCTCAACCCTCCATCATCGGCCTGCACGGTAACGTCAACGGCCGCACCGGCAGCGATGATGGGAATGTTTCGGATACAGAGACATTAGAGGATGTCGAATATCCCGACCAACCCCAGGATCAGAAACAACTACGACGACGACAACAACAACAACGACAGCAGCAGCAGCAGCAGCGACAACAAGATACGAATCACCGTGAAACTCTGCACCCGCTTACCAAGGCATACACTGCCTCTGGTGGACGGCGAGCCCCTCCGGTATCGACGCTGAATCGGATCCACTCGGCCACGACCGGATCCGAGAGGCGGTGGCCCTCGCCTCGCGCCCCGCATGGCCGCAACCGTAGACGGGCCAACACTCATCTGAGCGGTGGCCTCGGCGACATCCGGCCGTCGCTGGAGGAGAGCGGCGCTGCGGGAGCGAAGCCATACCTCGACAGGGCACTGTGGTCGCCGCCTAGATCTCGCGGCGGGTACGTGTCCAGCGACTCGTCGGATGACGATCACGATACCGTCCCCCCGGCCGACGGGGTGGCCAAGGCGCAGCAGGAAGATGCTAGGGCCGAGAAGATGAGGAGGAGGAAGAAGGTCAGGGCAAGATCCAGGCCTGGCAGTGGAGGCGGAGGCGGAGGCGGAAGCGGAAGCGGAAGCGGCGGCAGACCTGAACGCGAACCCGAGGCGGATACGGACCGTGACGTGGCCCCCCAGCTACCCCCCAAGAACTCCCTTCTCGACGTGGTCGACACCGACGACCGGTACAGGCGGTTCCTGGTCGGCAACGAAAACTACCAGACCAAGGGCAGGATCAAGAAGGACGGCCGGCTGCGCATCACCGTCGACGAGACCCGCGGGACCGGCTACATCGCCAAGGCGCTCGGGGCCGCAGTCAGCAGGATGAAGCCGCCGCTGTCGCCGCCGGCGGTCTGCGGCGGGCCAGGGAAGAAGACGAGGCAGCAGCAGCAGCAGCAGCAGCAGCAGCAGCAGCTACAGTCTACGCCGGCCGAGTCCGGCTTCAAGATGGAGGACCTGGACCCGCTGCCGCGCCTCAATATCGTCATCATGGTCATCGGGTCGCGGGGCGACGTGCAGCCGTTCCTGAAGATCGGCAAGATGCTCAAGGAGGACTACGGCCACCGGGTGCGCATAGCGACCCATCCGACGTTCCGGGACTACGTCGAGCGCGACTCCGGGCTCGAGTTCTTCTCCGTCGGCGGCGACCCGTCAGAGCTGATGGCCTTCATGGTCAAGAACCCGGGCATGATACCGACGCTGGAGACGGTGCGGGCCGGCGACATCGGCAAGCGCCGCGCCGCCATGGCCGCCATGTTCCAGGGCTTCTGGCGGGCCTGCGTCCAGGCCACCGACGACGAGGCCGACGCGCAGAACCTCAAGATGCTGGGGGCCAAGGAGCCGTTCGTGGCCGACGCCATCATCGCCAACCCCCCCAGCTTCGCCCACGTCCACTGCGCCGAGGCGCTGGGCATCCCGCTGCACCTCATGTTCACCTTCCCCTACAGCCCCACCCAGGCCTTCCCCCATCCGCTGGCTAGCATCAAGCGTTCCAACGTCGACCCGGGCTACACAAACTTCATATCCTACCCCATGGTCGAGATGATGGTCTGGCAGGGGCTCGGCGACCTCATCAACGACTTCCGCGTCAAGACCCTCGCCCTCGACCCCGTCTCGACCCTGTGGGCCCCGGGCACCACCTACCGCCTCCGCGTGCCCTTCACCTACCTCTGGTCGCCCGGCCTGGTGCCGAAGCCCCGCGACTGGGGCGACAACATCGACATATCCGGCTTCGTCTACCTCGACCTCGCCTCCACCTACAGGCCGCCTGCCGAGCTCGAGGCCTTCCTGGCCGACCGGTCCAAGCCCATCGTCTACATCGGCTTCGGCTCCATCGTCGTCGACGACGCCGACAAGTTCACCGACATGATCTTCGAGGCCGTCCGCAAGGCCGGCGTGCGCGCCCTCGTCTCCAGGGGCTGGGGCGGCTTCGGCGGCGACGGCGGCACCCCCGGCGACGTGCTGATGCTGGGCAACTCCCCGCACGACTGGCTCTTCCCCCGCGTCGACGCCTGCGTCATCCACGGCGGCGCCGGCACCACGGCCATCGCCCTCAAGACCGGACGCCCGACCATGGTGGTGCCCTTCTTCGGCGACCAGCACTTCTGGGGCAACATGGTCAGCAACGCCAAGGTCGGACCCGAGCCGGTCCACCACCGGAGCCTGACGGCCGACAAGCTCGCCGACGGCATCGCCTACTGTCTCACCCGGGAGGCCCGCGACGCCGCCGCCAAGATAGCCGAGGACATCGCCCTCGAGGGCGACGGCGCCACCAACGCCGTCCTCTCCTTCCACCGCCACCTCAACCTGGCCGGCCCGGCCCCGTCGATGCGCTGCTCCATCCTCAAGGACCAGGTCGCCGCGTGGCAGGTCAGGGGCACCGACGTCAAGCTCAGCCCCCTGGCCGCCGACATCCTCGTCGACACGGGCGTCACGTCCTGGAGGAAGCTGCGTCTCCTCCGGCACACCGAGTGGAACGACTTTGCCGGCCCGGGCGGTCCGTTCACCGCCGTGGCGGGGTCGCTGGGCCACACGGCCCGCACCGTCGGCCTCGTCGCACCCCTGAAGCTGGCCAAGTCGTCCAAGAAGTACAAGCGGCGGCTGGCGGAGAAGAGACGGAAGCGCCTGAGCGGCAGCACCATCGCCACCACGACGGACGACCCCGCCACCGTCGCCGGCCACGTCAGGAATAGCACGACCACCGCCAGCAGCGCCGGGAGCACAGCCGTCACCGCCACCACGACGACCACCGCAGCAGGAGCGGGAGCGGGAACGGGAGCGGGAGCGGGAGAAGTAGGAGAAGACATAACTCTCGTCCCCACGTGGGACATACACGGCGAATTCATAGGCGACGTGACCCTTGGCGTGGGGAAGACGGCATCAGCCCTGGCCATGGCGCCGGTCGACCTGTCCGTCGCGCTGGCGCAGGGCTTCCACAACGCGCCCCGCCTGTACGGGGACGACACGGTGCGTCGGCCCGTGCGCATAACGGGCATCCAGTCTGGCCTCGAGGCCGCCGGGAAGGAGTTTGTGTACGGCGTCTACGACGCCTTCTCCGGACTGGTGGTCCTGCCCTACCGGGGCGCGCGGGATGACGGCCTGGTCGGCTTCACCAAGGGCGCCGGCATGGGCTTCATGGGCCTGATGGTCAAGAACGTGGCCGCCGTGCTGGGGCCGCTGGGCTACACCCTCAAGGGGCTGGCCAAGCAGGTCGAGCGGTCGTCCACCAAGTCGCCCACGGCGCTCATACGGAGGGCGCGCATAGCCCAGGGCCAGCGCGCCACGCACGACCTGCCTCCCGACGAGAGGGAGGCCCTCGTCGAAGAGGTCGTCGCCGGCCGCTACGTCATGAAGGCCCTGGGCGAGGCCATCGCCGCCGACGCCCAGAAGCGAGGCATAGCGGGTCGGTGGGACCGCTTCTTCGGCGACGTCGCCCCCCTCTTTGAGGATGTCCAGGTCGCTCAGGGGGCCCTCGATGCGCTGCGTAGGGGAGTGCCGCTCGATGTCCTCGTCAGACGGCCGGCCGTGCGGTCGCATCATCGCAGCTCGGTCAGTTGGAGGGATAGGTTGCGTGCTAGACCGTGCGATGATAAATGAGCGATGCTTCTCTCTCTCTGTTTTTTCTTCATTCCCCCATTCTTTACTCTACATCTCTTCTAAAATTTTTTTCATCACCTCCTCCCTCCCTTGTTTTCCCTTGTTTTCCCATATTCTTTTTGGTTTTTTTTTCTGTTTTTGTTTTTAGTCAAATACCCCCCTCCCCCCTCAACGAGGCGTTTTCATGATTTATAGCTATACAAGGAAGAATTTTCGCGTCACGGAAAAGAAAGTCAATGATAAAAAGAATTCATGGATAGAATATGGATGCAATTTCTATTTTTATGATAAGGTCTACTTTCTTTCCTTTGTTCTTCTTTCTTTTTTTCATCATCGAGGCAACGGAAAGCATATATTATATACAATGGAAATGAGCATTAGTTCGGCCTGTTCCGGTCATGGCCTCTTTGACGATGACCATCACCACGACGCTTTCCGTCATCCTCTCTGTAGTTCCTACCCCTGTCCCTGTCACTATCGCGGGGGCGGTGACGATGACCGTCCCTCTCCCTCTCGCGCTCCCGCTTGTAGCTGTCCTCGTGGGCCCTGCCGTCCCTCTTCCTGGTCTCCTCGCGACGGTACTCGTCCAAGCGGGGCCTGGAGCGTTTCTTGCCGGCGCCGGCGCCGGACTGATTCCACCCGCCCAGGTCCTCGTCACCCTTGAGCTCCTTGGCGCCGAGGCCCATGCGGTTAGGGCGTCGCTTGACCTGCGTGTGGCGCATGGTGCCCTTCTCCTTGCCGTCCCAGCCCATGCCGCGCAGGAGGGCGGCGCCGAACTCCTCGACCGGCATGGCCTCGTAGTCCTCCAGCGTCGAGGCCTCGCCGGCGGCCTGGACGTCGCGCTGGTAGGCGTCCGTCTCGGACGGGCGGATGGTGACTGTCGGTTTCGAGTCGGATGGTTTGCGGCCGAGCAGCGCGTCCATGGCCTCCTCGTCGGCTGTCCTCGGTTTCTTCTCGTCTTCTTCTTCTTCTTCTTTAGATTCCAACTTGACATCCCCTCCTTCTCCTTCCTCCCCCCTTAACGTGTTACCGTCGTCGTCCTGCTCTTCTCTCTTGGGCTTGACTGTGAGTCCCCATTGTATACCGGCGTCCTTGCCGGCCGGTTCCGTCTCGACGGTCTGCGCCTGGCCGTTCAAGGCCTGCCGCGCCTCCTCGGGGAGCAGGTTCTTGCCGCGTCGCTGGGCTCTCATCTCGCCCCGCCAGTCGCGGTTGGGCTGCCGAGCGATGATGTATTCCTTCTTCTCCTCCTTGCGGCTGGCAGACCCCGTCTCGGCGCCGTCTGCGCCAAATCCTGTGATGACCTCGTGACGCCCGCGCCCTTCACCGTCCGACTCGGATCCGTCGTCGTCCCATGCTGCTCGTGGTCGCTTGCCTAGACTTGAGGACGGTGCTGGCGCTGGCAGTTTGCGGCTGCCGTTCGGCTTGGTCGCTAATGCAGGTGCGCCAAACTTGATGGCTATGCGGCCTTTGTTGGGTTCGGACATGATGTGTCTGTGTATGTGTGTTTTTTCCCGGAGAGAGAGAGAGGGGGGGGAGGGGGGAGAGAGGGGAGAATCTTGACCTCTCGTCGTGGATGACGCTTGTATGGCAGAAAACGATGCTCTGTACCGTGCACGATACGTACGTCAGAGACGAGCCAAGGCTCGGTGGCTGATGAGTGATGCGCCACGTGTGGCTGATGTACCACAGTTTTCAGGAAACGGCCTATAAAAAAGAAGAGGGAAAAAAAAGCACACCGCAACAGAAAATGTACGGTATCATGGGATGGACAGCATTTTCATACCGTTTACGAGCGTTGATTCGGGCTCGTCGTACAGGAAGATTGTGGGATGAAAATGAACAATACAGGTAAGTGCATTCATGTCTTCACCTTAGAGATCGCCACATTCAATCTCAGTCTTTTTTTCTTACATCTTTTTTTCTCTCCCTGTTTGCAGATGACATTCTGTCGGTCCTGATGGAGGGCATGGGAGATGATCCAATCAAATGAATATGACGCTAAACCCATTCAAGAAAAGTTGATAACGGTGGAGGGACATGGGTCAGCGTCATGGATACGGAGTACTCCGTATGAGACGGACATGGTCTCAAAGACACTGTGCCAACTGGTGGCTAAGGGCCTGCGGCGTTGATGGCGTTGTCTCGGTCGCCCTTGTAATATCGCGGCAATGAGTGCGGAGTACAGTGCACAGTATGGATGCCAGGTAGAGTTTGCGTTAAGAAAGCGAGTACGTCGTGTCATGAGTTTGTATTACAAGCAATACTGGCACTCATTCGGGAGACTTTGTTCGGCGCCGCCCTCCCTAAGGCATGTTACAGGTATGTGATCTGTACTCTCTCTCGCATGAGTATTATATGTACGTTGTGATTCTGCACAGAAAATTTGATGCAGCTGGACGGAAAAGGGGGAGGCTAGCTTACAGCTTGCACAGTGGCTAAACCCTAAACGCGTCTTTTCAGCGGGGTGCGCTACCCGTAGAAGGCAGCACATCGGGGTATCTGCTCACTAAGGCCGCCCCTAGGGCGCGTTCCCCCCTAGCTAGAGCCCTCTTCCCCCTAGACGCATCCCTAGAGCAGTCGCTCCGTTAGCGTAAACACCGCTGAAAGGCGAAGGTAAGCCCGCCCCAAGAGGACGAAGACGAAGAAGGGGGGAGATATGGGGGGGACTCTGGTAGCAACTACAGAGTGGTGATTGCTGCCTGTGAGTTTGTGTGAGTTTGCCCATGATGAGCCTCCCCTCTCCCCCCGAACACCTACCTAGTCCTCCTCCTCCCCCCCCCAAAAAAAAAAATTGAGAGCCGTCACCAGCGACGTCGTGAAAAAAATCCCCCCCCCCCCCCCCCCCCCCGCTCCCTACGACAAAAAAATCCGACAACGACACAAATCCATCAAAACAACACCCACGACGACCATTTTTACTGCTCGGTGCATCATTCTCATCGATTTTGGCCTCTGCTCATCCCATCGGCCCATCCGTTTCACTCGTAAACGGATGTCGCCGCCGTCGATGCTATGACTGAGGCCGGATCAGCCGACCTTTCCAAGATCTTCAACACCAGAAGAGGTCAAAACAAGTGTGTTATATCTCGTTGGATGCGGCGTATTTTTCTGCATCGTTTGATACCACTTTTGTCATGCTGACGCCCCTCAGTGCAATTATAACATCGCGTAAGAGGAAGCTGCGTGAGCTGTTCGCGGTCGCGACCGTCGCCGAAAGCCAGTCCCACGATGGCTTCGCAAACCCCGACGCGACACCGTCGACACCAGCCGAAGCGCACTTTCTGCAAGCTAATGAAATAGTCCAGTATGTTGGAGCAATTGATTGACATGTGTTCTTCCCCGTCGCACGCGCATTTGCGGCTTGCAGACACCGCTCTACCCTTGGCACGCTGTCTGCTGGGAGACCCGATAATAAATAGCACATGTACTTACCATTCCATCTCATTGATCGCAGAGGCAGAAAGTTCATCGACCAAACCATCCCTCCGCACCACCTCCCCCCTCTCGAGTCCCTCCACCGGTCGCTGGCCGCCTTGCAAACCCCTACCACGCTCCCGACGCCCTCCGGAGAGCAGAAGCTGCCGCTTGCTGCGCAGCCTGTCCCGTGTCAGCAGACCAAGGTCTCGCCGCCACAGATCAGACCCAACGCTGCGACTCCCTCCCATTCTACCCTGCCTCGCGCCGTTGAGGTGCGCCGGCCTAGCCCCCCGACGACATCGACGCCTGTCCCCGAGAACGCGACAGCCCCCACTCGCGCCGCTCCGCGGCCTCCTTCAACCACGCCGATCACAGCAGCACAGACCCCACCAGCTCACCGACCAAGCAGCGTCCCCATCGCGCCAGCTGCGCCGACGCCTGTATCGACAGAGGCACAGTCACAGAAGTCGCCATCTCCCCCGGTTCAGACCAAGGTGGCACCTCCGCCCGCTCTCAAAAGCACGACCAGCGCAGACGAGACCAGCGCCGCGGCCCCGAAGCCTGCCGACTCGAGACCTGTGGAGTCGAGGCCTGCCGTCTCCGGCCCGGTTGCACCAGCACAGCAGGACAACGCCGTCTCGCGGACCAAGACAAGCCTCGATGTACCGCGCCCTGCAGACGTACCCTCATCGCCCGAGTCCAGTGCTCGAAGCGCAACTACGCCGGCCATTCACGATACATCGACCGACACCAGCCCGGATAATGGAGGGTCATCCCACCACGAACTGCCTGAAAAGCAGGACCCCAAGGGTGATCGGGCGGATGAAGGCGCGCAAGGGAAGCCAGCTGATGCTGACGCTCATGATGCAGAGGGTGCCGACTCGGCTGAGGATCAACTCATCCAAGAGTCACTACGCTCCAGTGCTGCGGCGAGGAGCCCTGGAGGTCAAAAGGTGGAGGCCGTTCCAGCGGCACCGGCAGCCGAGCCCGCCAAGTCGAGCCCTCAAGAAGCGGAAGCCCCTTCGCCGGAAAAGCCCCAGAACACACGCCCTGCAGTAGAGCGTCCCGCCGTACAGGCCGTACAGGCCGTGGAGCAGGTGGGGGATTCGGCCGAAATCCCCGATAGCAGGGGCAACTCGCCGGAAGAGATGGACGTCCACCCAACCGGACCTGCAGCTTCTGCTGTCGAGACTGCGCCTATCGTCGAGACTGCCCCTGTTCAGCCTAAGCAGGAACCCATCACCGACGACCAGGCGCCTATCACTCCTTCTACGCCCCCCAAGCAAGAGCAGACTGATGCTGCTTCCCAGGCACGGCAAGGGGCCGTGACCAGGGTGTCTTCGGGAGCCATGCGGCCTAGATCAGTGACCGAGATCGTGGCCGGGGGCCTCAGCCTAGATCGTCGCCCCTCATCATCCAAGGACGAGCAGAATCAGCTGACACCCTTGACGTCGACCTCGTCGCATTCACCCAGCCGCGGTAGACGACCCACTGCTCGCAAGGATCGACAAAAGGGACAAGTCTCGGCCGTACTGTTCGGCAAGCATCCTACAAGGGTCGACGAGAAATCGGTTGCGGGCTCGTCAAAGGACGCAGTACAGCCGTCTGATGACTATTACACGCCTCTTTTCATCCAAGGATTTGCTAGGGCAGGCTCAACCTGGATGCAGCCGCTCGAGAAGATCCTCTTCCACGCCAACAAGACTGTCGGGACGGCCGACGCCAACCTGGCCATCCTGGACCACCAGGCTTGCAAGATACTGCACAGGGTGTATCATCTCCAGAGTACTGACAAGTGGACTCTCCGGCAACCAAAGCGCTGCCCCGAGCCCACGCGCCCCCCGTCACACTGGGACATGGCGCTTAAGGAGATGAGATGGATGCGAACCGACTTCCGCGAGGAACGCAAGTGGAAGATGGCTGCTGCCAGGAACCTGGCGGAGGCCTGTGCCGATTGGTGCAACGCATCGCCCCAGGAGCGCAAAGCTTTGCAAGTTCCCGCCATGATCCCTCCCCGCAGCGCACCCGCAGACGAGGATGTGGCCATGACGGAAGATGCAGTCGAGGACGCAACGGACAACGTGCCAACGCCGGAGCTCGTACCAGGAGACGTGGCGTCGCCACAGAATGCAGACGACCTCAGCGACTTCCTGCAGGAGACTGTGTCCCCGTCCGCCATCTTCACGCTGCACGAGGATGACGTCGTGTTCGGATTGCGGCACACAGCTGCTGCCGATCAGCTCCTTGGAGAGCTCCCCGTGTACGCACCGCCTCTCAAGGTGCCCACCTCGGATCCTCTGGCGCCCCAGTTCGATCCAGACGCGTCATGGCGCAGGCCGGCTCTGCCTCTGAGCAAGTACGTCGAAGGGCAGATGAAGCTGATCTCGGAGGGCCCGCCGAGGAAGAAGAGCAGGTACGACTACGACTCGGACGACTCGGACGACGAAGCCGCGGACGGCGGGTTCGTAAGCCAGCAGCAACTGCCGTCGTCGGACAATACGGTGCTCCCGGCCTCCACGGACGAAGTCGCCCTCTTCCGGCCTGAAATGAAGCATATCCGCGATCGACTGCACGCCGGGCACCAGTTCCGCCCCCCTACAGACCATCCCATGCCTCCTCAGAACTTTTACGAGTGCCGTCACCCTTCGCAGTGGACGTGCGCCGAGGACGACGAGCTCCGGGGCCTCGTCAGGGAGCACTCGTACAACTGGCCCCTCATCTCGAGCAACCTGTCGAGCCGGTCCATGTACTCGTCGGGAGCCGAGAGGCGAACGCCCTGGGAGTGCTTCGAGAGGTGGATCAACCTGGAAGGCATGCCGTCTGACATGCAGAAGACGCAATACTTCAGAACATACAACAGCCGCATCGAGTCGGCGCAGCGCGTGGTGATACAGAACCAGCTGGCCGCTCAACAGGCAGCGGCAGCAGGTGCAGCAGCGGGCGGTGCCGGAGGAGCGGCAGCCGCTGCGGCTGCGGCCCAACCTGTGCGGAGGAGACAGACCACCCCCCTCCGGGTTGAGAGACGCCGTAACCAGAAGCACATGGCGCTCATCGACGCCATGAGGAAGCTGGCGAAGAAGCGGGAGACGATACTGCAGAAGCAGCAGCAGAGTGCGGCTCAGAGCGCGGCCAACAAGAAGCCCGAACCCCCGGCCCAGAGGCACAACAAGACGCCCCGCGATTACAGTCTCATCCGGTGGGAGAGGGATCAGGCGTTGGCGGAGAAGATGGCGGCCTTTGCTCAGCGGCAAGACGCCACGAGGAGGGTAAGGATTCTTCGTCTGCTGGATACGTACGACCGGATGAAAGCTGACGTGCACAATGTTACCAGGCCGCCATCATGCAAGCGAGGGCCCAGCAGAACCAGGGAGTCCAGGGCGTCGGGCACGCACCGGGCCAGAACCAAGCTAACGGCGTACCCCGACCTAACACGGTCGTGGGACCGCAGGGACAGCCTCAGCAGCAGCAAGCTCAGCAGCATCCTCAGCAGCAGCCGCCGCCTCAGCAGCCGCCGCCGCCTCAGCAGCAGCAGCAGCAGCAGCAGCAACACCGGATGCCCATGCAGGCGCCTCCCAGTGCCATGGCTGCCGCGGCGGCGGCGGCTGCCGCGGCGGCTGCCAACAGCTCCCCTCACCCCCCGCACGCGGCGGCTGCCGGGCAGATGCTGCAACAGCAGCAAGCCCAGCAACGCTTGGCCATGGCCGCCGGGCACCAGCAAGCCCCGCAGCAGCAGCCCGACGCGAGCATGATGATGCGCGCCCAACGCATCTCGGAGCAGCAACGCCATGCCGTCCAGATCCAGCAACACCAACAGGCGCAGCATCACCACCAGCATCACCAGCAGCAGCAGCAGCTCCACAGTCAGGGACAGCAGCAGCAGCAGCAGCAGCAGGGCAACGGGACCGGGACGCCTCGGCCGCCGAGCCAGCAGCACATCTCGCCGCCTCCGGCCAATATGGCTAACGGGATGAATGGCATGGCCAACGGCATGGCCAACGGCATGGCCAACGGCATGGCCAACGGCATGGGCGGCGGGATGAATGGCATGAACGGCATGAACGGCACCAACGGCTTCAACCATCAGGGCTACATGGGTAACGGCCAGACGTCTGCAGCCGCAGCCGCGGCCATGATGTCGTCGCCGCAGTTTAGCAATGCGGTGGCGGCCGTCGCCGCCGCCAACGGGCACAGCAGCCCTACCCCCCCCAGCCACGGTCCTCCCACACCACAGGGCGCCGCGACGGCCATGAGCATGTACAGCGGCAGCAACCACAACGGCAACGGCGGCAGCGGAAACACCGGCATGTCGGCGCTGTCGCCGGGATCCCGGCCGGCCCCCCCTCAGATTTCGCCGGCCATCCAGAATCAGATCCACCAGCTCGAGGCGCAGATCCGGGCCAAGAACCCGAACATGAAGCCCGACATGGTACGTAAGGCGGCACTCGAGCGGTTCATCATGGCGCGCCAGAACGCCATTTCGGCGGCCGCAGGCGGCGTCGCCGTCGGGTCCCCCGGCCAGGGCCAGGGACAGCAGCAGCACGCCATCGCCAACAACATTGCCGTCACGTCGAGTCCCCAGCAGTACGCTGCCCTGCTCAGACAACAGCAGCAGGCTCAGCAGGCTCAGCAGCATGCTCAGCAGCATGCTCAGCAGGCGGGTCAACCCCATCAGCAGCCACAGCAGGGCCAGCAGCAGGGTCAGCAGCAGCAGCAGCAGCAGCAGCAGCAGAAGCCTTCTACGCCCACGCCCTCAGCAGCAGTGGCGGCAGCAGCAGCGGCGGCGGCGGCGGCGGCGGCGGCGTCGACTACTCGACCAGCTTCATCGTCTGCCAGTCCTGGTCAGGCCCCTCCTGGTCAGGTAAAGCGTCAGCCTAGCGAGGGTGCTACGCCGGGAACTGCGCTGCAGTAAAATATAATATCTTTTTCAAAAAAAAAAAGTGGTTATCAGTACTACTTTGCCTTCACACGGTGGACACTTTCCTCTCCCCTCCCCTTCTGTTATCTATTGATATTCTTGTCGCATGCGTGTACGTTTTCTTCTTCTTTCTACGGAGTTCGAACGGGAGGGATGACTTTTTTGTTTTCTGTTCGGTTTTTTTCCTCCTCAACCCTTCTTCTCTCCCTGTTCGTGGTAAGGAGTCAGCATGAGAAGAGGAGAAGAGAAGCGTTACAGGTGTGCTCTTGTGTGTCTTGTTCCTGTGAAGAAGCAAGTTTCCTTGCTTGATAGATGATGGATGAGGCAGAGGATTCTGTGTCTGTATGAGAGAAGGATGAGAGAGCTTCTCTAGAGACGAGGGGATGAGCACGAAAGAGAGACGCTTGTAGATGCATACTGATATAATTGTTCGACTCCGGCTACCTACACGTGACCATTCTACGGGATATATAGACGATGAATAGGAAAAGGGTGATGGGACGTGGTGGGACGTCGTGCAAGAGTTGAAGGACGCATTGGGCGTGTACGAGTTATCATGTAACTGTACGAGAGACGTCTCTTACGGCCACCTGAGAAATCAGGCCTCAAGTTTTGCTTAGCGGTGCAGCGGTTTAGTCCAGCCGAGTTGAGGGTCATGTGACTGCCACGTCTCGGATATACGAGTACGTAATCCAACTACGTAGTTGCGACTTTGGGAAGTCAAACTCCTAAGCATCTTTTCGGATATTACCATGTACCAATATGCCACGGTCACAATTTTTCCTGAAGAGTTGAGACGTGTATAGAGTAAATATATATATATATATAAGAAGAAAATGTGGAAAGAGGTAGCAACGCCTGGCTTGCTTATTTATACAGAATATAGAGTCCGAGACGCAGACGCAGGGGTCCTCTGCTTATCTAGGCCGCGACAGGTTGACAGTATCCATGACCATCCAAACGGGAAGCCCAGAACTGTCTGTCCGTCGAATGGACCAGAATACGTACCTCCTTCTCTCGCTCCGTCTCTGTCTCTCTTTTTTGTCTCCTTCCTCAACAGCAGACTGGCGACATCATTTTCTCCCTCTATTTCGCACTCTCTCTTCCTCCTCTCCCTCCCTCTCTTTCTCTCTCTCTGTGTATGTGTGTGTGTGAGTGTGATGTGAGTGAGTGAGTGAGTGTGTGTGTCCCCACAGAGTTTGACGCTCAATTCATTCCATCGAAACGGCTGTTTTCTTTCCTTTCTTCTTCTTCCTTCTTCCCACCCTCTTTCTCCATTTTCTACAGAATCCGAAGCAGCGTATCGCATCTGTCCCTCTCTTCTCTTCTCTTCTTCTTCTCTCTTCTTTCCTTGGCCTTCCTCGAATTCATCCCTCTCCACGACTACCCCGGCCTGTCGGTCCATGATACGATCCGCTCCCCGAGTATAGAGCTCGCGCGAGAGCTGAAGCGATCGCCTCCGAAGAGGAAGGAGAGCGCCACCCGACAGACGGGAAGGGAATACAGGATACGCGGATCTCTCGCCTAGGATCCCCGGTCGATACATGGCTGTAGCTCGCCATCTTGCCCAGCTGGGCATGGAGTTGATGCGACGAGGGAGCAGCGATGAGGAGGATGCGGAACCTGAAGAGGGTGATTCCGCCAAGAAGGAGCTCTTTGCAGCATGGGCTCTCTTCATATCCATCATGCTGCTCATCGTCGCATTCTTCACCAGTTATCTGCTGCAGCAGAAGAAGGTGACGGCTATTCACGAGACAGTCATCTCCATCTTTGCGGGTTAGTGGTCACCTTTCACGGCTCTCTCTATGCTGCTCTGCTCCCTCTCCCCCCTCTCCCCCTTCCTCCCTCCCTCCCTCCCTCCCTGGGGGAGGGGGGGGCGGGACCGTCTCAGGATCGATGCGCCGAGCTGACTTGTTACGTTTCCAACCTTTTATTTAGGAATGACGGTCGGCCTCCTCCTCGTCATCACACCCGGCGACTCGATCCGAAACCTCATCAGCTTCGACTACCAGATCTTCTTCAACCTGCTGCTGCCGCCCATCATCCTGGCGTGCGGGTACGAGCTGCACCAGGCCAACTTCTTCCGGAACCTGGGCACCATCGTCACCTTTGCCTTTGCCGGCACCTTCCTCTCGGCCGTCGTCATCGGCGTCATCCTGTGGCTGTTCGCCTTCATCCCCGGATCCGTCGACATGACGTTTGTCGACGCCATCTCCGTCGGCGCCACCCTGTCCGCCACCGACCCCGTCACCATCCTGGCCATCTTCAACGCCTACAAGGTCGACCCCAAGCTGTACACCATCATCTTTGGCGAGTCCGTCATGAACGACGCCATCGCCATCGTCATCTTCGAGACGGCGCAGAAGTACAAGACGGGCGAGTCGGCCGACTACGGCGCCCTCACCTTTATCGAGTTCGCCGGCATCTTCCTCCTCATCTTCTTCGGCAGCCTGCTCATCGGCGTGCTCGTCGGCGTCGGCACCGCCCTGCTCCTCAAGTTTACCTATGTCAGGCGCTTCCCCAAGATTGAGAGCTGTCTGATTGTCCTGATTCCTTACGCCACCTACTTCTTCTCCCACGGCCTCAAGATGTCCGGTACGTCTCCCTCTCCTCTCCATGCCTATAGCCTGGCCTGGATCTCCTCCCCCTTTGCACTCCTCCCGCCCGGTCAGGTCAGACGGGGACCTTTGACCAGGGCGCGGGAGAGGAGGACGGGCAGACGCTAACTCGAGATAGGCATCGTCTCCCTCCTCTTCTGCGGCATCACGCTCAAGCACTACGCCTACTTCAACATGTCGCGGCGCACGCAGCTCACGACCAAATTCGTCTTCCAGATCATGTCGCAGCTCTCGGAGAACTTCATCTTCATCTACCTGGGCCTGGCCCTGTTCACCGACAATGCGCTCCAGTTCCAGCCGCCGCTCATCATCGTCACCATCTTTGCCGTGTGCGCGGCCCGCTGGGTGTCGGTGTTCCCGCTGTCCCGCCTCATCAACTGGACGATCCACTACCGCGCCAGGCGTCGCGGGCTCGAGGTGGAGGACGAGCTCCCCTACAAGTACCAGGCCATGCTGTTCTGGGCCGGACTCCGCGGCGCCGTCGGCGTCGCCCTGGCGGCCCTCCTTACCGGGGAGAACTCGTATGCGCTACGCGCGACGGTGCTGGTGGTTGTGGTGCTGACCGTCATCATCTTTGGCGGCACGACGGCGCGCATGCTCGAGATCCTGGGCATCCGCACGGGCGTTGTCGAGGAGATCGACAGCGACGACGAGTTCGACATCGAGTCCTTCGGCGGCGGCTTCCACGTCAAGCGCAGCGGGTCGGCCATGGGCTTCAACCCCCGGGGCGGCAGCCTCAGCGGGGCCCAGGTCGCGCTGTCCAACCTGGAGGCGCCGCCTCGGCCGGCCAGCTTCATGTCGGGCGCGTCGTCGCCTGCGGTGCGCGCCGCCGGGAGCCTCAGCCGCAAGAACTCTGCGCGCGGCGGCGAGTTTGAGCGCACCGAGCTCCTGGGCCGCGCCCCCGACGACTCGGACCTCGGCAGCGACATCGACACGTCGGACCTGCCCCCGCCGGCCCGCCGACCTGCCAGCGTGTCGGCGGCCGCGACGACGGCGACGGCGCAGCCTGGCACCAGCGCGTTCATGAGTGCAGCCGGGGAGGCGTCGGCTGCCGGCGGTGCCGACATCACGGCGGCCACGTCCTCGTCCCGGGCCGGGACGCCCTTCACCACCGCTACGGGCGCCTTCAGGCAGCTGTGGGCGGCGGAGGACCCGGCTGGCCTCTTCAGGCAGCTAGACGAGGGCTACATCAAGCCCAGGCTCCTGCTCAACCCGGACGGCAACAGCAGTAGCAGGGGAGGAAGCCATCATCATCACCACCACCATCATCATAACCGTGGTGGTGGTGGTGGTGGTGGTAGCAATGGTAGTTTCGGGGGTGGGCCGCCGAGCTAGAAACGTGAGACGGGTCGTGAAATCTACGATGGGGGGGGGAAGAGAGAAGGCGACGGCGGAGGGATTGGGGGAATGATTATGAAATGTACAACTTTTTATCAGCCAACAAGAGAATATCTGTTTTTTTTAGACATTTGTTCAGAGCCCGTATGCTGACCTGTATTCTGATGATGTACGAGTATGAAGTCATAGGCTAGCAATCGGATCTCAACCTCGACGCACGTGACGTCTACGCAGTCTCCCAGACAGATGACGGCAACGGCGACGGCAATAACAAAACAGCAATCGCTCCCTCCCTCTCCCTCCCTCCCCCCCGCCTCAATCTCTCTCTGGTCTCTGAAGACGCATCTCCCCTTTTTTCGAGATCCCAGATGCGCACATTGACATCTTGCTGACGACGGTCGTAATCACAAAAACCATGTACCATCTCGCCAAGGGATTATATCTCTATGCGACGAGCAAAGATGGCAAGTATTCGATCCCATCCTTTTGTCCTTCCCCCCTTCCCCTCTCTTCTCTTCTCTCCAGATCAATCGAAGAGGCAGAAAGAGCAGTAGCAGCAAGAGTAGCAGCAGAAGAAATCTTGTTGTTGCTGTTGGTTCTCTTAAGAGAAAAAACTGACACATTGTCCATATTGACAGAGTACTCGGTCATCCTTCTCGGACTCGACAATGCGGGCAAGACGACATTCCACGAACAGGTCAAGGCCATGTTCCGACCTGACGGGCCTGGGCCGAAGCTACGGACGGTGCCGACGGTGGGCCAGAACGTGTCGACCATCACCCTGCCTGACATGTACCTGAAGCTGTGGGACGTGGGAGGGCAGATGACGCTGCGCAACCTCTGGCACAGCTACTACTCCAGCTGTCACGCCATCGTCTTCATCATCGACAGCACCGACATCGGCGACGGGGGGGTGGCAGACCACGAGTACGAGCACGGCACCGCCGACGGCGTAGGCCGGGGAGGAGGTGCGGGAGGTGGCGCGGGCGTCCGCGCGGGCGTCCGCGCAGGCGGTGTCGGTGTCGGCGGCGTCGGCGTCGGCGTCGGCGGTGGCGGCGACGGGGATGGGGGCGTCAACGGTCGGCTGGATGAGTGCCGCGCCGTCCTGGAAGACGTGCTGCAGCACTCCGACACCGAGGGCGTGCCCCTGCTCATACTGGCCAACAAGCAGGACAGGGAGGACTGCGTCGAGACGATCCGAATCAAGGAGGGCCTCGTCAAGAAGGTCATGGAGGGCGAGAAGGGTCACAGCATCCGAGACTCTAGGGTCCTGTCCATGAGCGCCCTCACCGGTGACGGCGTCAAGGAGGCCATCGACTGGATCCGCACAAGGGTCCAGTGGAACAAGGAGTCTAGGCCGCCAGTCATGCGGTAGCCATTCCTTCTCTCACGTCTTGAGCCTGTCTTCTTTCTCGTCTTTTCTCGGCCAGGCCATGTAGGGTTTTCATCTTTTGTATCTTTTTAAGCCTTTTTTTTTTTTTGGGGGGGGGGGGCTTCTAACCGGCGTACGGTTTAGATGAATCGGGTCTCGTCTCTTGTCTCCTGTACATATTGGCACTTTTTCTTTCTCTGTTTACGTAGCATAAAACCGGATGATTTGGGTATCAATCATGCTATTTTCTTCTTCGTCTTCCTTCAAAAGTCTTCACACGCAATATGCTGATGATCAAAAACAAGACAAGAAAGGAGAGAAAGAAATGAAGAACGCGAGAAAGAAGAAGAAAAACACGAAGAAGGAGGGAGAAACATGGAGAGGGAGGAGGAGAAGGAGAAGGGTAAAAGAAAAGGAAAAGAATTCATCATCTGTCATTTTCTGCCGTCAACTCAGCCATGAGTCCACCCTTGTCTCTCCTCTTTGCATCCTCCGCCAGCTTGCCGTCCACCAGGTCCGTGTACTCCTTTGACTTGCTGAGCGCGACGTGAGCGCACTGCACGAAGACGGGGGCGTCAACGGCCGCGCCTCCCAGCTTGGACACCTGGCACAGCTCGCCGTGCTTGTTGAGGCTGTAGGTGCAGGAGCTGACGGCGAGCTGCTCCTCGAGCCAGGTAGCGTCCAGCAGGACTATGACGCCACCGTGGCCGTCGTCGTCGTCGCCGCCGCCGTCGTAGAAGTTGAAGGTGACGCAGAAGGGGGAGTGAAGCCAGCTGAGCGGCACAGGCTCCCGCTCGGCGGCCGTGTACACCGTCAGGGCGGCGCCCTCGACCGAGGCGTCCGGCTTGCGGAAGTGACGCAGCGCCGCCACGACGGCCAGGCACGACGCGTCCAGCAGGTTCCCGTCGTGGTTCAGGACGTGCAGGTCCACCCGCACCGCCCAGCACTTCTGCCCGGCCACCAGGCAGAGGGACTCGGTGTCGAGCGCGCCCGACCGGCGGATCGTCTTCTCCAGGAGGCGGGAGAGCAGGATCTCCGTCTCCGTAGGCCGGTTCACCTCGAACGACGGCGCCACCATCGGCCCCAGCTCCGATGTGATGGTGAAGATGCCGTCAAACGGTCTGTCAGAGTATGGAACCGTCACTTCGGCTGACGTCTTGGCGAGGACCCTGAAAGATTGGGTTATTTTTTGTGCCCCTCTCTCTGCGTTGGCAATCTATCTGAAGAAAGAAAGAGGGAAGATGAGGGAGATGAAGTCCAAAAGAAGAAGAAGAAGAAGAAGAAACCCGTACCTTGTCTTGCCGAATTCAACAGTGGCCACGCCATACTCATCGCCCAGGCTGAGAACCACGGGCCGTGACTGGTCCAGCTTGCGATTGTCCAGACGTAGACCCTCCTCCAGGGCCTTGGACACAAACGTCCTCTCACTCAGAGACGGCTCGGCCTCTCGAGGCATGGTTGCTTATGGTCGTCTTTTTGTGTTTTTTTCTTTTCCTTTTTTTTTCTTGGTGCTTGTCGATGTCACAAAAAACTGTCTTCTCACTTCTCTGGTGGGGCTCCATCTTGAAGAGCCTTTGAGATCTAAAAATACACTGTGTCTGTGCATTTCCCCACTGTGCTTGTCCCGGATCAGTGGAAATTAGATGATACATACTTACTGCTATCTTCGGGAAGCAGTTAACAGCTAGTTCAAGTGTACTGTCATCCCCTCCACAGTCTCTTTGCAGAGAGACGAAGACGCAAGTCCATGGATATATGGACTCACAAGAGCACGAGAGAAAGATCGACACCCATCGACGGTAGATGCCACGCAGAGATTGCTTTGCATTCGTTCACATCCGTCAGCCCTCGCCCAATCCTGGCCGTCAGTGGTTTATCAACACTGGCAAAGAGCAGGAAGCAAAAAGCAAGAAGGAAAAAAAAGAAAAAAGCAAAGTCGCTGCCCCCACTCGGACTTGAACCGAGGACCTTGTCATTTCCAGTGAGAACCGAAGAACCACCTTACGAGTGACACGCGCTACCACTACGCCATAAGGGCTTGGGAAAACCCCGATTGGGATTCGGTCTGTGAAGACGAATCTCAAAAGAATGCAACTGGCAGATGCCCCCACTCGGACTTGAACCGAGGACCTTGTCATTTCACAGTGGATCGAAATCCGCTTACGAGTGACACGCGCTACCACTACGCCATAAGGGCTGTTGTTGAAGGGCTCGAGGGAAATGGGTATTATGTAGGTGTCAGTGTCGGCGAGCCATGGGATATAGCTTCTAATCGGACACGGACTCTTTGGTTGAGGAGTGAGAATGAGTGGTAGGATGTAGAATTCTGTGGTTTCTCTGCATCTATTCACGTGATTCTACGGTGCACATTCTATGCTTCTCCACCTCTGTCTGTTGTGGCGTTGTGTTAATATCACCACGCAAGGACCTCCGTCCGCAGTTACAAGGCAGAAGACCTCGCCAGGATACACCTTGACGTATATCCCTTCATGAATGAATTATCCATGATTCTACTCTCCTCCCTTTCTCTTTCCAAAAGGTAGAACATCTCTTTTCTCCTCACGTCAACCATTTCGAAATACGGCAGTCCTTCCGGCCGCGTGGCGTAGGCCAGTACTCCCGGTACTCGGGACATGGCTAGATAGAAGCCATATCCGGAGCTAGCATCGGCCGTTCTCGCCAGTTCCCAATGACGCCAGAAACGTTTTTTTCTTCTTCTTTTTTTCCCCCTCTAGATACAGTTACGATATCCCTAGGCGAGAAACATGTCCAAGGAGAGAGTTAAAACACTAGCTCATGATGGGGGAGAAAAGGGGAGAGGATAATACCATATTATGAACTATACCTGTGTTACCATCCTGTAAGCCCATCTCAACGCTTACCTAAACATCCGACTCCGCCAAGATCCATCTGAAGCCCATTCCTAAATCGCCATCAACAACAAAGATCATCATCACCATTCATCCCCCAACCACCAACGACAAAAGCACCACAACCACATAAAAAATGACAACCGCCCACAGACCAACATTCGACCCGGTACGCACTCTCTCTCTCTCTCTCTCTCTCTCTCTCCTCCTCCAAGAAAAAAAAAGAAAGAAAAACCACTGGCCTGAACCAGGAAAAAAAAAACATAAAAACACACTAACCCATCTTCATAATCCAGGCCCGAGGCAAGGAGGCCCTCCGCGGCCCAGCCTACCACCAACGTCTCCTACCCGCCCACACCCAGCTCAAGTACCGTCAATCTGGACAGGGCGGCGCAGCCGACGAGGACGAAGACTCCTCTCGTGATCTCGCAGCCGAGCTCCTCGCCGCCGAGGCCGCCCACTTCTCCAAGACCAAGAAGATTGGCGGCGGCGGCGCTGCCCCCGACGACGGCTCTGACGACGAAGACGCCGTCTCTGCCACGGCCAAGCGACCATCTCATCAGATCTCATCATCCGGTGAAGGGGGCGCCAGGGAAGAGGATCAGGAAGAAGACTTCGAAGCAAAACGCCGTCGAATACTAGCCGAGACCAGGGCGCTGGATGCCGACGATGACGACGACGATGACGACGGCAACGACGACGACGATGATAGCGACGATGACAGCGACGACGACGATGAGGATGAGGATGCAGAGCTCCAGAGAGAGTTGGAGCGCGTAAGGCGCGAGAGGGAGGAGAAGAAGAAGAGGGAGGAGGCTGAGAGGGCCAAGGCCGACGAGGAGGACCGTGAGCGGGACATCGCTCTCGGTAACCCCCTCCTCAACAAGCAGGACTTCACCATCAAGAGGAGATGGGATGACGATGTCGTCTTCAAGAATCAAGCTCGTGGGACCGAAGACAGGGGCAAGCAGAAGGAGTTTGTCAACGTGAGTTTTTCTCTTCTCTTCTTCTCTTTCTTTTCCTGTTCTTCTTCTTTTCTCTTCTACCTCTTCTCCCCCTTCTTCTACCTCCCGCCTCGCCTTCTATCTTCGTTACCTTATCCTTTTCTGCTATTACGAACACAACTAATGCCTTTACAGGACCTCATCCGCTCAGATTTCCACAGACGCTTCATGGGCAAGTACGTCAGGTAACCGTCTTTTTTTCCTGTCTAGTCAAATGTATCATCTCAAACCCCGAAATCAGTAGATACCCGTTGGGGGGGGGGGGGGGGGGGGGGGGGGGGGTAATTCGTCTTTTTTTATTTTTATTTAGTCTCCTGCTTCATCACGATGTATATTCTATTTCTTGTTGGCAGTGTAATTCAGATCATCACCATTGGGAGTCTTGCCCTCCTGCGCCAGGAGGAGATGCTCCATCTTCTCAAAGGCACCTAGCACGTTGCCGTACTTCTGGTAAACGCCGTCGCGGAATCCCTGGTCGACCTTCTCGATGGCTCCCTCCTCCTTCCATCGTTTGCCGATGAGCTCGTCGAACGTCTCGTCGCCCTCCCTCTCGATGGACCAGAGAGCCTTGTACGCTCCACCGAGGGCGCAGGCGCTGCCCCCGACATCGAGCTTGTAGACGCCGTCTACACCACCGAGCACGTCACCTATGACGCGGGCAATGGCCGGGTTGAGAGAGCCTCCGCCGACGAGGTAGATGCGCCGGGGCTGGGCCGGGAGCAGGCCCTGGGGATCGGGGGCGTGGACCAGCTTCTGCGAGCGGAGGCGCATGGACAGGGCCTGCGACTCGACGATGGCGCGCGCGTCGGTGGCGGGGTCCCATCGGCTGCCGGCCCCCTCCTCTGCCAGGTCGGATCCGTCGGAAGGGTTGCAGGTGAAGTGGAACGTGCCCGGCCGGATGTTGGGCACCACCTCGCGCAGGTAGAAGTAGAGACCCATCTTGGCGCGGTCGCCGTCCTTGGCCACGCCGAGAGGGGGGCTCTCGAGGACGGCCTTGTTGAACGTCTCCCAGCCCGTGTTGCCGCCGCCGCCGCCGGCAGCAGGCTCGGGCTTGGGCAGTTCGTCGCGCACCTTTTCGCGTGCGAGCCCGCCGTTCTTGTAGCATAGCATGAACATGTAGTTGCCGCGCGTGGTGGGGTGGTTGAAGAAGTGATAGGACCCGTCGGGTTTGTACGTCGGCGTGTTCATCAGGAAGGTGGTCGACGTGCCGAGGGAGACGATGGCGTCGAGGGGTCGCAGCGGGAGCGCGAGGATCGTGGCCGGATTATCGCCCGTGAATGGGGAGACCTGGCAGTCAGGGCTGAAGCCGTACTTGGATACAAAGTAGGGGGACACCGCACCCATGGAGCCGCCACCATCGGCGCGAGGCTCGCCCAGCTTGGCTCTCAGATCCTTGGCGGCCTCGGCGTCACCACCGGCCGTCAGGAGGAGAAGCTCCTGGCTGTACTGGTCCTTGGCAATGTCCCACAGGTTCATGCCGCACACGTCGCTGATGTCGAGAGGGGCGATGGCGCCCAAGAGGATCGAAGCGAGCCACGACGATACGAGCGAGATGCGCGCCGTGCTGGCGTACATTTCCGGGTTGACGCGACGCTGACGCATGATCTGGGGGCCGGTGAAGCGCTGCGACGGGTTGCCACGTTAGCGGGATCTGCTGCGTGTGCCCCCGCCGACAGACACAGGAGGGGTGGGGGGAAGGCATACATGATGGGCACCACTACCGGTGACATCGGCTAGCTTCTCGCGACCGCCGAGCTTGGCGTCGAAGGCATCACACTCAGCCTGCGTGCTCTGGTCCTGCCAGTTGGGGGCCCATCTGTGGGCCAGGGAGGGAGCGAGCTGCTCGACCAGCGCCTTGGACGGGTCGAGGTTGGCCAGGAGCCCCTCGGCATCCTTGCTGAGGTAGACGCTCCCGTGCTGCTGGCCGGAGCCGCTGAGAGCCTTTATGCGGTCCATGGGGATGGATCCCATGGCGTCCCTCAGGCGGGAGAGGACAAGGTCGACAGACTCCATCCACATGGCCACAGGGGCGTAGACCTCACCTGTCTCTTCGCGGACGTGGACGCCCTTCTTCACGGCATACTTCTCGCCAAAGTCACCGTCAAAGTCCACCTTGGCCTGTGCGACGGTTTGGAGGTCTGAGTTGACGACGATGGCTAGATCGGGATCAAGTCAGTCTTCTCTGCTCTTTTATTGTTATTATTATTATTATTATTATTATTAAGAAAAAAAAATCTTTTCTTGCTTCCTTCTGCCTCTCTGCGTGCATCATACCCTTGAGCTGCTGGGTCGACAGGTCAAAACCCAGGTAGAGTGGGCCGTCGCCAGAACTCATGATTGTCGTTTTCTGTCCTTCTTCTCTGTGATGTCTGTAACGTGTGTATGTGTGGCGGTATCATGCGGTTGGAGGGCGGAGGGGGAGGGGAAGAATGGCAATTGATGCAACCGTTTGGAGGGGTCAATTGTTCACTAAGGTGGGAAGAGGGTATGATGTAATCCAGGGACGACTAGGTTGACCGTTGTAATCAGGCTGAATAGCCGGGATGATATACGGAGTAGTAATGAAGCAGATAGAGAAGCAAAAAGACAACAATGAGGGGGAAAGAGGGAGAAAGAAGAGAGAAGAAAGAGCATGAGGGAGAGAAAGATTGTCAACCTCTCGGATCACGTTACTCGGGTTATTCGTATGCTAAACTTGTACTCGTACTTCCCACATCATGACGCTGGTTGGGGCGGTTCTTGCCCATGGCTTGCAGAACTATCAGAGCTTCCCCCTACTGGGCCCATGGCATCTTGAAAATGTGGGGGTTTCTTTAGCTGGCAAATATTCCGCGACATCTAGGCAGCACCATTCTTTTGACGGTCAGTAGTCTCTATGTAGCAGGGGAGGCGCCCTGGCCTTCGCCCTGGCCTTCGCCCTGGCCTTTATTGGGCTGATGAGTGTTGTTTTACTTTCCTATCTGCCATCTGTACAGATCACTCGTACTGGTGTGTCTGCGTGCCACTGTCTGCCCTACTCTCTCGTTCCCGTGCTTCCTGCTGGCGACAACACACGATGACCCGTAGACGTGAATGCGGTGGTCTCTGCCTACCGGTACGTCCCGGATCGTTAAGTGCGTATCTTGGTGCCTGGTTGACTGAACGGAAAGGAAGGAAAATCTATCTATGAGGCTATTTACAGATGTGAGTGTGGCAGCAGCTTCCGGATGCTTAGTCATACAACCTTGGGTGCCGCATTCCCCTGTATGTCTCTTACCTTGGTCTCCTCTTCCCCCAATCCTGCTGCCTTGTCCGACTTCGCTTAGACCTACGACACTTCGTGCTCGTACACAGCCCAATGTCCGTGCCACCATAGTAGAGTAGGCATATCATTTGGTATTTTTGAAACTTTGAACTTTTCCATGCTTTCTATCATAGCAAGCCGTGAGATGGCACCACACCTACTTCTGCGCAAAATGGTACAGTGGCTATCCTGTTTATCACCCATACTCTGAAAAGAACAGCCCAACGTTTCTCCCCCCCCCTGCTCTTTCGTTCTCCCATGTTCTTCTTTTTTTGTTTCGCTACAGAAATGCTTCACCTCTTCTTTTTTCTTCGATGCCAAACATCAATTGCTCTTCTTGCTGTCCTCCTTCCCCTTGTCTTCCGTAGATTCCGGCTGATCCATGATGAACTCATCAAACTTGTTGTAGATGGGTTCATGATGCGAGACGAAGCGGACGCGTACACGCCTCACACCACGGACGTCAGTACCGACGCGCTGTCGGATGGCCGACTCCATCTCACGGGCGTGGTCGATGTTCCAGGTTCCGGGGGCCGACACCTCGAGGTCCATCATGAAGTTCTGGCCAGACTTGATGCCGCTGACGTCGCGGAGCTGCGTCTCGCCGGCCGGGTCGAATTCGGCGATGGCGGCGCGGGCCTTCTTCTCGACGCTGATCTTGACGTCCTCGTCGATGCTCTGGTCGGCCAGCTCGCACAGGGCGTCGACCATGTTGACCGCGCCGGCGTGGATGACCATGGAGGAGATGATGAGCCCACCCACCGGATCCAGCCAGGCGGCGCTCTCGATGACGTTAGCGCCGAGGATGGCGACGAGGGTCACGATGCCCGTCAGGCTGTCGACACGGTGGTGGACGGCGTTGGATGCGAGGACTGACGAGCGCCGCTCACGAGCCACCTTCATTGCTGTTTGGAGGGTCAGCACTGGACATGGCGAGACCGATAGCTACCAGAGCTTCTCCCCGGCTTAGGAGGACAAGTGGCGAAAGGGAAGAAGGGGGGGGAGCTTACTTGCGTGGTACAGCCACTCCTTGACCAGCACGGTACCACCGGCAACCCAGGCAGCATGGATACTCGGTATACCAAGAGCAGCAGCACCGTGGCTGTGACCGTGGCCGTGGCCGTGACCGACATGCGCGAGGATGGCGTGGGCCGTCTCCGGGCTAAAGTGACCATAGAGGGTGATTGCGCTGTCCCATCCCATGTAGCACCCCCCCACCAGGAGCATACCGGAAACACCCAGGGCGCCCAGGCTCTCGACTTTGCCGAATCCGAGGGGGAATCGCTCCGAGGGCGACCGGAGACTGAACGAGACGGTGGCCAGGGTCAGGACGTCCGAGGCCAGGTCGGTCAGGCTGTGCCAGCCGTCGGCGGCCATGGCTTTCGAGTTGAAGGCCCAGCCGGCGATGAACTTGACGGCAGCCATGGCCAGGTTGGACATGAGGCCGATGTTTGTGATGCGGACGCCCGGGTCGTTTCGGTTCTTGGAGACGAGAAAGGTGGTGTCGTGGTGGTGATGGTGGCCGCCTAAGCCGTGGGAGTGGCCGTGATGGTGATGGTCGTCAAGAGGATCATCGTGGTCGCGGTCGTGGTCGTGGTCGTGATCGTGTTCGAGTTCGGCCTTTGTCGCCGTCGCCGTCTTGCGGAGTCGATGGTCGTCGACGCTATCACGCGTCTGGTTGGCTTGCCCCATGACAATGGCTGGCAAGTGCGAATATCGTAGACGACGACTGCGGCCGAGTAAGAGGTTGGGGAAGAGGGAACGCGGTTCGATGGGTGTCGAGTAAGATGGTGGCTGTGAAGAGGGAGTCGGATTGGAGGTGAACAGGGAGGTGCGCGAAGAAGAAGGAGGAGGAGGAGGAGGAGGAGAAGAGTAATGGGAATAGGACAATAATGTCGAGCAGGTTTGAAGAATGCGACGCTGAGAATGCGATGAGAGTGAGGTCGAGGGTGCGGCGCTTGGAGGTTGGCGTGGCCTATTATGTCTCCTTAGTAATAGCAATCCTCGCTGTGGTTTGGGGGTTGCGCTGTAGCAGCAATAAGCCCCCTGGGCCCCTGGAGGTACTGCGACAGTGAGGGTGGCCCGGGTGGTGGTGGTGCTGGCCCTGTTGACGGTGTTGGTGGTGTTGGTGGTGGTGGTGGTGGTGCTGCGGCTGCTGCTGCGGCTGCTGCTGCGGTTGTTGCTCGGGGTGCTGGAGCTGGTGCCCAGGCCACCGCTGCCACTGCTGGTCCTGCCATTGGCGGCGCCGCCGCTGCTGGTGCCGCTGGTCACGCACCGCAAGGCCGAGCGGCGCCCTGCCGCGGGATACATGCAGGAATGGTGAGGTTCAGAAGGGTAAGCCTGTGGTCATCAAGGTGGACGTTGTGTGCGTGGAACGATCAAATAGCTCGTGTGTGCGTGTGTATATGTATATGTGTGTAGCTTAGTTAGCTGGTTGAGGATGAGGAGAGGAAAAAAAAATGGTTATAGAAAGAGGGAGACAGAGAGGGAAATGATGCCCTCTGTCCGTCCCCAGTTCCTTTCGGCGTCGGGGCTTTTTTTTTCTTCTCTCTCTCTCTCTCTCTTTGGTGGCGGCGGGCTCGGATTTACTCGCTCAGCGCCGCAGCCCCAGGTACCATCGTAGAGAGGAAGAGGAAGAAAAAAAAGAATTAAAGGGTTAAAAAAAAAGATTACAAGAGGAAAAAAAAATAGTACGATGAGGGAGAGACCCCGGCGCAATGACACCACTATCAGATCAGAACTAAATCCGCCCCGCCCCCTCTACAACCCCCCCCCCCCCCCCGCTGATATTCCGTAGTGGTAGGAAGACCTTTTATAATCAAGACTAGTACATGTAGGTGTTACCAGTATCTGTAGCTGTACTCGTACAAGTAGTCATAGTATGCTCTCAGTACCACGCTGCGGAACCTGTTACCCAGACAAATCTACTCGTGTAGCCGTAAAAAGGAAGTACTGCTATTAGTACCCCGACGCTGCGATATAATACTCGTAAATCGTATGCTCGTATGCTCGTATGCTCGTATCGTAGATGCAATTGCTACTACAGATTACCAGGTAGCATTAGTCCCGATGCAGCTGTTACCAAAGTCGCCAACTCTAACAGACAAGGCTACTGACTGTAGTGGACTAGTAGTATCCCCCGAGACACACGAGTATCAATACTCACTCCCCCCTTGACCGCCTACTCCGAACCCGTCCGCACAAGCTGAATCAGCTGATGTTGTGGCCGCGGATCCCCTCGGACCTTACTGGCCTCGCTTTATCCCCCCCGCCCATTAGGTCCCCCTCGGCGCAGATGCTATGCCCGCCGAACCTGCCGAACCCCTACGGGATGCCATGGTGCATGCATCGCATTCCCCGTCCTCGTGTCCCTTGTTCCTGTCCCTGTTCCTCTTCATTTCTTATTCCCTCCTATTACATCATACCATCGATTCATCCATACATACATCCCGTACGCACTCCGTACGCGCTCCGTACGCACTCCGCACCGTAGTCTACAGCACTAGCCGTTCGAGACATCATTGCGAAATTGCACACACAATCGCTGCTGAACACATGTCGCTGCACTCCCTCTTCTCATCCTCAACTCTTTCCCTGAACCAACTCAGGGCCGGTATGCGCTGCTCGACCCTGGCGGTATTGTGTGGCCGTTCTGATTATTGGGGGACGCTGGCCCGTCGCCGGAGAGTGCCAAACGGCGTGCGCTGTCGCTCCAAGCTTCCGTGTCGTCACGTAGTGTTATCCTACAGTTCTCTATGCGGCGTCTCACTCATCGGTCGGTCTCTCTTTTTGGGTCGATCGCAGAAGAATACGCACACAAGTCGTGAGAGACGATGGTCACAATTTATCGTATACTCTTCTTTCTTTCTCTTTAGACCATGCTCACGTATCACGTCGAGACGAGAAAAAACATGAAACAGAGAAGACCCCGCTTACGGATCCCGACTCGACGCACACGGTGGGCGTGCACGGCCACTGATTGATAACCGACAAGACTAGCTAGCGTGTGTATCTGACCCCACTGGTGGCGCTTCGCACGACGCATGCGTGATGCGTATACTCGTACAGATAGGTCTTGAGGTCCCTGAGGTCCCTGGAAGTCGTTGTTTAGAGGAAAGAGAGAGAGGAGCCATCTACAGATTACGTGGGACGTTAGGGTCATTTCGCCTTTCGGTGCCTCTGAGGGCAAGTCACGTGGGTCCCGGAAACGAGGCTTTTCGGGAAGCACGAGCGCAGCCCCGCCGCCCACTCACGCTCGACCACTCACGCTCGACCACTCAGACTCTCAGCCTCACCTCGACCAACCCACGTCATCGACAGCCTCGTCCCTTACCGCCCCCCAGTCAAATCTGCCCCTCCAAACCCCATCCATCAGTTCACCATATGCATCACCCACTCCAAAGTCACTGAGCAGCAGTCGGTCACTGCTCACAAGTGGTACGGCTGCCCTACTATACGCGCCGAGCGCGGCCAAGAAGGCCACCATGCGCAAATCCCTCATTCGCATTCCATACACCCATGCCTTGCCACCTCCGACCATCATCCCGGCCACGGCCGACACGCTCTCGGGAGCCGTGGCAGCCCTGATAGCCTTCCTGACGGCCACCCCGGACCACTACGGCCACCTGTCGAGCCTGCCCTCGTCCACTGTTGTCCTCAGCGGCGCCGGACTGTCGGTGGCCTCGGGGCTGGCTGACTACCGCGGGCCCAAGGGCACGTACCGCGTCAACAAGTCCTACCGCCCCATCTACTATAGCGAGTTCCTCAACAGCCACGAGTATCGCAAGCGTTACTGGGCGCGCAGCTTCCTGGGCTGGCCGAGCCTGGCCAATGCCGCCCCCAACGCGGGCCACTACGCCATCCGCGACCTGGCTGACCTGGGCTTCGTGAGGGGCGTCATCACCCAGAACGTCGACTCGTTCCACCCGCGTGCCCATCCGGACCTGCCCACCCTCGAGCTGCACGGGTACCTCCGGGCCACCGTGTGCACCACCTGCAAGGAGGAGTACCCGCGCGACGAGTTCCAGCACCACCTCTCTCGCCTAAATCCCCGGTGGGACGACCTCCTGCGGGACGCCATGGCCGCCGGCGCCCTGGACGCCGAGAATAGCGGCGCCGAGCAGGAGCGGCCTAGATTTAAGGGTATCAGGACCAATCCCGATGGCGACGTCGACCTTCCCGACGCTCCGTACACCACGTTCCGCTACCCGCCCTGCCCGAAGTGTCTGAGCGACCCGCCCGTGCGTCCCGATGGCAGTCGGCACATCGTCGAGGCCGACGCCCAGGGTGCCTGGACCCATCCCAGCACTGCAGGCGTCCTCAAGCCTGCCGTCGTCATGTTCGGCGAGAACATTGCGGACAGCGTCAAGAGCTCGGCCGAGGACGCCATCGACAGCGCGGGTAAGCTTCTCGTCTTGGGCACCTCGCTGGCTACCTACTCTGCTTGGCGGCTGGCAAAGAGGGCTGCCGACAGGGGCATGCCCATCGCCATTGTCAGCATGGGTGGCGTGCGCGGGGAGGACAGCCTCTTTGGCCGAGATCTTCTGGGTTCGCACCAGATCGGTGAGGAGGCTGTCAGGACTGAGCTGGCTACACAGGATCTCCTACCTGCTCTCGTGTCTCATCTTCGTAAGCAGGGCCATGATCATACGACGGCAGGCGGCGAGCCTGTGACGCTGGAGGGTCACGGCGTCTTCAAGGATATGCTCTCGTGAGTGGTTGGAGATAGAGCAGTGTGCGACTTTTTTTTTGTGTTTCCTCCCATCCACAAACTCTTATATAATATGACATGTACCATGATTATATATATATATATATATTACATTAACCGGGTTTTCTTTTCTAAAAGAAGCTTCCAAATCCTGCCGACGGCTTCTCTGTTGTCTGTGTCGTCTCCTCTGCTACTGGGGCAGGTTGTTTCTGCTGCTGCTGCTTGCTCGCAGGGTCGGTCGGTTCGGTGTCCTGTCGGTTCGTCCTTTTCGAGGCCTTAGGCGCACCATCTTCGCTCTCGATGGTTCGTAACACTGAGAAACGCGGTCAGTAACAGATCCCAACGCTCTCCTTCTCCCCTGCCTCTCCGGGACAGCACTCACCCTCTTCCCAATCCGCCTCTCGTTCGGCGTTTCCCGTCCCCAGCGCCTTCTCAACATCCACCTTCTCGCCCCTCTGGATCTTGTCGACCACGTCCCTCAGCAGGGCAATCTTGACCTCTGAACGCCTCATGTAGCCCTGAAATGAGCTGCGCAGGGTGATCATCTGGATGGACATGGACCCAATGAGGAGGAATATGACAACGTAGAACGTCGCGGGGTTCCACTCTGCCGATGCACTCGAGCTCTTCTTCTTGGCTCGGTTCTCCTTGCGCATGGGCTTGGGGATCAGTGACTTCCAGAACCCGCTGTCTGTTATCGTCGCTGGGCTACCCGGGTTGGACGAGAAGCTCTGGTGCCGCACTGCCACGCGACCTGCCAGCTGCTTCTGCTGGTGCCGCACGACTCCCGATGAAACGAGTCTCCTGGTACCGGAACGGAGGAGTGACCGTTGGAGCATTATGGCATTTCCTGTCGATCTGGTGAGGGGGCCGGAGGTGAGAGGAGGGGGCGTAGTACGTGTCAGGACGCTGGGTTTGGTGGTGAGGAAACAGATAAAATTGACGTCTATTTCACCCAAGATTTGGTGGACGCGATGCGGTCCTTGCCTTGGGAGGGAGGCCCCCGCGAGAACCGTCTATAAGGATAATTCGGGTTGAGACTCCGGTTAGAGTTATATATTCGTTAGATGAAGTGTCTATGCAATAAGTATGCACTTGTGAGGATACACCATGGATATGCATGAAACAGTCTATTCACCTAAGCGTAAGCTCAGATGCTACCATTTGGAACACGAAATCAATGGAATAATATTAAACGGAGTTTCATGGTTCTCACTGCTCTATGACAATCATACATGCAAGCCTTGCATGCGTGTGCCCCCTCTTTAAACATTCATCCAAGGCAGCATACATTGTCACGCATTGTCAATCTGCACACCAGCATACAGCTTGCCATCAAGATCCTGCCAATGTCTTCTGTTGTTGAGTTTCATCCTCCTTGTCATGCCCCGTCAGCTTAACGCCAATTTCGCGGATGACGAGATAGGCCGGGACAAGGGAAACGCCCCAGAGCCCAAAATTGATACCGAGACATATGAGTAGCTTATATTCATCACAAATCAGTTAGAGCTGTACCCGTGCAGGAGCGAGCTAGAACGTTCAACATACCGATGTAGGCGTCGAGCTGATACCAGACGAGACAGTCTGCCCAGCACTCTCCATGGCACGAATATAGCTTGTCAACCTCGGCACATCGGCGGGCTCTCTGGCCAAGTGGCCGATGAGCCAGTAGCCGTAGTTGTACGTCAGCGCCCAGTTGACCTGCCACAGGATATATAGGGCCCAGCCGCGGCCGAAGCCAGAGTCGACCCAGTCCAGACCAGGCGAACGGGCCGTGTAGTCGCGCTGCACGACGGTACCCCAAGCCCAGCAGGCGCCAGTGAGGGCCATGATGAGCACATAGGCGGAGCGAGTGCGGGTGGCGACACTCAGCGTCTTCCAGTCGAGAAACGCGCCCATGAGCAGTGTGGCGACGATCTGAGCGAGGGCCGACACCAGGGACGCCAGGGCGCGGGCACGCACGGAGAAGTACAGCGACATGTACGACCCGATGTAGGGGAGGGGCCAGTTGACGTAGATGAACAGCGGCGTGAGAAGGAGGATCTCCGGTCGGCGGACGACGCGGCCCAGCGCCTTCAGCTCGTCGAGATCGCTCATCCTGACCAGCTGGTGCACGCGGGACCCGTCACGACGCCGCACCTTCTCCGGAGGCGAGAGCAGCCACACGGTCGCAGGGCCTAGGCACTGCAGCGCCACGAGGGCAATGTACGTGCGCCAGTCGAGCTTGCCGGCCGCGGTCCCGCGCGAGTTGAAGGCGAGGTTGATGATGCCGCCAAGGATGCTCCCGCTGTTGCGGTAGCACAGCCAGTAGGCCAGGTAGCGGCCCCTGGAAGACGCGGTGGGGTAGCTGATCATGATGGCGCCCTCGGCCGCCCAGAAGAGGCCGGCCGTGATGCCGCACGCCGCCGACCCGACGTAGATGAACCACTGGGTGCCGTAGCGGTTGTTGGTGTATAGCGCCGCCGAGTACAGCACGTAGCCGGTCGTTCCTAGCATGAGCGTGTTCTTCAGGCCGATGCGGTTCGACACCAGACTACCCGCCAGACACGTTGCGGTCATGAGGGAGAAGAGCAGCGCGTTGCCTGCCATGACCAGGTACGGCGTCTGCTGCCCGCCCGCTCCCACCGAGTTCATGGCGTTCCACAACCCCGGTGCTGCGAACGCGGCGATGCCGACTATCGTAGCCTGGAAGAAGACACCTCGGAACCAGTGGTACTTTTCCCCGGGGAGCCATGCGTCTCTCTCGTGCCCGTCGCCCGTGGTCGGGTCCGTTTCCACGTCGACATGTTCCTTCTGTACGTTGGCCATGATGCTTGTTGACGTGTATCATGTGCCGATGCTATCCCATCAAGATGTACAGGCCAGTCAGTTGTTCCGATACGACATCGTGCCCGCGTCTTCTTTTAAGCACGGGATAGAGAACGAGATGGATCTGAAGAACAAGAAAAGAAATGGCATGTATAAGCGACAGCGGCGTTTATCCGTCACGGTTGGCATACGGTATTAGCCATCACGCCATCGGGCTTGTCCATGTACGCATTCAACACGACAACCACTAGAAGGGCGGAAACGCGAGAATGTTTCTTTCTTCACCCCAGTCATCTACTCTTGGCAGATGGAGGGCTCCGAACGGAAATGGGGGAAGACCTAGGATCAACAACCATGTGGTTAGTATAAGTTGCGTTTGCGCGGGCGTACATATGCTATCCCCGTGTCTTGCTAGAGGCTGGATCTAACGCCATCGGCCATCATCATCACGACATATACCCGAGTACGTCCGCTCTGATGCACCTCCTCACAAATTACAATGGACAGCATGACATGGAGAAGAGGACATCCGGATCCACCTTGTCCAGATAACCGGATATAAAAATGATGGCAGGAATACGTATGTGCATATGGGGGGGGGAAGGGTTCTCTAGTCATATTACTGTTACATAGTCGTTGTACTTGCACTACTCACGTATCTGTTGACAGGATCTAACTGATCGATTCAGCAGCTAGAATGACTCTCAAAGTCTCTTTGAGGGAGTTCACCTTCCAGGGTCAACAGAGGACCAAGTCTCTGGGTTTCCATTCAGATGCCCCGTTTCCGCTAGCGCTGCGGGCCGAGACAACGCAAGATCAGGTTGCATCTCTCCAGGATTATGTCGATGCCCTGAGGGAGCTGTCCAGCTCGGGAAAGCTAACCGAGCTGGTTAGAGAACATGGGGGCGCTGTGCTGATCAGAGGGCTTCCGATAGAGAACGCGCAGGATTATAGTGAGCTGGCTCATGCGTTCGGCTTCCAGGCCCATGAGGAGGTTGGACGGCCTCCCAAGAGGACGGTACTGGCCAAGAATATCAAAACCGCCAACGAGGGGTGTGTTCTCTCCCGATGTGGCTCTTCTCGCCCTCACCTCCCTGTTCAACACCATGCTCATCTCATCTGTACATTGGCATGATCAATGTTCTGACCTCGGCAGCCCTCCATCCCTCCCGATCTGGCCGCATAACGAATACGGATGGTCAACGATCCATCCAGCATGGCTCACATTCTCCGCCATAGTTCCCGCCGAAGAAGGTAAACCCAGGAAAGAGAGCGTTTGGAAATTCTCCACCATTCGTCTTGGGGTTTCTGGGCCAAATCATGAGGTTGAATCTGATCATTATCACTTAGGCGGTGAGACGCCCATCAACTCGAGCATCCAGCTTGCCAACGAGGTCAAACGTCGCGCCCCGGAATTCTACCAAAAGCTTCTGGAGAGGGGAGTCCGCTACGTCTACCGCTACGGAAAGGAGGACGTCGTGTCGACAACGGGGACGAGTGTGTATGGTGCTTACGGACAGAATGTCGCAGACACGGATGACGAGAACACTGCCAGGCAGAAGATCGAGGAGGAAGTCAAGCGCCACAGTAACAGCTTTACATGGAACGACGACGGTAGCCTGACCGTCACGCATACGACTCCTCGTACGTATCTCTCACTGATGTGCCTCTGAGATGTCCATCCGTTCCTTGACTGACCACGCACCACGAAAAGTGATACGGATTCACAACGATACCGGGCTGGCCACCTGGTTCGGCAACATCACCAGCGCATGGGGCCGCAGTGTCCACCACGGCGCAACTGAACCCCCTTTCAGGGGAGACGATGGCTCGTACCACCCACCTCCATTGTATGGCAACGGAGAGGAGATTGAGAGACAGCACTTGGATCTCGCCCTGGAAATCGCTGAGTCCTCTCAGGTTCTGGTCAAATGGGAAAAGGGCGACTTGGTCCTCCTTGACGTGAGTGCACATATCTCGGTCAATCGTGCATGCATGCTTGATCTGTCATACTGACCCCCCCCCCCTATTTTTCTCTCTTCAATAGAACATTGCCGTCATGCATTCCAGACGTGCATGGATAGGTCAGAGGCAGGTTCTTGCTGCTCTGTGGGATGACCAGGGTAGAGTGGATGATTACCCTGAGGGAGAGGAGATTCTCAAAGATAAGCCACGGAAGCCGATCCTGGTGGAGAGTGTGGAGTGTGGAGTGGCATATGCATAACCCTAATATTCGGGTTTAGGGTTGGGGTTACAGTGGTTAGGTCAGCCCACCTTTGTTCAGCCCGCGTTCATCTCAATCAGTTAATGGGAAGCTCGGAGAATGCTTGAGTATGTGTAGCTGACTTCATATCTCTTCGCATACGGTTAATAGAACTCTTCTTCAGCTTCGTAAATGGTGAGGTGTTCGTCTAATGGGGAACCCAATTCTGACACGGACTCGACAGACTTCGAAATCATCGTTGGCTGTATTTATCTTGGCCACTCTATTTTCCGGATTTCCACTTATACTGCGACCCTGGATGGTCCTCGCTCAGTCTCCCATCCGGAGAAAAGGTCCCAAGGTAGTTCTCGCGCGTCGTCCTTCCCTCGGCTATTGCTGCATCCCAGAACACACCTCTGCGCTTCAACTCAGGGACCAGATACCTGGCAACATCCTCCAGGTCTCCGGGGCCCACGGCATACGAGATATTGAAGCCATCGACGTCCGCCTCGTCAACCCAGCTCTGTAGGGTGTCCGCGACGGTCTGGGCCGAGCCAACAGCCCGCGGGTGGGGGCCTCCGAGCGAAAGTTCCTGCGCCACTCGTTTCTTGGTCCAGCGCAGATTGTCCGATCCAGGTATCTGAGCGCTCCAGGAGGACACCATGCTCTGAATGGCCCCCGGCCCCGAGAACTTCAGATCGTCATCGTCGGCGAAGCCTCCGAGATCAGTCCCCGTCCAGCCACCAAAGAGGGCCAGGGTACCGTCCAGGTCGGCGTACGACAGGTACTCGTCGTACTTTGCACGGGCCATCTCATCCGTCTTGTCGACTATCACGAGCATGCCCACGAGCAGCTTGATCCCGGCCGGATCGCGACCTTGCGCTCTGGCCGTTGCACGGATATCATCCACCGTCCTCTTGACGGTCGCAATCTCCATGCCGGGCAGGAACATGGCTTCGGCGTGCTTGGTGGCGAATTCTTTACCGGCTTTGCTGGCGCCTGCTTGGAAGATGAACGGGGTGCGCTGGCGGGACGGCTCGACGAGATGCGGGCCGGCGACCTTGAAGTATTTTCTGACAAGGGACGTCGGTGAGTGACTCTGAACTCGAGAGCATGGATCCGGATGACCTACCCGACATGGTCGATTCTGCGAACTCCATCGGGATCTGCATATTCCATCGCATCAGGATCGAGCCTGACAGCATCGTCGCGCCAAGATCCTTCCAGAAGCTTATAGACGACTTCCAGAAACTCGTCGGCAATGGCGTACCGCTCATCGTGATTGATCTCCTGCTCCAGTCCGAGGTTCTTGGCCGCGCTGGGAAGATAGCTGGTGACTACATTCCAAGCGATGCGGCCGTTTGTAAGGTGATCCAGTGTCGCGTAGCGGCGAGCCAGGAGGAAGGGAGATTCATATGTAGTAGATGCCGTCACGCCGAATGAGAGTGACCTGGTCGCAGCAGCCATGGCGGCGATAGGTATCCTGGGGCTCATGGGCGATTAGTAGCTGATGGTGGAGGAGAGCGGGATAGACTGCGATGGCTTACGAGGGATCGGAAATCGGAAACTGAGCGGCCCCCGGTATAACCTCCCTTATATTCTCGGGCCCCTTGTACACGTCGTAGACGCCGAGCATGTCTGCTAGGAACAGGGCGTGGAAGTTCCCATCCAGGATCTCTGCAAGCTCTATCCAGTAGTCTATATTCTTGTATCGATGTGTCTGGTTCCGCGGGTGTCTCCAGAGCCCTGTTGCGCGCTCGTGAGGTGAGTGTCCGTCCATGAGTACGATGCTGGCCATTCGCCATACCTGCTGCGACGTGGGTTGGGCTGCTCATCGAGAAGGCATTCAGTATCCATCTCTTCTCGTCGGCCATGTTGGACTCTACTAGGGGCAGCAAGTTGTAAAGTATACTCGTTATGACAGAGTCTTCCATCGACCTCGAACGGATCTCATGATACATGTAGGTAATACCTACCGTACTCATGGCCACCCTAGAAACGGTTGAAGGAAAGTCTTATATAGTATGCATATGCATACATGAAGATAAGGTCCGGAGCACAGAATGAACTCTGCAAATTCCATCATCTAGATGAGCAGAGAACCTGTTGGCTTCTCCCTGATACGCCACCAACCGGATGATAGCCACCAGAAAGTCACTCAGGCATCTTGTCGGACGCAGACACGAGCAGTGCTGCAGAGGAACAGCTGCTGGGTCGAAAGATGTAACATGAAGGACGAAGATTACGTCTGATAATGTCGCAATCTCGAAATCATCCTGCCCGCATCTCCTGATACAAGTATATCGGCAAGTGTAACCGAGCCGAGGGAATAAAAAGGGAAATATCACTCTCTCACACGCATCATATCACGACATCAACACTAATATGATGTTCTCCCATCTTGGCGGAGTTGCTGACCGCATTCAACACATCTAGGCATCATTCACGTCAAGCTGCGAGATAACAGTTGAAGATTGAACTGTTACACCCCCTCCCCCCCCATGAAACCCCGACGACGCACATCTGATTTGCCCCTAGATGCTAAAAATCCCGGAATTGGAAATTATATCATATATGACATCGAGATGGCCCGTAGAGACAAATTGCTATGTGAATTGTCAGCATGAATGACTCGATATATCAGCGAGCCCTCCCGCACTCTCAGGCGTCTTTCATCCTTAAATCCCGAGGTCCTCATCTCTACTTCTGTGGTGATACTCTCTATACGACTAACACGCAATGGCCGACGTGTCGCCCGGGCCACCCTTGACCCCCGCCGCTGGTTATGGGGTTGTCGTAGGTCTACCAGGTTCATGGTGGCCAACCGCACAGTCAGGACGGGGCTCACAACGTCAGCCGTGATCTCGTCCTGGACATTCACCTCAGCCCTGCTGGGGGCACCGTATCTCACCTACTGGCACGGCATCGCCCTTCCCGTCTGGTGGGCAAACGGTCAGAGCGTCATGATCTGCTTCTTCGCATACCTTGCCATCCAGACCAAGCTCAAGGCGCCCAACGCGCACACGCTCCTGGAGATCATCAAGGTCCGGCACGGCGAGGGCGCGCACATGCTCTGGACCTTCATGGCCCTCCTCAACAACATCTTCAACTTCACGTCCATGCTTGTCGGCGCGTCCACCGCCGTTTCGTCCCTGACGGGGATGGATGTCTACGCCGCGACATATCTCCTACCTCTGGGCGTCGTCGTATACACGTACTGGGGTGGGCTGCGGGCGACGTTCCTGACCGACTACATCCACACCTTCATCATCATGATCATCCTGGTGTGGTTCAGCCTGGAGGTGATGCTGGCCGAGGAGATCGGCTCCGTCGGCGCGCTGTACGACGCCGTCAGGAGCTTGCCGTCGGAGGGAACGGTCGAGGGAAACCACGAGGGGTCCTATCTGACGATGAAGAGTGACGAGTCGCTGTTCTTCGGCATCATCCACATCGTCACAAACTTTGGCATCGTCATCATGGACACTGGCTTTTGGCAGAAGGGCTTCTCTGCCGACGTGGCGGCCGCTGTTCCGGGCTATGTCCTCGGCGGGAACGCGTATTTTGCCATCCCTTGGGCCTTTGGGACCGTCGTGGGACTTGGTAAGACGACGCAGCCACCTCCAGGGGAGACGGATCCTGCAGAGAACTGACGTGGATACAGGGGCTCTCGTTCTGGAGCAGACACCGGCTTGGCCGACATATCCTCGACGCCTCACCGACGCCGAGGTCGGTGCCGGCCTTGTCTTGCCGTACACCGCGTCTGCTGTGGCGGGCAAGGGCGGCGCAGTCGCCATCCTTCTGATCCTGTTCATGGCTTGCACCAGCGTGGCATCCGCGCAGCTGATAGCCATGAGCTCGATCGTCTCCTTCGACGTGTACGGCACGTACATCAGCAGAGCCCCCGACGATCGGCAACTGATCAGGTGGTCGCACATTGGCGTGGTGGGATCTGCCCTCTTCATATCCACCTTTGCCACGGTCCTGCATAGAGCTGGCGTGGACCTCAACTGGTTGATCTACATGATCGGAATCGTGATTTGGTAAGTCGCCTGCACATGTCCTCGTCCCATGCTGACACTCCATCCGACTGACCGTTGCCAGTCCTGGTACCATCCCGACCGTCCTCGCCCTACTCTGGAGAAGGCAGTCGGCCACGGCCGCGATGGTAGCACCCATCATGGGGATGCTGTCCGGGTTCTCGGTGTGGTTCGGTGCAGCCTACGCGCTGTATGGAGACATCAACATCGGCACCACGGGCAAGACGCTGCCTTGCATGTACGCCTGCATCACGTCCATGCTTGTGCCCTTGCCCATCACCGTCGTCTTGTCACTCCTGAATCCGGGCACGTTCGAATGGGAGAAGCTTGCCCGACTTGAGCGGGTAGGCGACGGCAGTCCCACGACTCACGAAACGTTCGACCCGGAGGTGTATTTCAGCCCTGAAAGGGTCGGATACATGAAGCGCATGTCCAGTGCGGCATTATACTGGGCAGTGGCGACTATTGTCGGGCAGGTGTTTCTTTGGCCGCTTCCCATGTACGGCGCACGGAACATCATGTCCAGAGGTCTCTTCATCGCATGGGTTGTCGTCAGCCTAGTGTGGCTCTTCCTCACGTTGCTCATCGCCAACTGCTACCCGCTGGTCGATGGGGGTGTCGAGAAGATATGGCAAGTGGTTCGATACGCCACCAAAGGATCGTCTGAATATGCAGAGGATGCCGGGGTGGAATCACCACCGATGGTCGAGGTTACAGCTCGAGCTCATGGGAAGAAGTGACTTCATACCATGAACTAGGGAGCGTCAGTTTAACAGCTCATGACACGCATATACGCTTCTACCTATTGTACTTCTCCATGCCCATTTTTTTTGTATGAAGCACGAGACGTGTGAATGGAAAGCGTCTGTCGGCATCAGTTGCCGCCATTTCCAAACGCCATGGATCCAAATCACTTGGCCATCTTCCCCCACGCCCTGGTCCTCTGCCATCTTGAATGTGTCATCCGTTCGAACCGCCTCCCTTCTCACAATACCTTCTTTCGAAAGCGTCTACAATCATGAACCTGGCGGCTAGCCCGATGATGGCAGCTCAACATGTCCTCACTCGACCACGCTGCTACCAAACAAGACCTGGACGCTGTGTAGGTCCCACCTGGCTCTACCGTATTCTGTTCTTTGTCGTTTGCGTCCAGCCTCACCCTCCATCGACAGTGCTTCTGCCCTCTTGCAGGCCGCCGTCCGCGCAGGTTCATAACGTTGACGCCGCCATAACGAACGCTCAAAGTCAATCATCATGACAGTACCCGTCTCCGGGTTGACCAGCATATTGGCAAGCCTAACGTCATTGTGAACCACCCCCTCAGCATGTATGGCTCGCAGCGATGCGACTGCCTTGGAACCTATCACCATAGCCCCACTACCCGCCAGCTTTCCCTTGTCTATCTGCTCACCTCCCCAAGACATGAAGCTCATGTGCACCACATAAACCCGATGATCGTAGTAGTACGTCCTCTTGAGTGGACGGAGATCAATAGCTCCCAGAAAGACGGGCACATGTGTACCCTGCAATCTCTCTAGACGCCTGTACATGGCTGCTTCGTGCTCGAGGTCTCTGATGAAGGCTCTCACTGTCCCCTTGCATACGACTGTATAGCCGTAGTCTAGGAGCGTCACCTTGAACAGTACACCTCGGGCGCCGTTTATGTCGAGCTTCACCACGCCTGCGTCTAGCGTCCGCCGCAGCTGTTGGGTGAGCAGCTGGAGCCATGTCGCGTGACCGATGAGATGATGGCTCCAACCTCCACTTCGGCCCTGAGTATGTCTTCGCAGATTCGGACAGTTCGGGTCAAGTTCGGATCCTTGTACCAGGCCGAGAAGGCATTTTTGGGTGCAGTACTGCCGTTCGCTGTCCTTCTCGACCACCTCCTGAGGCTGACGGGTCGGGTATTGTTCCTCCTCAGCCGCCTTACGAGGCCGACTAGTCAGGGCTCGTTCGCTTCGTCGTGTTTCCTTCTGCCGATCCTCGTTTCGCCGGGATAGCGGACTGGGAGTGCTGGGTGGGGGAGGTGCCGCTTCGTCACCTGAAGACGGCTCATCCCGTCTACCGGCGGGCCGCCTGCCCGAATCGCCTATGCTGCTCCGGCGTCTCCTTCTCTTGCGCACCGCTGGAGACCGGTCAAAGCTCTCGTACGTCGTCGGCGCCCAGCTACGGTCGCTTTCCGACTTCGCTCGTTCGCTCTCTGGTATCGATCGTAACAGGACATAAAAGTCCACCGCCCAGCGTTGCAAGCCGTCCGCCACCCGATCTCGCTCATCTTGGCTATGGTTCATCTGTGCCCCAGGTTTTCCAAGCGCCATGAGGGTAAAAGCGAGGTGCTGCCCAACGGCAGAGCTAGACTGCACATGCTCTGGGTGAGCCGATACTTCGGGCCCGGGCTCCGCCAGATGATAGTACAGTGTACCGGGCTCGGCCCAGTCCACTTTCAGGAACACAGTTGCCTCGCCGGTCGTCATCAAACCGTATTCAAGACCACCTTCGATCATGTAGTGATACGTCTGCGTGAGGGCGGACGCTGCTAGCCGCTCGGCATTGTATACGAAGCGTGCATCCGTGTCTTCACTGGGCGGTATCATCGCTCTGTTCACCACCTCGTCGTAGATATTCATCGGCCGCAGACCAGCGCGAAGACTCGATACCGTGAGTTTATGGGGCGCCTTGTACTCGGTGACATACACCATCTTTCGCTCCCCGTTGCTAGACCGATAGACACAAATCTGGTCGGGTCGCAATTGATTGAGGTCCCTCGTCTGATCTGGCGTTTGCGGCGGCGTTGATGTCGGCCGTTCAGCGACTTCTTCGGCCACCTCGCTAATAGCGTGGGGGTGGTTCTCGAATACGATCCCGTCCCCGATTTCGAATGCACCGCGTACTGCTTCAATTTTCTGGAGTTGCTCAACCAAGTCTCTGGTCGGATCCTCGATACAATTGTGCATAAAATATTCCAGCGTCTTCTCGCTGCCGATCGGTTGTCTTGCCACCCGCCTACTCTGACTGATCAAGACAGGGTGGCTGTCATAGACTCGAGCATCGAGGGGGGAGCATTCGTAAAGGGTATTAAAAACGTCCATCTGCTGCTCAAGAAATCCTGGCCAGACCTGTAGACTCGTCGGACACAGCTTATCCTTTGGGTTCGTGATGGAACCTTTGGTTGTAAATTTTGGATCCTGTTGAACTCGGAGGGAGGAGAAGAGGAGAGTGTGGCAAAGGGCAATGTATTCGTCGAAAGTAGTTTGTCGTGAGTATTCCTCTAGTTCGTTGGCACGTTTCTGTGCATCCTCCGCGTGTTTCTGTGCATCCTCCGCGTGTTTCTGTGCATCCTCCGCGCGTTTCTGTGCATCCTCCGCGCGTTTCTGTGCATCCTCCGCGCGTTTCTGTGAATCCTCCGCGCGTTGACGTTCACGATCCCGATCTTGTTGGGCCTCCCTGGCGCGGTTCTCAGCCTCAAGAAGCTTCTGCCGTAGTTCCTCCATGGCCCCAGTATATGAAGGGGATCCTTTGATTCACAGCACTTAGCGTCCGTGGGAAGGAAGGACCATCTAATGACAGATGGGTGAGGAAGAGGAAATGATGGCTAGATCAGGGGGAAAGAATCATCCTTCTGCATCATCCGACTTTGCATGTTATACAGATACCCAACGGCAACCTACCCCTCTTCTCTGAGTGTCTCATCCAGTCACATGACACGCTTCCGTGTTGGCACGGTGACGGGCGACGGGAAAGCCTTCTTCCGGATGAGTCAACGGCTCGAAACGCATTCCTAGTCACTATTTCCCTCCCGGCATTTGTAAGCACTTGCCATGCGTAGCAGAGGCGCGTAGGAATAAAACTCACGACAATTGTCAGCTGCTTCTACGCCTCTACGAATATGCATGTACCTGCGTGTACAGATAGACTACTATTCATCTAGATCGCATATCGATCAGCCCTGTGGGTCCGGACTCACACGTCGCTGTGGGCCCGGAGGGGCGCATCTGACACGCAAGAACAGCATCAGAAAGTTGGCATCGGTCCTCCGTCGACCATCCTTTGGGGGGACGGCTATTGTGGTATTGGTGTCGCCGTCCGCGCTAATAGTTTTGTGCAGGACAGTATTATCGACTTCTCCAAGATTGTAGACTGGATAGTTGTTGGGTGAGATGAAGAGAGGACTTGGTAAGCAATGAGCATTTCTGTGTCGAATATGCAGGCGGAGCATTACTAATGCAATAAATAGGACTCTACGGAGTGACGGTGAAATAAGTATTATTTAGTCATGAGTTACATTCAATATAAATACTAGACATCGCCTACCTCTCCGGTTGAAGAAAAAACAAGGTGAAGAATATCTAGTAGAGTTCGGCAACTTGAATGTCATTTGTAGCACCCCAATTGCATGACTAAGCAACCAGGGGGTTGCTACCACACATAACTGTAGATAGCCTCATAGATTGATTTCCTTTCCTTTTGAGTAACAAGAAACTACAGATTAGACACACACATATCGAACCAGGACGTATATGTAAGCAGAGAAGCCACTGTATCTGCGTCTACGAGTCATCGTGTTATCGCCCACTGGAAGCACAGCATTGAGGGTATAGGGTTGAAGACTCTCGCCAACGCAATCAGAAATAGCAAGGTTCCACGTCAGCATCACTTTCGAACGCTTTGAGAAACATTCCTCATGCAAAAACAAGAGCATATTCCAGTACTGGTAGCACCTTGTGTATTCTATAATACTCATCACCTTTAGATTTCAAATACACCAATCGCCCTTTGTAAACCCTACAGGCCTACCAAGAGGCCTATCCTGACAGCTCGTTGCCCTTGGCAACTCCCGATGTTTACCCGTAAATAGATGTCGGCCGCAAACTTGAGCATCCTCAATATCCACAGCGCGTACAACGACTTTTGTTGACTATTATATGGAGGATGTCGACATCAGACACATGAAACGGCCGGATCATTAGCAATTTCTTGTCGTTTCTTCTCAAACTGCATTTTGGATCTTTACCTCTCTCCTTTACGATAGCCACTCTCCCTTGCATATACACAACCACCCGCCTTTCTCTCCGGCAAGGGAAGGAATGCCGATGTGGTGGCGATACCTACACACACGATAATATGGCCAACCCCCCTCGTCGCGACATGACTTCGTTACAAAGCCAGGTAGATGCCGTCAAGGCAGCCGCCGCCTCACCATCCACTTGCAGCTCAACCACCGTTGTCACCCTCAGGAAGCTCCTGCTCCCCGAGACGAACGCGAAGACGACGACGCGCGCCCCCACGAAACAGAACGAGACGACTAAGATAAAGACGTCGAAGGCAGCAGCCTGTGGCGGGTTGACCGAGTCATTGAGCACACGAGACCGAGCAGCCCTCGCGACACACATCATCAATGTCACGATCAAGTCCCTCACAGAGGCAGCTAAGCTCACGGCGCCGCCGCCACCAACCACGCCGTCCAAGAAGCAGCAGCAGCAGCAGCAGCAGGAAGAGGTCCCTCCCCCCCCCACCACAGCCAGCAAGAGGACGTTGCAAAGATCCGCGTCGACACCCATGTCACCGCTCCAACCGCGGACACTCAACAGGGTGGCAACGTCTCCCAACGTCGCTTCCCTAGCGTCGAAGGGCGCGTCGTCCGATCCGACGAACCACCAGTCGACAAAATACCTGGCTACAGCAGAGTGTGCGCGCCTCGCGCTCGCGTGCCTGCGCTCGATCAAGGGCGCCATAAAGCTGGACCAGACCGATTTTCAGGTTGAGAATGGCATGTCGACGCTCGCTACCAAGCTGGTCGCCATCGGGCTCAACGAGCTTGCCCTCAAGGAGTTGAGGGTTCTAAAGCGCAGGCTTGAGGACGGAGGAGGGGCCGAGGAATCGTCTGATGCATCCACCGATGCCGCTGCTACTTCTAGGGCCCCATTGACCGTGTGCGACCTCCTCGATTACCGTGGTCTTGTCTCGCAAAACAGCCTCGCCGTCGTGGCCTCCTGTCAGATCCAGTCGCTCAAATTGATTGCCACCTCGAAGAAACCGGCCCACATCGAAGCCATCGTTCCCTTTCTCCGCGACTCGAATTCATACTCCCCCGCCAATATACTGGGGAAGTTTGCCAAGACTGGTGGCGGCGGCGACGCCAACGCGACCAAGGCAGCGCGTCAGCTGGCCTCGTTATCGCAGACCCTCCTCTCCTTAGCACCCAGCGTCTCTAGCAGCGAGGACAATGTGGCCATGGAACCGAGGCTGAGTCCGTCACCGGTCGTGGCATTCGAACTCCAAGCCCTCGCCTTCAAGACACAGCTTACATGGTGGAAGTTGGCAGGGCACCAGGGAAAGATCGACAACGACATCATGTCACCCTTCTCCCGCTGCGTGCGGTGCCTCATCCGACGACAGCCGCAGACCGACGACTCGACTTATACCGCCATCTCAACCGCCTTTGACGACCTAATGGCTATGGTGCGTGCCCAGAAGCACGAGCCCGACGCCTCCCTCTCATCACCACTCGCCACCATCTATCACGCTCTCGGTTCGGCTGCCCACTCCTCCCGCCGGTACGACGATGCCTACCGTTGGTACAGCACACTCAAGGGTTTCGGCGGCCCCGAAGACGTGACCTCCGTCCGCGCGTGTTCTGTATCCGCACGCCTCCTGGCTGCGTCCCTGAAGCGTAGCAATATTGGAACCTCGGACGAGGAGCTGTTGGATGAAGTCGCCGAGGGATTCAACGCGTCTCTGAGCGGTACGGCCAGCGAGGTGAATGAGCTCCTCGACAGCCTCTCGATTGCACGACGCTCTGTCGCTGGACTCCTGATGAACAACTGGGGTGACAAGTCGTCCATCTCCCCCACCCTCAAAGACCTCCTCAAGAAGTTCCTCCTCCGATATCCCCGCTTCCTCCTCCGGTGGCTTGGAACACCCCCCGTCAAGGAGGCCTCCACGAAGAGCATCCTGCAATTCGACCAGCGGCGGCAGGCCATAATGCATTCCATCAGCCAGGTTCTCGATGGCGCCCTGACCGTTGCCAAGAATGAGATTGGCTCCAGCTCCATGGAGTGGCAGCGCGTCGACGACGTCCTCCAGGACTGCACGCTCCTCCTCAACAACCTCCATGATCCAGCCACCTCGTCCGTCAAGATGGAGCAGCTCGGCAGCTACCACGTCAAGATGTCGGCACTCTACTTCACGGCGTTCTCTCAGCTGCGCAAGCGACCCGACCAGAGCAAGGCCAACAAGAAGCAGGCACTCCAAGCCTTGACTCGCTCCATTGACGCCGTTAAGGAGCGCAGTGCCGCAGATAAGGAAAAGGCCCAACTGCCGATCAAGCTGGAGCTCTTCGCCGACTTGTGTAAGGGGTCTGGGCGCCCCGAAGATGCGTCAAGGACACTGCGCTCTATCTGCACCAACATGGTTGAGGATGGCGTGTTGGCGAGAGTGGCCACCGCGCTTGCGACGCAACCACCGCGTGTTGCATGGGGCGTCGATGACAAGGTGGCAACTCTGTCGCGCACCCTGCGATCAATAGCCAAGCTTGACGGCTCATTCAACGACTGGACATTTTTCCTTCCGGAGGTGGAACGTGCGGCCGTGCTGGAGCACCTGCTGCAGATCAGCGTGGGGGATACCTCGACCGACAACAAGCCGCTCAAGCTTCACGACGCTAGCATGACGGCTCTCCTACGCATATACACACCCGACCGCTACCCCGTCCGCCGCCTGCGCGTCCTGCTCAAGCTTCTCTCACAGCAGTTGGGCAGCAAGGACGGCGTTGGCGAGATTACCAATCTGGTCGACCAGTCGCTGCGGTATCTGCAGAAGAAGGATCTGGTTGAGGACTCGTCTCTGGCGCAATTCGTCCCTCACCTCCAGACGTACCACTCCTCGGTCAGGGCGCTGGCCGACATGGACTCTCCCTTCCCCACGCCCGCCATCCAGGACGCCGTGTCTACCTGGGCCACCATGGTGGACAGGTGCCAGTCAGAGGGCGACGTCCTAGTCAGGATCGACGAGCCTGACTCCCTGCTCGACCACCTGCTCGCCTGCGACAGGCTCGCTGGCCTCAAGGGCGAGGCCCGTCTGCAGGTATCCATCCTGGAGCTCGCACTCAAGCTGGCGAGGGCCTACACGGGCCCCAGCAGCGACGACCTCATAACATACCACTGCAGGCTAGCGTCACAATATATGGACGTCGGCATGTTCACCGAGGCATCCAAGTCGCTGGGCGAGGTCAAGGAGATGATACGTCTGAGCGAGGGCGCGGCCGCCCCGGCTACGATGGCCGACTTCTACCTCGCCCAGGCAGAGTACCTGGCTGGTATCGAGGATACGAGAGAGGCCATGGAATGCCTGACTAAAGCAAGCAGTGTCAGCAGCGCCGCCGCCTCAGCCCGGTCCAAGGCTCAGACGACGCTCTCGCTCTCTCATACTTCCATGGTGCAATCCAGGATCCTCATGCGCACGGGAGACCTGCAGGGTGCACTACGCTCTGCCAGATCGAGTGTCAAGTGGCTGTCGCAGGACTGGAGCAGGTTCGACGGGCCCTCGATGCAGGTCAACACTGCTGCCCCCGAAACTGCTGGCAACGCCGGTGCTGCGGGTCTGAGAAGCAACGTGCTTGCATCCTCCCAACCGCGCAGTGGACCTGAGATCGCCTTTGGGCCCCGCCTGTGGTCTCTGGCCAGGCCTCTGTTCGACAGCCTGATGCACATCTCGTCTCTCTACGCCCACATCGGCATGTTCCAGGAGACGCTGTTCTACTGCGAGACAGCCGCTAAGATTGCCGAGAGCACGGGTTCCAGTCTCCTCAAGGCCGAGGCCTCGGCTTGGGCGGCGTCGATCTACGTTAGGGCCGACATGATCGATCAGGCTGCTGAGAAGGCCAACCTTGTCGAGCTCAACATGCCCAAGGAGCCCTGCGCGGCCCGCGTCAAGCTGGCCATCCGCCTGGGAGAGATTTACCGTGAGCTCGAGGACGAGGCCAAGTCGGCCGAGTTCTTTGCCCTAGCTGAAGAGACGACGAGGCTCTTGGGCCGCGGACAGGCGCAAGCAGCGGAAGCAGCCGGCGGGAAGAGGAAGAAGACGGCGGCCAAGAGAACGACGGCGACGAGGACGACGAGGACGACCAGAGCGGCGGCTGCCACGACGACGACACGCAGCACTACGAGACGTGCCCCTGCCGCCAAGCCGAAGGTGGCCGCCGTGCTGACCGAGCTGGCTTCGGTGCCCAATGACGTGTACCAGGCGTCCCTCATGGCTTCTGTGCTCCTGGCCAGGGCCATGAGTGGCATTCAACAGAGGGACTGGACGTCCGTGGCGTCGGCTCTGAAAGCTGTGCAGACGCTGCCCAAGCTGTTTGAGAATGTGCGCCAGGAGCAGCTCATCACCGCGTTCCATTACCTCGGCACGAGCGTCGACCAGATGGTCAACGACCCCGTCTTTTCCGTCATGCACGACTCGACCATCTCGTTCCCCGCCGTCCTACCGAGCAGCTCGACGGACAGGGCAGGTCGGGGCGCGCCATCGACGAACGATGGCAGGTCACCGTCTGCACCGCCTGCTCCGCGAAGAGGACGGCCTGGTGCGGCGGCGGCGGCAGGCACCGCCAAGGAAGTGCCTGCCTTTGCTGAGGCTCTCAACCACGCCCAGGCAATCCTGCTCGATGCGCAGGCTTCAGCTCTGGCAAACGGTGACAACGCGGTGATGCACCGCATCTCCAACCTCCTACAGAACACCGTCATCTCCCTCACGGCGGCGTCGTCGTCGCCCAAGATCAAGACGGCCATCCAGACCGAGTCGACCACCGTGGCTGTCGAGGTGGCGCGCAACATGACGTGGAAGAGGGAACAGCTGGTGATCCAGTCGTGCAAGAGCGGGAACGGAAGTGGCAGCGATGCTGCCGTCCAACAGCAAGCCGCAGGCGCAGCCACCTCTGCCCTGACGGAGAAGATGGCCGGCCTAGGCCTGACGTCGGACATGGCGCGTTTCCAGGACGAGTTTGTGGAGCTGGTTCCCGAGAACTGGAGCGTCGTGTCCATCTCGCTCAGCGATGACCAGCACGACCTGTGCATCACCAAGTTCGAGGCCGGCCAGAGCCCTTTCATCCTGCGCCTGCCCCTGGAGAGGGCCAACTCGCGCGACGCCGACTCGGACGTGTTCAGCTTCCCCAACGGGCGCGAGGAGCTGCTGGACATTGTCAAGAACGCCAACCGCACCAGCCACAGCGGCGGCAGCCTGACGACCAAGGCGAGCCGCAACGCGTGGTGGGCCGAGCGCGAGGCGCTGGACGAGAGGCTCAGGGAGCTCCTGGCCGCCGTGGAGACGACGTGGCTGGGCGGGTTCAAGGGCATCTTCTCGCAGCACCGGCGACGGCCCGACCTGCTGGCGCGCTTCCAGAAGAGCTTCCACCAGCTGCTGGAGCGGACCCTGCCCTCGCGCAGCGGCGGCGGCGGCGCCGCGGGGAACAAGAAGAGGGGTCGCAGGCCGGCGGCGGCGGTGACGCTGGACCCGCGCATCCTCGACCTGTTCATCGGCCTGGGCGACCCGGGCGACGCGGACGGCGACTTTGACGAGGCCCTCAACGACCTGCTCTACTTCGTCGTGGACATACTGCAGTTCCACGGGGAGCGCAACGCCTACGACGAGATCGACTTCGACGCCATGATGGTGGAGACGTACGACGCCCTCCGGGGCTACCACCAGGCCGCCTCGGTCGCGGGTGAGGCAGGGCGGGCCGAGGGCGCTCACACGATCCTCGTGCTGGACAAGGCGCTGCACGCCTTCCCCTGGGAGTCGATGCCGTGCATGGGCGGGCTGGCCGTGTCGCGCGTCCCCTCCCTGGCTGCTCTACGACGACTCATCACCGAGTCCAGGCCGTCGTCATCCGGGAGCGGCGGCGGCGGCGGACACCGCGTCCCTGGCGGACACTACGTGTCACGCGAAGCAGGCACGTACATGCTCAACCCGTCGTCTGATCTGAAGAACACGCAGTCCTACTTTGAGCCGCCGTTCAGGTCGTCGCTCCCGGACTCGTGGACGAGGCTGGTGAACAGGGTGCCGACCGAGGCCGAATTCGAGAGGGCGCTGTCGTCGTCGGACGTGCTCCTCTACTTTGGCCACGGCGGCGGGGCGCAGTACATCCGCGGCAAGACGATACGGCGGCTGGACAGGTGCCGCCCGGCGACGTTCCTCATGGGCTGCAGCTCGGCGGCGCTGAACCCGGCGGGCGAGTTCGAGCCCTACGGACCGGTGTGGAACTACATGACGGCCGGGTGTCCGGCCGTGGTGGGGACGCTGTGGGACGTGACGGACCGGGACATTGATCGCTTCGCCGGCCGGGCATTTGAGGAGTGGGGACTGTTTGAGCGTGGGACGTTCAGGGAAAAGTCCAAGGGTCTTGCCGGTCAGGATGACGGCAATAACGATGACAATAACAATAGCAGCCGCAGCAGCAGCGGCGGCGGCGGCGGCGGCGGCGGCGGCGGCAAGATGCAGCTGGATGCCGGCGAGACTGAGGACGAGAGTGCTGCCATGACCCCTTCTCTGGCCGAGGCGGTTGTCCGTGCTCGTGCGGCCTGTCGGTTCAGATATCTCAATGCTGCGTCGGTCGTCATGTATGGTATTCCGGTATATATCGACCGACAATAAGGGGTCGTTTTTTTTGTTTTTGTTCGTCTTTTTTGTTCGTCTTTTCTTCCCTTCTCTTCTTCTCTTCTTCTTCTCTTCTTGCATAGGGAGTTAGCATAGCCTGGAGTTTGTTGTTCTCTCCATCTGGATAGATGTTGTCTCACCCGACGTTATATTGTCTGCCTACCTGGTGATCCATTCTTTCATCTTATTTTGCATCTTTTCTCATTTCATCTCTTTTTCTTCTCTGATTTCATTCCTGCTGAGATACCCCCGTACTATATGTCGGGCTGCGAAGCTATATCATCATGATCAATATTGCTATTAGACATGTCACAAGTATCAACTACTCTTGTACTCTTCATCGTATTCATACTATATACGTAGCGGTACGTTGTAATATTATATATGCATCATACAATCACAACAAGTATATACGAATCACCCCATCGTCTCCTTTTTTTTTTCTCCACGTCGTCCTATCTGAGTATATAGAAAAAAAAATTTGTTAACATGAAAAATTGGAAATGAAAAAAAAGGTTCCCCCTTTCCCTTCCTAAGCCTTCCCCTCCCCCCCTCCCTACCTATCCGACAACGCAAGAAGAGCAGAGGAAAGATGTGTTCTGATCATCGACTTGCATGTTTTGCCATGTGTACTACGCCGTCTCACGAGTTCGGTGAAGACATCATTGCTGCTACTAGTAATGATGACGGTGCCAATAGTGTTATCGTTATTATCATCATTACTATTAATACTATCAATACTACTGCAGGTTACTCAGTAAAGGGTTAAGGGTTGAGGGTTGAGGGTTAAGGGGTCCACCGCCTCGCGGAGTATTATTACGACTTGCATCGCAGCACGTACGACGGTACAGATTACAGATTACGACTCGCAGCCATCACATCAATACCAGGCGGCTACTAATTAGCATTCTTCGTGACGTCCCGGTACGAGTATTACGGTTATTACGGAGCATCGATACAGGCCCTGGCATCATCCATTAGCTGGCAAGCTCACTGGCACTCGCACTCTCAGAACTTCAGACTTCCGAGACGAACCAACCTCTGGCACTTGGCAAGGTTGGATGGAACCACATCTCTAATCCTTTTCTTTCCCTTAATCTGTTGGGCCCGGCAGACTGGCACACGTTTGAGAGAGGAGGGGGGGGGGGGGGGGGGGGAAGGTCTTGATTGACCCTCGGAAGTTGGAATGAAATGCATGAAATCCTTGAAATGACTGAGACATTCTAGCCATCGTCGTCCATCTACTACTACTATACGGAGTAATACAATACTTATCTGTACGGAGTATTATTATTATTATTACGGAGTATTTACATGTATAACAAGAGTATTTATGACGAGAGTTATCTACTCAGTAATACTTGTCTGTGGGTTTTGCAGTAAAAGGGAAAGAAGAAGAGAGAAGAAGAGAGAGAAGAAGAAAATCTCCGTTACTCTGTCTGATCGACCGATAAATGAATCTTCCCTGGTGGAGAGTACAGCTACCGGACGGGGTATTCGCGAGACTCTGATGATTGCGAGAGTACGATGGTATCATTTCACGGAAAGATGTGGCAGGATTCACCTCACAGGAGAATGGAGTAAAGAAGATGAAGATGAAGAAGAAAAATTCATAAAATAGAAAAAGACACACACACACACACACACACACGCAAAAACAAACCAACAGATAAAACAGACGGGGGAAGAGAAAGAAATCGTTAGTCGCGGAGAAGAAAAAGAAAAAAGAAAAAAGAAAAAAGAAAAAAGAAAAAAGAAAAAAGAAAAAAAGAAAAAAAGAAAGAAAGAAAGAAAGAAAAGGAAACAGAATAAAAAGGGACCCTCGTGTTATTATTTATTACCACGGCTATATCTGAACCGGGGGGTGGCCATTTCTTCTCTCATCCATCAACTTTGGGTACGGAGCAACGGGGAGGAGAGAGAGAGAGAGAGAGGCCTGGAGTCCAGGGCAGACAAAGGAACCTCGCGAGGAACTTGGGGAAACCTAGACGACGAGAGTTCGGAATCGTCCGTGATGTGATGATACCTTGTCCATCGTCTGGACCGTCGGTCGGGAACGGGCCAGGGAGGGCAGCAATGACAATATACACTTGTACTAGACTGGTGATTATTCCCGCCTAATATTGCTTCTCGACAGATTGGCACTTTCACGCCGTAGCCTTGCTGGGATCTTTTGACGGAGATTGGGATCTTTTGACGGGAAAATGACAGACTCTCTCCCTCTCACCACACACACACACACACACACACACACACACACACGCGGAGAGAGAGAGAGAGAGACAGAGACAGAGACGCGGCATGATGAAGAGACAAGATCAAAGACGCACAGAGCTGTCGGAGGAATGAAAAGAATCGACAGAGAGTGTGTGGGAACGCGACCGGACCGTCACAATGGTCAAGACAAAGGTCAAAGAGACAAGTCAAAGACGAAAAGCCAATATTGCATCGTCCCTGTCCCTGTGCACGTGTTTCGGGAACCACAATCTGCATGTAGGTTTGCCAGACACGTGATTTTTCTTTTCCCTTTTTTTTTAAAAAAAAAAAAGGAAAAAAATCCTCTCTCTTTTCAACGTTACCCCCCCCCCCCTTTGTCCGTTCCCTTCTTGGCCATGCTCGTACAGAGGGTAATATGTAATATCGTGTCGTTACTTGGCTATAAGTGCCAAGGCAAGACATTCGTTGCGACCACCACGCACTGCAGTACTGGTATCGTAGTCAACATGTCAGATAGCCCGCAGAAGCCGTGCATGTAATCTGTACTGTCCGGTGTGATCGCGCACCTGTCCCTGCCACTGTCACTGACGGGGCCACATCGGGGGGGGGGGGGAGGTCATGGATCGAATCGATGGCGCTTGCCTTGGGTGGATGCAGCAAACGGTGCTGCGAGGGGAGGGGGACCAGTACCTGGTCTGGTGTGGCGTCTCTGAACCTCTCCTCTCTCTCTCTCTCTCTCTCTCTCCTTCGTGTGTCTGCGCGTCCAAGGGGGGTTTGCCATGATCCATCATCATCGTCCGATACTTCTCCCCTGTTGTCTGCTCCCTCGAAAAGGCCCAAAGAGGAAGACTGCATGCGGGCAGCGTGACTGTAACAGGACGCTTCGGTAGTTGACCCGTGGGCACTAGCCCGGGGCTGTCTGGGCACGAGGCACGCGTGGGACCGTTGCCGGTCAAGAAGGGCTCTCTGCTGTGGTCCCCGCCGTCGGCCCAATGGCGTGCCTGTCGTGCCCTCGAGGGTTGTTGGATGGGCCGGGATGGCAGACAGACACAGGCCACAGACAGGACATACCCCAGTCTCGGAATTTCTGGCACCACCCCCACCCCCTGCCGCTTCAATCACCTTATGCAGTTGACAGGATAGCGGTAAACAACGGTAAACAGAGACCCCAACGCAAGCATCCAAGTGGCTGCTCGCCCGATGGCCGCGCGTGGTTAGGGGTAGGACAGAGTGCCAGACTGCAGACTGCAGACTACAGATTAGAGGAGACGGCCGTCACACGGCATCGTTGAGGGTAACTGGTAGGGCGCCATACGACGTACGAGCACAGCATCTCTTCCGGTGACACAGACCTGTCTCGCCGGACCCTACCCGCTCGCCATCAGCAATACGACGTACGAGAGCGTCGTAGATGGATATCACATGGTGGCCGTCTTGAGCCGTCGGTCAGGCGGGAACGTGCTGCTCCGTATTCATACCTCATAAACCGTCGTACCGTCGTAATTAGGCACTTAGCAGCAAATGCCCCCTCTCCTAGTAGGCCCCGTCGCTCCAAAGGCTGAGAGAGAGAGGGACCGGGGGGAAGGGGGCGTGTGGGTATCAGGACGTGGCAGTCGAGCAGGTTGAACCAGGGCAGGAGGACAATGTTTGGTAGTGGGTAGGCTGCCATATTATTACATTACTGCTGCGTATCCGTATGACGGACCGGCATGGGGAGAGGAGCGTCGGCAGGCAGAGACGAGGATGAGGAAGATGTCGAAGTTGATGGTAGAGCATCAGTGAGAGTGAGAGAGAGAGAGAGAGAGAGGCAGATGTTCATGTAATCTGCAGAGGGAGAGCAGAGATGGAGAGCGTGAGGCATGAGGCATGAGGCATGAGAAGGAAGAGGAAGAGGAAAGAGGCAGAATGTTAGTCATCATGGGTGCCAAACACGTTTTCTGGGCAGGAGCGTCTGTGGGACCCCCCAAGGAAGGGGCGATGGATGGAGCCTGCGAGTCTGTATCCATCTCTATCTGTATTTATTAATACTGTATTGATGACCTGTAGGACCTAGACTCTACATGTACGAGATGTTACTAGTAATACTCCGCACTGCTAGGATTATTATATGCTCGTGGAACCTAAGGGGTAGATACCTATTAGTCCGTTTTTTCTTCTTATGACTACTTACATGCGTATTCCTTGGTAGAAATAACACTGCAATACCGATGCTACTCCGTACTCTTGAGATACAAGCACCATGCACGGTACTGGCTCGATAACACCCACGAGTAATAACGGTAGTGGAAATAGTGATGGTGCATACGGTACCAGATAGCGACCACGGATACTGCCTGTGCTCGTACCTCACGCCCTCTAATCCGTATACTACTGGCAGTAATGCTGCGTCCATGCCAGTAGCAGTACAGATCACAGTGCACTAGCAGCACTAGTATCAGCACTAGATAGCTGCCTACCGCAATTAGTACGCAGTAGTTCTGGTACCTATATGTGCGGGTACCGTCCTCCTAAGTGAGTAATAATAGCACTCCTAAAACACGCCTAGACGCTCCCCTAAACCGCCTAACCTCCTAAGGCTCCTAAACCTTTCAGGGTTCCCGCTGCTTCTCCACACCTCGTCGACGGTTTCAAACGCTTCCTTGTCCTCCACCATTCTTCTCTCCTCTGTTCTGTTCGCCACGAGCCTCTCTGTACGCCTTGCACACAATTTCTTCTTGCCGTGCTTGGCTCCAGTGTCCTTTTCCTCTCTCCATTTATTGAAGACGTCTCGTTCGGGCATCTCTGACTTACATTCTCTTTCTCTGTCTTTCTACCTTTCCCTCTCCTAATCCTAATCTCTGTGCTTTTTGTGTGGTTTTTTTTTTTTGCCCGCCCGCGTCCTCTCTCTCTCTCTCTCTCTCTCTCTCTCTCTCCCCCCCNCCCCCCCCCCCCCACACACACACCACCACCACTACTACTTCCACCACTTCGATCCCGCTGCAGAATCGTCCTCGTCTACTGTCGCTTTCCCAGTCCTCCTCTGTCTGGCTGACGAGACATGCAGAGAAGAGATTGGAAATTCGCGCCCGTCAACATCTCGTTCCTCTCTCGCCGGGAAGAAGCAGCAGTGACATCGTCGCGGCATACACCCCCGCAAGTGTCTCAGTAGTCGAGCGGCGCCTCTTCGCAAACCCAGACATCGTCATCATCATCATCATCATCGCCAAGACCACCACCTTCTCCTCCCATTGGCGCCGCTCGCCCCGACGTCGTGGAGAGGCAGTGCAGCCATGTACGGCGGTCAGCCTCTGCCGCATGCCCACCAGCTCCAACATGGACAGCAGCAATCGTCATACCATGTTCCCGCCGCCGCCGATCTATCCGTCGACCTCCATGCTCATCAGCCGTCCGTCATGGATGCCTCCGACTTTGGTCCTTTCCCGTACGCCTTTGACGGATTGCACGATCCGGGTCCGATAATGTCGCTCCCCAGTCAACAGTCCGCCACCCTCCATCACCACCACCAGCATCATCATCATCAACCGCCACAGCAGCAGCAGCAGCAGCAGCATCAGCCTGGCCATGTTCCCTACGTCGCCGCCGACGCCATCTCCTCCAGCCAGTCCTCTCAGCAACCGCAGCAGCCCATGCTCACGCCGCCCCAGCCGCATAACGAGCCCCATCCGAATCCCCCCGTCTCCAAATCCAACCTCGACGGCGGCAGTGGCGGACAGTTCTCGCGAAAACCCAGCATTGCCGCCTCTATCGCCGACACCCAGCCCGAACGCAGGCCGTCCCTCGTCGCTGACGCACTCGAAGACTCGGCCGACGGAACGGACCTGGGCGCCAAGGCTAGCAAGGACCCAAACAAGTCCGACGCGCCTCCTCCCTGGAGCGAGCTCAAGACCAAGGCCGGTAAGGACCGGAAACGCCTCCCGCTGGCCTGCATCGCCTGTCGCCGCAAGAAGATCCGCTGCTCTGGCGAGAAGCCGGCCTGCAAGCACTGCCTGCGGTCGCGCACCCCCTGCGTCTACAAGGTCACCACGCGCAAGGCCGCGCCCCGCACGGACTACATGGCCATGCTCGACAAGCGCCTCAAGCGCATGGAGGAGCGCGTCATCAAGGTGATCCCCAAGTCAGATCAGGGTTCCATCTCATCCGTTACCAGGGCCGTCGTCAAACCCGCCATGCCCGGTACTCTCGGCTCCAGCAAGCCCCTGTCCAGGAAGCGCGGTGCCGACGATGCCTTTGGCACCGGCTTCGAGGCCTGGGCCGACGCGTCCCCCGAGCCCGGACCCGAGGACGACAATGCGCTCGAGGCCCAGGAGACGGACGAGAACAAGCTCTTTCAGGAGGGCCGCGACGCGCTCCCGCCCAGGGACACCCAGGAGCACCTAGCCGAAGTCTACTTCGATCACGTCTACGGCCAAGCCTATCCTTTGCTGCATAAGCCGAGCTATATGCGCAAGCTGAAGTAGGTCGTCTAACCCGCATCTTGAAACCCTGGTGCCGATTGCTGATCCGATGCCAAACAGGAACAATGCGTTGCCGCCCGTCCTCGTCCTCTCCGTCTGTGCCGTTGCCGCACGCTTCTCGGCCAATCCCCAGCTCAACTCCTCCGCGACCAAGCAGTGTCTGCGCGGCGAGGAATGGGCCGCGCCCGCACGAGAAATCTGCACCCGCCGATACGAGTCGCCCAACATCACCATCCTCACCTGCCTCCTCATCCTGGGCCTTCACGAGTTCGGCACCTGCCAGGGGAGCCGCAGCTGGGCGTTGGGCGGCCAGGCCACCCGCATGGCCTTTGCGCTGCAGCTGCACAAGGACCTCGACCACGACCCCATGCGCAGGAAGGGCCAAGGCAAGCTCAGCTTTGTCGACCGCGAGATCCGTCGCCGCGTCATGTGGTCGTGCTTCCTCATGGACCGCTTCAACTCGTCGGGCACCGAGCGGCCCATGTTCATCTTGGAGGACGTCATCGAGATCCCCCTACCCGTCAAGGAGAGGCACTTCCTGCTCGACATGCCAGCTGTTACCGAGACGCTCGACGGATCGGTCCCTTCGAGCACGCCCGAAGGTGCCAACGCGGCCGGCGACGCCACCGAGAACATGGGCGTCAGCGCCTTCATGATTCGGGCCGTCGCCCTCTGGGGCCGCATCACTGCCTACGTCAACCGAGGCGGCATCACGTCGGACACGAAGCCCATGCACGACGAATCGTCGGGTTTCTCGAACCTAGCTAGGCAGGCAGAAGCACTCCTGCATGGAATGCCCGATGCGCTCAGCTATTCGTCCGACAACATCTCCCTCCACCAGATCCACCACACGGCCAACCAGTTCCTCCTGCTGCACCTGATGCTGCAGCAGAACGTGCTGTTCCTGTTCCGGACCGCCATAAGCGCCACCAGCGGCGTGCCTGACGACGTGTTTACCGCCAATGCCAGGACCAAGGCCTTTGAGGCTGCCGGTAGGATCTCCGACATCCTCCGGGACGCCGAGGAGTTCCGCGTCGTCATCTCGGCCCCCGTGGCGGGGTACTGCGCCTTCTCGTCGACGTCGATGCACATCCGCAGCATCCTGTCTGGCCATGCGTCTAGCAAGGCTGCGGCCGAGGCCAACGCGGCCACCAACGTCCGGTTCGTCCGCAAGATGATGACCTTTTGGGGCATGTTCCACTGGATGGAGGAGGACGTCCGATCCCAGTACCGCCGGGCCCTGGACCGCAGCCGCTCAGGGCTCCCGCCCGACGACTCCGAGGCGACGCTGCCCATTCTGCAATACGGCGATTGGTTCAGTCGCTACCCGCATGGTGTGTCCGACGCCGATTTCATGGATCCGGCCGTCCAAAAGAAGCGGGAGAAGGGTGCCGATGGCGTCCTCGAGCAGAAGCCCGAGCTACACTCCGTCGGGGAGTTCTTCAGCATGTTATCGTCCCCCAATAGCTCCGACAAACGGCAAGGCCAGAACTCGTCACAGCAGCAGCCACCCGCGGCCAAACGAAAGGCGACCAGCAAGAAGATGACGGCTGCGTCCGGCTGCCCGGCGGAGAAGACAGTCCCCAAGTCGACGATGCCGAAGAAGAACAAGCCTCCTTCCCTCGACACGGCGCAGCAGAGCACAACCCCAGGCCCGGAGCCCGCATCCGCCCACATCAACCCGACGACTGCGCAGGTCCAGCAGCCGTCTCGCCGTCCATCCGTACCATTAGTCGGCACGCCCTCGCCGTTCCACCATCCCTTCACGACAACGCATACTCAGCAGCAGCCTGCGACGGTGACGTACTCTATGCCCATCAGCCCGGTTCACCAATTCGGACCACCGAATGCGCCGCCACCGCCACCGCAACCGCAACCCCAGCAGCACCAGCAGCACCAGCAGCACCAGCAGCACCAGCAGCACCAGCAGCAACAGCAACCCCAGCCTAGCCCCTTCTTCCCGCCCGACATGATGCAGCACATGGGGATGCCGAACCAGCAGCCCGATCCCGCCATGATGGGCTCGCTGGACCAGTCCCTCTCCTCGTTTGGCGGGTACCCCGCCATGGACGACCATCAGCACCAGCACGTCCTGGGAGGGGCTGGAGGGACGCAGGGATGGCACGATGCACCTGCTCCCGGTCCCCCCGGGAGTGCGGCAGGTCATCATCACCACCAGCACCACCACCCGCAGCAGGTTGCCATGGCGGAGCATCAGCATGCCCACATGCCTACGCAGGCAGATGGCATGAGTGCGGATGCGTGGTTCGTCACATCGGATATGCAGTCCGACGCCTTCAGTGGAATTTTTGGGAACGGGATGCACGGGCAGAATCCGCTGGGGGGTTTGAGACATGCGCAGTAAGGAGGTGTCATCACATATCCTCCTTCTCTCCTTCTCTAAACCCTCTCGTTGTACTTTTTATGTACTTGACATCATCTCTTTTCTAATACTGGTTTATATGTCTGCCCAAATACCCCCGTTTATAGCTCGTTTTATAATCTCTCTCACTCACATCATCTCTCTGTCTCTATCTCTCTCTCTCTCTCCCTCACACACACACACACACTCTCTCTCTCTCTCTCTCTCATATATATATATATATATATACTACCATCTTTTTCTGTTCATCCGTCTCTCCTATAAACGTCTCTTCTCCTTGGAGGGTATCATGGGAGGGAAGCATCCTAGTCATTGGACCTTGGGGCCTTGAGATTTTTTTTCCATTTTATTGCTAGAAACACAAGGACATAAGGACACGCACACAGATGAGGTTTTTCCTTTTCCCAAATTTGGTGTTGGTGTTTTGAGTCAATTGGATTGTACTTGTCTTCTCTTAACCTTCTCTTCTCTGTACCCATTCTTTGGACATGCCCGAAAATAAGAAGAAAACCGCCGGTAGCCACCCACGTACTTGGAATTAGAGAAAGGATGAATGGATTGGCCGCGATGGTAGAGTCGAAGGATAGTGAGCAAGATGAAGGAACAAACACCTCGAGAGCAGCGTGAGGATCAAGATGCTCTAAAAAAACCCGTCTCTTTCTTCTTCTTTTTCTCTTCGCAAATCTCCTGCTGTGAATCTACACATTTTGCGTGGTATATACATGTACGATAACAAACAGTGGTACCAGCCTTGGTACTGATGGCAGGTAGTGAGTAATACTACTCCTCAGACAGCGTCAGTCTCCTTTTTGCTCTTTGACCTCTTCCTCTTCTTCCGCGAACCACCGACGTCGCCGACAATGTTTGACTCCTCATCCTCACCAGCCCCGTCGACCTTCTTCCTGCTGTGGTTCCTCCTATCGTGGCTCCTGCCATCGCCATGCTGCTGCTGATGCTGGTGGTCCTGCTCCTCCTGCTCGGCAAACTTCTCGAACCCGTAAGTTGGACCCGAGTGCTCGTACTCGCGGCCAAAGACCTCACGACGCCACTTCCTGAGACGCTTCTTCTTGCTCAGCCTCTGGGCGTCTCGCTGCCTCTTCTCTGCTGGGCGGAAGGGCGCGAGCTTCTTCAGACCGGCGTAGTCGTTCAGGTGGGAGTCCGAGGGGGCGAGGAGGATGTCGCGCGCCGTCATGCCGAAGGACTCGGGCTCCGTCTCGCGGTACCGGAAGCCGCCCGACCTGGATGAGGTGAGGGTGTCGTGGTGGCTCAGCTCGAGCTTGCTGTCTACCAGGGCCTCGAGCTTGGCCCGCTCCCGGCGGGCTTCCTTCTGGGCTTCCATGCGAGCGCGCTTGTGGTCCCCTGCCTTCCGCTTCTTGGTGGGGCGGCCCTCCTCTTCCTCTTCGGCATCCTCTTCTTCGACATGGTCGAGGAGCTGAGGATCGACTTCGGATTCGTCGAATTCGGGTACGATGTCTTTGATGTCAATGTCGTCGTCCCACGTGGGCTTCTTGGGGTGCTTCTTCTTCTTCTTCTTCTTCTTCTTCTGGTTGTTGTCGCCGTCGTCGCCGGACGCGTCCTCGTCTTCATCTTCGTCGTCGGACCCTGCATCCTCGCCCTCTTCGATGGCGTAGTACTCGTCTCCGAAACGCTTCTTCATCTCGTCCTCCCAGGCGTCGTCGTCCCAGGCGTCGTCGAGGAACTGCAGCCATTCGGCGTCGGTGAGCTTGGTGCCCACGGATCCGGCGGCCTGCTTGACCTTGGCAAGCTTCTCCTGGGCCTCGTCGAGCTTCAGCTTGCGCAGGCGGGCCTTCTCCTCGCGGCGCTGCGCCTTCTCGGCCTCCTTCTTCTCGCGCTCGGCGTCGCGGCGACGCTTCCTCGACGACTTCTCCTCGCGGCGGACCGACTTGGCCGCCGCGAAGTCACGCGCGTACGACTTGAGGACCTCGTTGCTCTTCTCGGGGTCCTCGAAGCGCAAGTTATACGCCTGCTCAAATGTCTCGCGCCGGTCGTTGCTGTCCGACTCGCCGTCGTCCGACTCGAAGGCCTCCCACTGCGCCGACGTGCCCTCGTCCGGCACCCAGGCGCGAGCGCTCAGGAAGTTGGACAGGAACGTCTCCGGGTCGCGGTCCGCATTCTCAATGTCCGCCTCCGACAGCTTGACCTTCTTGCGCTCCTTGGACGGCTTGCTGACGGCCGCCGCGCGCGAAGGGTGCACGCCCTCGACCGCCTCCGCGACGTCGGCAGCGTCGGCGGCGGGCTTCACCTTGCGCTTCATGAAGTTGTCGTCCGAGTCCGAGCCGCTGTCGTCAGAGTCAGCCTTGGCGGCGTGCATCTCGTTGACGATGGACTTTTGCAGCGCGTCCTGCTCCTGCGCAAACGTCTGCGGAGGGGGGGGCGCGTTGTCGCCCTCGTCGTCCGACGCCCCGATGTCTCCCCGCAGGAACCTCTCGCGGTGGTAGTCCTTCAGATACACGGGCTTCTCCTTCTTCTTCTTGGCATCCCTGGCGGCGGCGGCGGCGGCGGCGTCTGCCTCTTCTTGTTTATAAAAGGCCACGTCCTTGTCGTACACACGGGGGTCCTTTGTGCGGATGGCCTGCAGCGTGGCCGAGATCTGGGCGTCTAAGTCCTCGGTGGCTAGGAAGCCATCCTCGTCCTCGGTCTCGTCCTCGGAAGACGACTCGTCATCGTCGTCGTTATCAACCTTGCGGGGATCATTCTTGTACTTTTCCTCCACTGGTGCATTCATGTCTGTCAGTCCGGGTTCTCTCTCTCTCCAACACTCGTTCAATAGGTAGATATTGAACTCACGTCGTTGCCTCTCCTCTCGCTTTTTGTTGTGCTCGAACCTCTTGGCGTACTCTTCGTTCACCTTGAAGGAAGAGTCTGTTGCCACGGGAGCCCCTCCATTGTCCGACTCGGAATCACTGTCACTGTCGAGGAGCTTCCGCTTAGAAGGCTTAGAGTCGGCGGGAGCCATGGTTGTTTTCCTCTCTCTCTCTCCCTCTCTCTCTGCCTTTTTATTCAGGAGTTCAACTGGTGTCCTATCCTGCAGTTGCTGTGATTGGGGTGGTTGTAGTTGGTGTTGACAGTAATAATCACACCAGATTTTTGTTCATGATCTACGACTTAGTCGCATATTTTTTTTTTTTTTCTAAATTTTTTTTTTTCTGCCGTATTGAATTTTGGCGGGGAGAAAAGCCCGGCTCGGGTATAACTTTTCGCCGAAGACTAGAAGAAAAACGCCACAATAGAACTCGCCCCAACTGATGATTCTGACAGCTGCGCCACATCTAAGCACTCACCGCCCAAATGCGGCTCAATTTCTGGTGCCTGTACCCGGAAAAAAAAAAGGTGGCGGTGCTTGTGGCTTGGCTGGCTGCTGACTCGGACGATGGCTGCTGTCACATCATAGAGCATCCACCCAACCACCACATCCCAATACAACTTCTAACCCCAATAATACTACCAAGTCGTACCCTCTCACCTCTCCGATAAGCAATAATCACCCCTGTCTCTCACCCAGAAAGATCTCCTCTGGCAAGAAAAGGCCCATCGTCATAAATTCCGCCGTCCCCGAACCCCGCCCGCCGTCATGGCTGATTCTGCCAACGCCCCGAAGCCCAGCAGCAGCGTTAAGCTTGTCCTGCTCGGAGAGGCTGCTGTGGGAAAGGTATGAGGAGCGGTTCCTTTCCCATTTTTACTATCGGCCGTTGCTTGCTTGGATATTGGCTGACATGATGGGTCGAATATAGTCGTCGCTGGTCCTGCGGTTCGTCAACAACGACTTCCAGGAGAACAAGGAGCCCACTATTGGCGGTACGTCGCTATCCATTCCACGCGCAAAGCAACCAGGATCTAGCGAGAGAGGAAATTGAGAGTTGGGGAGGAGGAAGAAGAAGATGGAGGAGGAGGAAGGCTAACATGACAAACAGCCGCCTTCCTGACACAAAAATGCAACCTTCCCTCGCGCACAATCAAGTTTGAGATCTGGGACACGGCCGGCCAGGAACGCTTCGCATCCCTGGCACCCATGTACTACCGCAACGCGCAGGCCGCCCTGGTGGCGTACGACCTGACCAAGCCGACGTCCCTTATCAAGGCTAAGCACTGGGTGGCTGAGCTCCAGAGGCAAGCATCCCCGGGTATCGTCATCGCCCTGGTCGGAAACAAGCTGGATCTCACGAGCGACTCGACGGGCGGCGCCGCCGGCGGCAGCAACGACGATGCCGACGACGATGCCGAGGGTGGTGGTGGCGGCGACGACGCGGCGGAAGGGTCGGGTGACGCCCGCAAGGTGTCGACCGAGGAGGCCAGGGCCTACGCCGAGGAGGAGAGCCTCCTCTTCTTCGAGACGAGTGCCAAGACCGGCCACAACGTCTCCGAGGTCTTTACCGCCATCGCCAACGCCATCCCCGAGACGTCGCTCAAGAGCGCCCGCACACCCGGCAGTGCCGCCGGTGCCTCCGCCCGCGCAGGGGACGAGCAGAGGGTCAACCTGGGAAGCGCTTCAGAGGGTGGCCCTAAGGACAGCTGTGCCTGCTAAGGATGGAAAGGAGCAGGAGAAGGAGAGCTGTTCTCTCCCGTCGACGTAGAGAGAGGAGGAGGAGGAGGAGGAGAGGTGGAGAGTTTACGCGCGCACGGTGTGGTGGAAAGAAGCACGTCTTGTCTATAGCTTTGTTCTTTTGGGGTCCCCGGAGCGACACACGGGAGAACTGTTCTTTTTTATCTTCCTTCTTGCGTTTTCGCCAATTTCCTGCTTTCTTGCCAGTGTTTGAACGCGGGGCTCTCTTTTTCAACCCCGAGAGAGAACCCCGAGAAGGAACCTCGAGAGACAGACACGGATTGTGTACGACCTGGAGTCTGCTTCAAGATTTGGTTCCTTGATAAACGAGGTTTTCTGTTTTTTTTTTCCCTTCTCTGTCGTCGTCGCATGTATGCAGAATACCTCTCCGTACTCTTATTCAATACTGGTATCTGTCGAAATGTTGAATGTTGAACTGGTATATGTGTCACTTCGCGCTAGTCTTGGGGGAAGGATGTTTAGATGAATTAGTCTACATCGCACATGGGTCCCTTATGAGCTCGTACACAACCCAAGCATGTTTCTTTTGACCAGTGAATCATCATCAAACACATCTGAAGCCATCTCCGGGAACATATTCACAGCTTGAACGTCCCATCTCCTGCTTTTAAAACACTCACCGATATCTCGAAACAGAAACTTGATTTATATAGGGTAAGCAATGTTCTCAACGAAATGATGGACAAAAAAAAAAGAAAAGAAAACGAAGTCTAGTGTTGGACCCACTTTTGATTTCCAAATGGCAAAGGCGCGTCAAACTTGAATGTCAGGATACACTGGATTGTCTCTCTCTCATCACCATCAAATCACCAACGTCAATCAGCCCAAGCATACATTTCTCTGTATGATATAGTGGTCCGAGTCTGTCCCAAGCTAAGGAACAGGGGCATGCGCCCATATTCTGGGAGATAAGGGACTCTGTTCGTCGTCACGAGGGACATTACCTGTTTTTTTCTTCTTCTATTTCTTTATTCCTAGGCGCCAGCTCTTCTCTTTTCGAGCCCTTCTAGACTAGACAACCGTCTTGTCGCTCAAGGCTCTCCGGACTCGCCTCACCTTGTCCCGTACACGTCCTCGGAGGGAGGGGACTGTTCAACTTCGATCCGAGGGACTCCCATGATCGCGACAGTTCTGCGCGCGCCGTGTAGCGTCACTGTCCGACTATAGACGCCATGGCTTCCTTCATCTCGGAGGCTCAGGCCGAGCTCATCAGGTGCGCTAGACCCGACCGATTGTGTGTGTGATGGCTGGCTGACCATTCTTTTCTGCAGAGAGATGCTTCCGGATGATATCCCCATCAAGCTGAGATGCGCCATCTGTAACAAACTGGCCGTCAACGCTTTTCGACTGCCTTGCTGCGAGCAGGCCATCTGCGACTCCTGTACGTTCCTCTCTGCTCGCCCGAGTCCACTGCTTCTTCGCGTCCTTCAGATTGCTGACTCATGTGCGGACCAGGCCAATCGAACCTCCACTCGTCGTGTCCCGTCTGCGAGCACTCTCCCCTCTCGGCCGACGATTGCAACCCTAACAAGTCGCTGCGCACAACGATAAAGGTGTTCCTACGCACCGCCGAGAAGAAGAAGGAGGCTCAGCGTACCAAGGAGGCGGCAACGCCAGCCGAGCCGGCGCAACCGACCGAGTCCACACCTGCTCCTGCGGCCGCGGTTGTATCAGAGGCACTCGAGCCCCGGCCCTGCCTAGGTGCCCATGGTGATGCAGCCCAGCAGGGTGCGCCTCCTGCCGCCGAGGCGACCGGAGAGCCCGCGAGACCGGCGGAACAGGTATGTGGCCACCGCCGTGACGCTGGCGCACGCAACGTGACTGACGCGGTCCCCCTCGCCCCCCAGACCGAAGCAGCGGTTGATCAAGGACCGGCCGTGGCCGAGGACGACGAGACCCAGCAGTCCGCCGGCGGTGAAGATGCCGTCGTTTCGGCCGACCGAGAGCAAGCCGACGACCAGCGGGACCAGACGGAAACGACGGAAGGAGTCCAGACCGCTGGATCGGAGCAGGTGACTGGCGGGATGAATAACAACGCGGGCGACTTCAACCAGATGCAAATGATGATGGCGATGCAGAATGGCATGGGGGCCAATTCCTTTGGGGGAATGCCCATGATGGGTGAGCCCTTCCCTCTCCTCTTCTTTGCTATACCGCTGTCTTCTTCAAACACCGTGCGCTGACCATCGTCTCCTTCCCACCAAACAGGCATGCCGGGGATGGGCATGGATCCCATGATGATGCAAAACATGTACATGAACGGTGGCTTTCAAGGCATGGGCATGAATGTAATGGGAGGCTTCGGAGGCGGATTTGGCCAAGGCTCGAATCACAATTGGAACGGATCGCAATCGTGGACTTTCGACCAGAATAATTTCAATCAAAGTGGCCCCATGGGCGCTGGTGATTTTGGGAATTTTAACTCGGGATTCGTCCAGACAGGATACAACAACAATCAAGGTGCCTATGGCGGTGGCCACCAGTTCCAAGATTACCGTCGCGGCGGGGGCAACTTCTATGGCCGTGGTAGAGAAGGTCGCGGACGCGGCTTCTATGCTGGCGCCTACGGACAAGGACGAGGAGGCGGTCATCACTACAACCAGAACGGAGGTGCCGTGAGCAGCCACAACGGCAGCTACCAGGACCAGCAGCAGCAGCAGCAGTTTCAACAGGGGCCCGCCCTCCGGAGGGAAGGCTCCATCATCTCCACGCAAGAAGGGGGAGCGGCCTCAGTAGCCGGAGGGGGTGACGGCGCCCCTGACGCACAGACGATGACATCTCGTGAGGCTTCGCAAGACGCAGTAGGGACCAACACGGACACGGGAGGGGCTCGTTCTGCAGTGCCGGACGTCCCCGTCAATGCGCCCAAGGGCCCCAAGGCCATGCGCCAAGGTCTTCCCAACTCGACCTTCCATCACGCCCGGCCTAGGGGCCTCCAGCTCGGCGACCAGCAGCAGCAGCAGCGACGGCAGCCAGGACAGTCCCCGGCAGGCCCGATGAGCGACAGCCGGCCGTCCCGTGAACCCAGCCCCTATGCCGCCGGACCGGGCAGTCGAGACCACAGCCGTACGGGACGGGAGGCGTCGCGCCAACCGTCACAGCCACCACCGTTTCCGACGAACGGCAACGGCGGCCACCACGGCGGCCACGGCAGTATCGTCTCTCACAGGCAGGATCAGGAGCAGCAGCCGCGTCAGCAAGGCGACGACAACGAAGAGCCGTCGTCGTCGCGTCGCCGCAGGAAGCATAGGAGCCACAAGTACGACGACGACCGCCACGACAGTAGAGCCGACGAAGAGTACCATCCCCACTCCAGGGACGAGAGCGCCCGACATGACAGACAGGCGGACCGAGAGCGTTCCCGCTCAGCCTCACCAGACAGCAAGAAGTCGTCGGGCCATCACCGCAAGAGCGGCGGCAGCCGCAGGGATCGCGACCGGGACCGGGACCGGGACCGCGACGACGACCGACGCCGAGATCGCGACCGCGACAGGGACAGGCATCGCGGCGATGACGACAAGAGGCCGAGCGGACACCACCATCGTCACCGGTCATCGCACCACGAACACGAATCGTCGTCTTCCTCGCGACGTCGCGACAGAGACTGGGACCGTGAGCGTGAGCGTGAGCGCGATCGTGAGCGTGACCGAAAGGATGGCAACGGTCGAAGCCGCGGCTCCAGTCGTCGAGACGCGGAAAAGGAGAGGGACAGGGACAGGGACAGGGACAGGGATAGGGATAGGGATAGGGATAAGGATAGGAACAGGGACAGCCGCAAGCACACTTCCAAGAACGGAGACGCACCAGCGAGCACCGCGACACCTGCTGCTGCCGCCGCTCCCACCCCGGCTGCAGCCAAGGACGCTCACACGCTTGAGCGTGAAGCCCGCAACAGGGAGAGACTCATCAAGGAGGCGCAGCGTCTAGCCGGTATGAGGGGATCCAAGAGGTCGAGGGGTAGCAATGATGACGGCGGCGGTGGGGATGCCGACCATGGTCGAAGGAGTAAGAGATCTAGTAGACGGGATGAAGATGATTATCGTATCAGGAAGAGCAGGGACTGAACCAGAGTGTTTTCTTGTTCTTCCTGGACCCTCGTCTTACTCTTTCTCTCTTCTTTCCTCCCCTCCCCCCTCCCCCCCTTTCTTTTAGACGAGTTGTCTGGCTTGCCATGAGTTGTCCGTATAAATACCAACTCTACCTCTCTCTCTCTCTCTCTCTACTTGTTACTTGAGCCATGGAAAATCTTGGGGTGTGTCTAATGGAGGGGAGGGTAAAAGATAGGTCACTGAGTGAGATGATGATCTATCAATTCTCTCATCAATAGCTTGAATATGTTGGCTTTTTGTAATTCTCTTACATGCCTTCTCTGATAGTCCCGAAAAGCTTCTTTTATGTCATGTTGTTATGCCGTCATTGAGTAATTTACTCTATTACTTGGTGATGATTTATTTTCATTGTTCAATTGTGTTTTTTTTTTGGGGAGGGGGTTTCTTTGAAATTTTTTTTCCGTCATTTTCACTCTCCCTCTTCCTTCTCTTTAGTGTTGTGTCCTTGACTCTTTTTCTTTTTTGCATTTTTTTCTCAAAATAAGAAAAGAAGAAAAAGTACCAAGACATCCCACCAAACCCCAATCATCAAAAAGTGAATGTATTGAAAAAAAAATGTGAAAGGAGAAAAATGAATCTAGTAGATACCCTGCGTGCGATATTGGAAAGTGTCATAACTATTATTATACTGGTTAGTATTTTGTGTGTGCGTGATGGGTGATGGGTGATGGGAGAGGGAGAGAGAGAGAGAGTGAGAGTGAAACCATACAGTCGCGTGTAATAACTCCCAAAAGACTTGGCAACAAGATCCGTGTCGACAAAATGCTCAGCCTCTTCAGCAGAGAGATGGAGTTGAAATCTCTGACGGAGGGCATTGGTAGTCTGGACCACACCCGCGGCGAAGCACGGCATCTGCGAGTCTCGACCCATCATGGATACGAGGTCTATAATGTTGTCTGCTGATCGTCGAAGGGCTGTTTTGTTTTTCCCCCCCCGAATGTCAGTTTCATTCTGTTATATCCCCTCTCATTTTGACACCCCGTCCCCCCCCAACAAGATCTTTCTGGCGGGAGATGAGATGGATAGGTGATACATACCTTGAAACGCTTGCTTGCACAACCTCTTGTAATCTTCAAAGTCGGGAGATCCCAGCCCCCCAAGGACATCGACATACTCGTGCGTCAGCTTGAAGGGGGCAGCCTCGAAGCCGACGGAGCCGGGAGAGTTGGAGAGCATGAAGCCGAAATCGATGTGGATGATGTGACCCTCCGAGTCGATGAGGACGTTGCCGTTGTGCCGATCCTTGAGCTGCAGGACATACGAGATGATGCTGTAGGCCGCCAGGGAGCGCTTGAAGGCCTCCACACCGGCGCGGAAGGGTTCGCTATCGGGCTGCCCGAAGGCCTTGAGGAAGTGGTCTCGCAGCGTGGCGATGCGGTGGCGTGGGTTCTGGCCTGACTCGACGAGTGCGAGCGTCAGGCTGCGCTTGAGCGAGTGCAGCGACACGCCGTTGGTGATGGTCTCGATCAGACCCGACGACTCTCCCGTCACCAGGATGCGCATCTGCTTCACCCACACGTCCACCGACGCGTCCGTCCAGATCCGGTGGCACACGCGGATCAGCTGGCACGCAAACGCCTCCTGCCGCAGATCCGATCCCGTCTTGACGATGACGCTGACCAGGTCCCAGTTCTTCATCCACCCGTACGGTGACGACTTGCGGATCCGCTCCTTCTTGGCCTCCCAGGCCTCGCCGAACACGGCCGCCGACGGGTCGTCCCGGTCCCCGCGCCTCTGAACGCCACCCGTCTTGAAGTCGTTCTCCATGCGCTCCCGTCCGGCGCTGGCGTTGATGTTGTTCGCGTCCAGCGCCTTGTCGATCTGCGCCTCGTCCTCCAGGTCGGGGTTGGTGCTGTCGTTGTCGATGCCGCCGCCGCCGTTGTTGTCCGACGCCACCGCCGACTTGGCCATGATGGTGTCGAAGGTCGGGCCGTGGTCGTCCGTGTCGAAGCTCTTCTCCTCCAGGCTCTGCATGCTGGCGATGATCTTGGACCGGATCGCCGCCACCTCTTGCTTGGGCCGCTTGCCGCTCGTCGCGTCCAGCTGCGCCAGCATCTGCGACGCGGTGCGCATGTGCGTCGCCAGCGCCGAGAAGTCGGGCTGGTCGGCTCCCGCCACCGCCGCCGCCGCCGCCGCCGCCGCCGTCGTCGTCGTCGCAGCCGCGACTGACGATGCAGAGACCGCTGCACTCGGTATCGACCCGCTAGGCCGTCCGTGGTTGAGCGTCATCCTCCTCCCGCCGGGGCTGCTCGATCTCGAGATGGACTGGCCCGAGGACCGCGGCGTGGGCGGGTCCAGCGCAGTCGTCGACGCCGACATGAGCCCGCTGGGCATGCGAGGGATGCCGTACGGGGGCGCCGGCCGGGTCGAGGAGGAAGAGGCGTATTTCTGCTGCGACGAGAGCATCTCGTCGTCGTCGTCGGGCTTGAGCAGCGGCGAGCTTCCCAGGTCGCCCGAGACGGGCTCGAACACGCTATCGATGATGGGTTCCGGCGTCGCCGGTGCCGTCTGGTTGACCCTCGGCGTCTCCGACGACAGGTCAAACAGGCGACGCGACGTGCCGCCCTGGGTGATGAGCGTAGCCAGCAGCCTGCGGTTGTCGGGCGTCTGAGGGTCAAAGGTGAAGTCGTCGCGAAGCACCTCGACCATCATCAGGTACGGCACCTTCTCGGCGCTGTTGAGCACCGTTGACTCGGCCGGGTTCAGGCGGACGATGCGGTGGTGGCAGCTTCTGCCGGGGGACCCCTCGACCAGGGTCGGGGGGCAGATGATGGGGATGTCGACCTCGGCGGGCAGGTCCTGGGAGATGAGGGCCAGCTCGGCACGCAGAGCGCTCATGCGGGCGGGCTTGGGGACGATGACGAGGCGGTTCGAGATGCCCTCGAGAGCGGTGAGGAACTGTGTCTGCGACCGGAAGTAGTGCTGTCTCAGGTAACCCACGCGCTGCTCCATCGTCAGGTCCGTCGAGCTGAGTATGACTTTGGCGTGGTGGGAGTGCCTCCGGCGCAGGCTGTCGCCCGGGTGGGCGCCGGCCGACAGCGGGGGGGTGGCGCGGGAGGGCGTCCTGGGCGAGGGCAGCGGTAGGGACGCGGTGCTCATGCGAGCCTCGTGGGACGACTGCAGTGCGATGGCCAGGGCCGACGGCCTCTTGCTCGATGGGTCCGTGGATATCTTGGGTCTGCGGACCGTCGACGAGGGGGGCGACGGTGCCGCCGCGGAGGGCGGAGAGGCGCTGCCCCGCGAGCTCCCCGGACGCTGATGGGACGACGACGACGACGAGGTCAGCGCCCCTCCTACCGCCTCGGCGCCGCGGCCGGGTGCGGTGCCGGCGATTGTGGCGGCCGATGCCTTCCTCTCCTTGGACCTCTTGGACTTTGAGCTCACGGTGTTGATCGTGTGGGCCCTCTGGGGCGGGGGCAGCTTCGGGCCGTCGTCCCTGTCGGCCGTGTTGATGGTCAGGTCAGCCTCGGGCTGAGGCCTGCGAGCTTGGGCGACGGCGAGGGGGCCAGCCCACCGGGGGATCATGGGCAGGGCGACGCTGGCGAGGACGAAGCTGGACAGGACGGTGACGGGGAGGACGTTCTCCTTGATCTTGTCCTGGCGCGCCGTGTCGGCGAGGCCAAAGATGATGTGCTGAACCTTGTTGTACACTCTTCGACAGGTCTGGAAGGCGCTGGTCTGAGGATTCGAGGCGAGATCATGGAGGTAGGTCTGGAAGAGCCAGAATGTCTATTCGATGGCGGCCGGGGCGCTCCCCCGCGCGCATCTATCGTCAGCACATGGGAGGAGGGGGCCTAGGAAGAGAGACAGGGGGGTCAGGGAAAAAGAAGCGCATACCAGGAGAGCAGCCGTGACAGATTCCTCGCACAGGTCGAGGAGGAACTCCTCGAGAGCCATTGACTCGTTGTCGACGCTGATTATAAGGTGGCATAGCTGTGGCAGGAAGAACTCGATGTCCTCGTAGGGAAACTGTCGCAGCTTGTTGCACAGGACATAATGAATGCCCACATGGTCGGCGTAACGTCTATCGAAGGAGAGGAAGGAAAGGCCGCAGTCAGCGAGCGTGCGCCGCGCAAGGAAGAAGCCGTGACGGCCTCGCACAGTCCGTCCTTCCCGCCCCCGACGAGCCGAGAAGGGGGGTCGGGGTTGGGGTTGGGTTGGGTTGTGGAGAGAGGGGGAAGGCAGACTTACGACAGGTAGGAGACTGGCAGGAAGGGATTGGAGTTGAAGACGTCGGACTCGAGGAAGCGCTGAAGCAGGTCCCACGACATCGGGACAGGGTTTATGCCAAGAAAGCGAGGGAGAGAGGTGGTGGTGATCTTGATCGTCGGTGAAGACGGATGACTACAGGCGACAGTGCGTCATCTACGTAGCTTTCTCGAGACTCGGGGAGAGGAAGGAGAACGAGAGGGTCGATAGAGAGAGAGGGTGGACTCTGGCTGTATATTATGCGGGCGACGATGACGGACAGTAGCTTCGCATTGTCCTTAGAGGCGGCGGGTGGGCAGATCGTGTTCGTGTATGCTTATGCCAACCAGCGGCTCGAGGGTCGTGTGTTCTGTCCTGGTCGTTCTCTCTCTCTCTCTCTCTCTCTTTTTTTTTCTGAAGAAAAAGGAGAGGAATCGAATTGGGTGCAATGCTGTTGCAGTATTGGACGAAAGGGTTGGAGAGTAGTTGCCGTATATGGATCGTAGAGGTGGTGAAGTGTCCAGTATTCCGTTAAATTGCTCGGCAAAGCGTCGTGAAAATCACAAGCTGGTACCTGCTTTTGTTGGCCGTTCACCCCGGGTAGGATGTACCTTTTCGGACCGGCCCTATTAATGCCCGCAATACCGCTGTGACGACCGCTGTAGCGACCCGTCCAGCGTAGTGAATACAGCGCTCTTCCCTCAACTGCAGACCCGCTGAAGCACCTAAATCGTGCTCGCCGTCTCCATCCACGAGACCCGTTTGGGGGGCGAGGGGAAGGGGGGCCTCCACGGAGTATTCAGCTTGGTCAAGGTGTAGCAGACACGTAGACGCAGCCACATCTCGAGTGGAGGCTTCTTCGTCTGCTGCCATGCACGTTACTCGCATTCGATCAGTCCTGGTAGGTATCGGTACTCTTGGAAACACGCCGTTCTCAGTCACGAGATGCAGAGTTCCCGGTAACATTAATGATTTACTTGGCAAAATCAGTTCTACCGGTAGCGATACTATCCACCATCATCCGTCCCATCTCCTCCTTGACAGTGAGCCGTGTGCATTATATATATATACCAGACCACGCGCGTGTGTTTCGAAGAGTCAAGAGAAAGAAGGAGAGAAGGAGGGGGGCAATAAAGAGAAGAACACAAAACCCAGACACGCCGCCCACCTTGCTCGTGCCACGTCATTTAAAACGCCAAAGCCTCATGCTGTTTGCTTTTTTTTCTGACTGACCAGGCAACAAGCCTCCAAACGCCATAAGAAGATCCATTCGCGATGCCGGCCACAAAAGAAGGAAATGAAATGCAGACAAGAAAGGCTGAAAGCAGAGAGAGAGAGAGGGGGGGGGGGGGGGGAGGGAGAGAGAGGGAGAGAGAGGGAGAGAGAGGGAGAGAGAGGGAGAGAGAGGGAGAGAGAGGGAGAGAGAGGGAGAGAGAGGGAGGGAGAGAAGGAGACCAGGTTTGCAGAGGAAACGCATCATACTGCCTTCTTCTTCCTCCCTCCTCTGCCCTTCTTCTTCGGTTCCGAGTCGTCGTCGCTATCGCTCTCGGCCTTGGCCTTGGCCCGACTCCCCTCCTTCTCCTGCTCGACCTTGCCGACGATGTCCCTCAGAAAATCCCACTGGTCGTCGGCCTCGACGACCTGCTTGAGCATCGGGGCGGTGACCCGCTTGGAACCCTTAGTCCTGGCCACCTCGGCACTCTTCGTCACGAGCTGCACCATGAACATTTCGAGGGCCTTTCCCACCGCAATGGGCGTCTGCTGTGCGACCTTGCCCACCTCCTCGTCCGCCTGCATGATGCGCTTGATGCGGGCCGTGGGGAACCTGGTCCTGACGGGCGAGGGCTCGATGGCACCGGTGTCGGGAGGCTCGACGGCATCGGAACCGCCGGCGCCGACGGCCGACGACGAGTCCATGAGGGGGGAGGGCGACGACGGCTGCTGCTCCTCCATTGGGGGGTCCACCGCTGCAGCGTCGGCGGCGACGGCAGCGGCCGCGGCAGCCGCGGCAGCTCTCCGCGGAGGCATGTCGGTGTAGCGAGGACCGGGTGGCGGCGGTGAGTATGCTGCGGGGGGGGCTGGGAAGGCTCCCACGGGTGCTGCGTATGGCTGATGCTGGCCGTAGGGATCGGCCAGGTAGGAGGGCGCGCCGTACGGCGGTAGGTGGTGCTGCTGATGAAGCAGAGGCTGCTGCTGATAGCTGCCGGTGTGCGGAGGGTACAGCTGGTGATGCGGCGGAGGAGGGGCGTATGAGGGGTATTCGGATTTGATCTCCTGCCCAGGCGGTGGAGAGTATGCGACGGGGTGTGCCTGGTAGAGTGGTGGATGCTGTGAGTAGGGGTCGCAGGGGTGGTGGATGCTGTTGGCCCGTGGCGGGGAGGCCTGAGGCGGTGGTTGATATGGCTGATGCGGAAGGAGCTGTTGTCGGTCTTGGTGGTGGACGGCAGCTCTTGGTGGGCTGCTGTAGTAAGAGTACGGCGGCTGGTCCACGGGTTGCGGCAGTGGCTGCTGCTGCTGCTGCTGCGGTGTGGGGCCGGATGGGAAGAAGGATGATAAGTCTGGAGACTTGGGTGTGTAGGAAGACAAGTCGTCCCCCGACATGGTTCTCTCCGTCTCCTCCTCTTTATAATTAAAAAAAAAAAAAACGCCCGTAATAAATTTTTTTTCTTGGCTTTGACCAAAAAAAAAAAAAGAGGCAGAACGCGGTTGTTGGAAGCGGGGGCGATAAGATAAAAAGGAATAGCAGTAACTCAGTACTCGCGCTAAGAGAATTCTCCCCTGTACACGTACTGGAGTTGGACTTCTCTTTCACTATTTCCCCCCCCCCTTTAACAACAAGGCTCCACAGAGGGGTCCAGTGGTGTTGTTGACCTTAGTCAGCCAACTAGACCGTGTTCGAGGGCGCCCGGGCGCGTTGGAGTTTGAGTGTATGAGAAGAGTTGCTCCGTCGGCTCCAGTAAGAGGGAAAAAAAAGAAGAAGAGGGTAAGAGCGGAGTATATATGGCGTCGGAGGTTACTATCAGCATAGATGAAGTGTGCTGAAGTGATACGCCTGGGTGACGAAAAGATGAAAGGAGCGAGCCGGTGTGAACAACTCGAGGCGGATGTCCCGAGGCGTGTGTGTGTGTGTGTGTGTGTGTGCGATTTTGAAGAGGGAGGGGGGGGGTCTTTGTCGTGCGGGCGCCGATGAGATGGACAGTGGGTTGGGCCACAGGGAGCGCTGGCCGTTTATATGCGTAATGCCAGGTGCGCATCAGAGGGGGGCGAGGGAGGAACTAATGATGGGAGGAACAGGGTGTGGGTGCAAAACACCCAATCGGGCAACTGAATGTGTACATCAATGAGCCCTGTGGCTTATTGATTAGGCTGCTGCTAGTACAGAGCATATTACTATTATGTTTTGATCGTGACCCGAAGCTGCGCTAATCCTACGGCGGACAGTTTACGGAGTAATATCTAATACTCCTAGGCGGCGCTGCTCTTTGCTACATGCAGCCTACACGTATTATTACTCAGTGCTCCGTATCGATACCTGCCATACTCTCGGCTGCATGTACGAGCGTATGTAGACTGATAATAAGCTACAGGCATCCTGCGGCTGAAGCACTCGACGAACACGCGTCTGTTCCTCTGTATCTGTCTCTTTCCCAACTCTCCATCTCCTCCTCTCTCGTAACCAACCCCCCCTCCCAACTTACCGACTCTGGTAGTACAATAATACTACGCCCCCCCCCCAACGAACAGACCCAACAACAATTGGTCGGAAATGCACAACAAATAAGCGGGAGTCGGAACAATGGCGTGCCGCCCGTCTCAAACAGATGACTCATCAAAACACGCCTACCTAACCGTCGTACTCCGTACCGCCGCATTTCTCTGGTCGTATTACTTTCCTCATCGCACTCTTCTTTCACTTGCGTTTCTCCACGGCGCACCGGGAACGTTGCTTCCTCGTCACTCTACGAGTACACATGCATACCCATACACGTACTGGCACATGCCTTCGAGTGCGACTCCTGCATCATGGCATATCATCATGTCGCATCCTCCACTACGGCACTGCACACAGCCATGCAGTTGACAATGTAGGTTGAATTCCAACGAGTCACGACCAGCATCAACAATAACAAACTGGCCAGGATACGCCCAACCAAACGGTAAGACATTTTTTTTTTTTTTAAAAAAAAAAGAAAAGAAAAGAAAATCTTGTCTCTCTGCTTCTTTCTCACCCCCAACCTTGCCATGATGATATATTTCAATGAGCTTTTTAAAACCGGAGAAGGCCTGAAGATAGCAGGAACCGAGTCCAATCTGGGCTGAGGGTCCGGATATCTCCATTCAAAGAGGCCCGACCATGACTGTTTACTTGATCTAATCTGACCGCATTTGATTTCTATCACATCTCTCTTCGTTCTTTTTCCCACTCTACTCTCTACTCGTGTCCTATATCCGATTCCTAATCTCGTCAACGATAGATCTCAGCCCACCAAGCCTAGCATCTTCAGTACTCGAAGCGAACAGCGACACCACCGGCCATGCATGCACCCTGGCCTCAACCTTCTCTGTGCGTATCTCGACGCCCAATCTCTCCTGAATCCTCACAAAATTCTCAATGTCCGAGGCAAACACCTCGTCTTCCCCGTAGATGACAAAGTAGCCCCTCCCCGGGCTGGACGAGCGCCAGACCTGCTCTTCGTCACAGGATCCCGGTGACGCGGGGTATCGCCTGGCCCCGGACTCGCCCGCGTACTTGCGCGCATACAATCGCAGCGTGCGTGGGTCCAGGTAGTCGGCGCCCGACGGGGAGAATAGTGTGCTGCTCATGAGCGTGACCCAGGGGGATATCAGCGTCGCCATGCCAGGAATCGGCAGTGTAGTACCATGGGCAATGGCAGTAGATGCATCGAGCAGTTCCACATCCTTCCGACTGGGCCCTCGAGTTTGGGTATTGCCGAGAACCTGCAGTAGGCTGAGGACCAGGGTCCCCCCGGCCGAGTCGCCCGCCACGCACACACGCGATGCATCCCCGGCCACACGGAGGATGTGCTCGTAGCCCCTGATTATCTCGTTGAGCTGCATCGGGTATAGTCCGTCTGGGACGAGAGTGTACTCGACAGAGAAGATGGCCGGATTGTTGTAGCCTGCGTCGACGAGGAGGCTGTTCAGGGCCATCTGGAACTCCAGATAGAAGTAGGTCGAACCCAGGGCGAAGCCGCCACCTGTTGGAGTCGGTAAGCACCTTATCGTCAGCAGCATCTTTTCGCGCTTATTCTCCATACCGTGGACATAATAGACAACCACATCAGGCTGCCTATCAGGATCATGCGTGACCCATATTCCCTCGAGTCGCCGAAGGCCCTAAAACGTCATCGTCAGCCTCCCATTTTTGTCGACATCTTGCCCATCCCAGGAGGCAGGCAGGCAGGTCAGGCCACGCAGGGATTCTTTTTGTAAGCAAGAGAAGAAGAGAGAGGCAAACAAGAGAAAAGAAAGAAAGAAGAGGACGTACAACCCCCTGCGTGTACTCTTGCCAGTGGACAGGACACGTTGGGTATCCATGCTTGAGCATGCGCCACCGCAGGAACGGCAGGACAACCCACTTGGAGAAGAAGACTCGACTGATGGGCACGGGCAGAGCGACGAACGAGTACCGCACGCACCGGACGATGAAGTCTTCGAATACGGTGGACCCCTTGGTGAAGCTGGACTGGGTGGACGAATCGGCCCAGCAGCGCTGACGGATCATCTGCAGGGGGAGTCTGAAGACTGTCTTCTTCTGTCAGTTGGGACATGGTGGAAAAATATGACGTTGACTTTTTCCCTTGTCGAAAGGGGGGAGGGGAAAGAACGAGATGGTGTGTGCGATTGATTCAAGGACTGGTTGGTCGCTTACGCAGAAATGGTAGAGCGTAGAGCGTAGATATGACCGTGGGAAATAGTCCTGCCTGCAAGACGAGTTGGGGCGCGAGGAATATCAAGAAGACGAGGCAGTCTGATAGACTGACGGGGCCGAGAAGCATCGTGGATGGGGATGCTACAACCGACATGGTTGCGCGGCCGGCCTCTGTCCCCTCCTGTCACACTCTCCACCCTTGAGAGAGTGGAGAGTTTGAGCGAGAGGAGAGGATAAGAAGAGATGTGGAGGATATCCACCTCTCTGCCCTTTTGTATATAGCGCAGAGGTTTGACCGGTGAAAGCGGCAGATGCGGTGGTGACGTTGTCGAGGCGAGGAATCACACCTCTTTGCTCCCTGTCATGGCTGGCTGCCAAGTGGTATTAATGACGTACGCGGGGTGACGACGCAGTGGCATTTGGGCAAGAACGTGCCATGGAGTGAAAAGCACCCGCACACAGGGAACGCGGAATGATATCTTAATGTAAAAGTCACGACCGAAATCTTACAGGAAGACATCATCTACCAAATCTAGACATATGCCAACATTATTGATGACGGTGTTGCTAAAATCGCGAGAGCGCCACCGTTTGGTTGGCTGAGCGGCGTGATATGGGCGCGTCTTCCTCCACCCCCCCACCTTTTGACTTCCCACGCTCTACGTTTCCCCTTCCTCATTCTCCTCACCGAGTCGAACGCCCTTGGCAGCAGTCCACTCCACGCAGCGAAGGAAACAAGACGATCGGAGGCCTTTGGTGAACATTCCAGATCGGCACCATGGGAGATATTCCGGAACAGGGCGTGCCCGAGAAGTCGCCATTCCCCCTCACAGAAGTGGACAAACGTGTTCTATGCCAGACGGACGAGGAGTTCAAGAGACATGACTGGGACAATCTAAAGGAACTCATAGGTGGGGTGGAAAGGGGCAACGTGATATATTTCTTGCTCGATTTCATTGCAGCGCACATGCTAACGATGCTAGGACAAAAGACTCGAACCAACTCGTGCAGATGACACGCACCCCGTCAGAGCTCCGCCGCTACATGGCCTGGTCCCGCGACACAAAGGCCGAGTACGGCTCGATAACAGCATACATGCTGGAGCACAGGCTTCCCAAGGCGTGGGGGCGGCCTCCCTTCTCCCCGGCGTCGACAGTGCCCTTTGCCGACCCGTCCGACTACGCCGTTCTCATCAATGACTGGCCGTACGCGACGGAGCCGGGAATCGTGCACATTGTCGTGTGGACGAGGACACCCATCGCCACGACGCCGGGTAAGGGCGACATGACGGCCGAGAGCAGGAGGCTCATCAGGAACTTTGTGCAGAGCTTCTTTATCGACCAGCACCCCGCAGGCAGCAGAGCAGATGAGGGTCAGGAGACAAATGTGATTTGGTTCAAGAACTGGGTGGCTCTTCAGAGTGTGAGGGATCTGGAGCATTTTCACGTCTTCGTGCGGGACGTGGATGATGGGGTGCTGGAGCGGTGGACGGGACAGACCCCAAAGCGCAGTGCGGACGGTCATCACCTCTCGCGGTAGACATCTCTCCCTCTCTTATGCCTCTGCAGGTGAAAATTGAAAGAGAGGAGAACGAATTGCCTTCCCCCCCTCTCTGTTCACATGAAGCTTATGCGCTCCTCCGCGGCTTCCGGTTCCCCTTGGCGTTCGTAGGAGGAACACCAGCAGAAGCAGCAGAGGCGTCAAAGCCTCCGCCCTGCAACTCGGCCATCTTCTGCCTTCCCATACCCAGCAGCCCGGATCCGAGATAGAGACCGTAAGCGGGGAGCACGGTCCAGAGGAGCCACCCCCAGTTACCGAAGAGCACAACGAGCACAAGCGACGCCCACGTCACCCAGACGACGTCAAACATGTACTCCGTCAGACCCTGGGCGTGGAGATCCTCGCCCGAGGACCTGAGAGCCTTGGTAGACGGGTCGTAGCGGGGTCTGCCCGACCTCTCCAGGACATACTCGCATATCAGACTCGGGGCTGAGAGTAGGGCGTAGGCGAGGAGAGAGCGGGAGCGGATGAGGAAGTTGAAGGCGAGGAAGATGGCGTGGACGGTGGCGGTGCCGATGTGGAGGCTGTTGAGGGACGCGGTGTTGGACTTGGCCAAGTCCTTCTTTGCCTTTTGAGCCATCTCGTGTGCGTGGTGCGGATGAAGTGCACCTGTATATGCATATGTGTGAGGGTGGTGAGTGTGTAGTGTGGGTGTGAGTGAGTGGGTGGGTGAGTGAGTGGAGGGTATGGATGGGATGTGTGATATCGATGGCGTGAGAAGAGGACACACACTCTATTCGAGCCGAGTCTGCATGCAGTTGAGCGGGATGGACAGGCACCTGCAGTCAGGGAAGTCACCCGACCGAACTCCACTGAGAGGATAACAGCTCCAGCGGGTGACGGTACTAATTCAAATCTTTAGCACTGAAGAAGCGCCGTTGTGGCGTTGCAGCGACGCTGTTGCTGGGTGGACGGCCCAGAGCCCCGCATCTGACCAATCAGATACCTCAGATGCCGTGGGACTCCCCTCCTTCGACCAAACAATAGAGACGGAGGAACCATCATCAACTTTACGCGCTGCTTTTTGCTGCTTTCGCTGCCTTCGCTCTTCCTCCCGTCAAACCGTGCCATCGCCCTTTTCACGGGTTTGAAAGACGACAACGACACACACACACACAGAGAGAGACATGATCTAGGGACATACAATGGGCTGCGTCTGTCTCTAAGAACTCATCTCTCTTTACTTCTCTCCTTTTTTCTTTTCTTTTCTCCTCGTTCGCTTCCCTCTTCACGCTGCCTATCCGTCTGCTACTCACGCTCGTTGGAGACCCACCAAGTTGTTTGCATTGACTTGCAACTTCTCGCCTTGTTCGTCATCAGTTCTGACACCTGCATGCCTCTCTTTTGAGATACCGGCTAACATATTTACCTTTTTTTTTCTTCTCTTTTTTTTTGCTTTGAAGAGAGAAAAAAAAAGGAAAAGCTGTTTAGACATTGTCACCTGTCCCCTTGCTGTAAATTCACGACGACCGCATCACCGCCTCGACTGACGACCATTGTTTTGTTTCCTCGACCGACGGCGCATCAGCAACATCCCATCGCTGGAGCCTGCCTCATGGCCGGTTGGCGTCCACGAGGCATTGCCAACTTGCACCAACTCCCACCGGATCCGCCCAGCTCGGCTACCCCCGGCCAGCATGGCGCCGAATCCCGCCGCCGTGAGCGGCCTACTGCGCCAGACCATCTACTACCACCTAGACAATGCCTCGTATGACAACGCCCTCTTCTTCGCCGAGAGGCTGGTCGCCCAGGACCCCAAGTCCAACGACGCCGCCCACCTCGTCGCCCTGAGCCATCTCCGTCTACGAGACTTCCGATCTGCATACGACGTCTCCAAACCCGCGGGATATCGCGGGACACACCTCGGCTGTGCCTGGGTCCTCGCCCAGGCTTGCCTCGTCCTCGAGAGGCACAAGGACGGCATCACAGCCCTGGAGAGATCCAGGAGCCAGTGGCTCCAGACACCGGTCGTGGGAAAGCACACGCCCACTTCGCGGGCTGCCATCCCCGACGCGTCAGCCCTCCAGTGCCTGCTGGGGAAGCTGTACCGCGGCTACGGCGACCACAACAAGGCCGTCGGCTGCTTCGAGGAGGCCCTGCGCATCAACTCCTTCATGTGGGACGCCTTCACCATATTGTGCGACATGGGTGTGTCCGTACGCGTGCCCAACATCTTTCGCCCTTCGGAAAGCATGATGCATGGCTTCAACATCGAGGCTACCCCCGTAGCATTATCGTCATCATCAGAGACAAATACGCAAGCGCCGTTGGAGGTGCCCGGCAAGAGGCCGCCTGCTAGAAGCCAGATACCAGATCTGGGTGCCGATCCCTTTGGCGCGGCCCCTCCGTCATCAGCCGAGGCCACACAAGCCGAGTCCGACCTCCTCGGCGACGTCTCATCACACAACGACTTCATGTCAAAGATACAGGCTGCGAGGTTGAGGCTCGTCAACTCCGGCAACAACCCGCCAGTCCCCACGCGTGGATTGTCTGAACCCCTCACAGCATCAGAACAAGCTGCGACGTACCAGGCACCAGCAGCCCACGGCATCGCGGAACCTCTCCATGCCCCGGCCCGGAGAATACGGGCTACCCTGGCCCAGGCTGCAGATCACGGCCTTGAGGCTCCGCCGCCCAAGATGAACTACCGGCTGGGCACCAGGAGAACAAGGGAGAGGGAGAGGGAAGAGCAGACGCGCGCTGTCGTAGACGTCGTCTACCAGGAACTGGACTCGGCCGCGGCACCACCGCCAGCAGCAGCAGCGGCGGCGGCGACGGCGGCTGACAAACCGCGACCTGTCGCGGCGGCACCTGATAGAAAGAGGACCGTCGCGGGTTACCCCGTGTCGAGATCCACCAATTCGGAGGAGGCGGCGACGCGGCGCAGTGCTCGGCTCAACACGTTTAAGCCATCGTCGAGAGCCAACTCTGGCGCGGCGGCGACCATGCCCCCCCCGGCAGGGCGGGAGCTGAAGAAGGCTAGGCCCCAGATCTCTCGCATAGTCCGCCCGGGGTCTAGCGGGTCCAGCGTCGGCCGCGTCGTCAGCGGAAACCGCAAACCGATCGAGGACCGGGGCGACGGCGACCAGCACGGCGAGACGTCGAGTAGGATCAGAGAAGCCTCTGCGGCACCGCCAGCTCCGACCACGACAGCAACGGCGGCGGCGGCGGCGGCGGCAGTAGCACGGCAGGCAGAGCTGGAACACGCCCGAACCGAGGAAGCCCTCCGATGGGTGCTGGACCTTGTCAAGAAGCTAGGCAACGGGTACTACCACCTGTCACGGTTCCAGTGCGACGACGCCCTGCAGGCGCTCAGCTCACTGCCGGCAGCGCACCAAGGGACGCCGTGGGTCCTCGCGCTTATGGGGCGGGCGCACTTTGAGCAGGCGGCGTACCCCGAGGCGGAGAAGTTCTTCCGCAAGATGCGGGTGCAGGCGCCATCCCGGCTGCAGGACATGGAGGTGTACTCGACGATACTGTGGCACCTGAAGCGCGAGACGGACCTGTCTTTCCTGGCGCACGAGCTCATCGACGCGGCGTGGGAGTCGCCGCAGGCGTGGTGCGCGCTGGGGAACGCGTGGTCGCTGGCGCGGGAGCCGGAGCAGGCGCTCCGGTGCTTCAAGCGGGCGACGCAGCTGGATCCGGGCTTCGCGTACGCCTTCACGCTCCAGGGCCACGAGCACGTCGCTAACGAGGAGTACGACAAGGCCCTCACGGCGTACCGCATGGCGATCGCGGCGGACCGTCGGCACTACAACGCCTACTACGGCATCGGACGCGTGCAGCAGCGGCTGGGCGCGTACGACAAGGCGCACACGCACTTCCTCGCGGCATCGACCATCAACCCCAACAATGCGGTGCTGATCTGCTGCATCGGCAAGGTGCTCGAGAAGCAGAAGCAGGTGGGCGCGGCGCTCCAGGCGTACACGCGCGCCGTCGAGCTGGCACCGCGCGCGGCGCAGACGAGGTACATGAAGGCGCGTGGGCTGCTGGCGGTCGGCCAGGTGGAGGCGGCGCACAAGGAGCTCATGGTGCTCAAGGACCTGGCTCCCGACGAGGGGACGGTGCACTTTCTCCTGGGGACGCTGTACAGGACTGTCAACGATAGGCAGGCTGCTGTGCGGCACTTTACCATTGCGTTGGCTTTGGACCCAAAGGTATGTCTCCCTTCTCCTTCTTCTGCTCGACCTCCTCCTCCTCTCCCTCCCTATCGGTCATGGCCAACGCCACTTTGATGGAATCGGCATGTGCTGACATGTCATCACACAGGCCGGCCCCAAGATCAAAGATGCCATCGAGAGTTTCGAGGACGATGTCCAGATGGATGACTCCATGATTGAATGACGGACGGGTCCTCTCGTCAACTTTTCGACTGTACAATACTTTCCTACGGCCGTCTTGCACACGAGGTGAATGATGATGACGGAGTTGGCTGCATGTCTATCTCTCTTCTTTTCTCTCCCGTACCTTCCGTCAGAGAAGTCATTGAAGAAGTCAAGATGGGAAGTCAACGGCGGAGGGCAGAGGGACTACATGTTTTGATTTTGGTCTCTTTTTTGTTTGTTTTTGTTTTTGTGTGTTTTGGCATGGCATGGCATGGGCGTTGATCGGGTTGATATCATGATGCGAGAAGAAGCAAGTTCCTCGTCCCCTCTAGTATACAGTACAGTTACTCTGCATGTTAGGCACATCGAGTATATGTTACCGCGTCTGCCGTCGAGGACGATCTCTCCATAATGCCGAGTACTGATGAGGATGATGGTACGAGTAAGAGTGTGCAGCCGCTGCGCGTACACTGGTGATGTGTATGGCATGGTGTGTGTCATTTGGTAGGTATGTGTGAATATGGTCTAGAATAGGTAATGGGTAGGTGTGAGAGGTTTTAGTCAGGCAGATCGATTGGCGGTGTTTAGTAGTAGCCATCCATACTCCTCTGTATTATTATTACTCCGTAAAGTATTACTCACTCCTCTACGGAGTATTACATGTAGCAGATGCGAGGAAAGGGAGTGAGAGCAGGTATGATATCCGAAAAAAAAAGAAGAAAAGAATAGTATGAATACTATCATTATTACGGAGTACAAATGATTACAAGATTTACAGATTACATGGTATCAAGAAGGACAGAAATTAAGACAGTGAGTGATCAAAAAAAAAAAAAAATACATGGACGTGACCTTGACCAACCAGAAAAATGGTGTACATGTCCCAGAATTGAGAAAAACAGGGGGTCAGCCCATTTACCTAAATAGGAATAGATCGGAAGGAGTGATTTGAAGGTGGGAGAGCAGTTGAGAGCAGTTCAGTTTCCCGCGCCTAAACAATCCTACGCGTTTACCCTGGCACGGTAATGCGTGTATTTCGTGTACCATTTTCTTCCCCAGTCCCTGTCATTACTGGCTAGCGATTTTTCAGGCAGACGCTATTACTATCTATCGTAGCGGTCCTTACAGGTGCACTCTACTATGTACAGGGACCGAGTATGACTCGTACCTGCTGCATCTGCTGCATCTGTTGCACCTGCTACTGATTGCATCCAACGTATAACTTCTGCCCCCTCCCCCTGCCCCTTCTCCTTCCCACTCCTCCTTCCTTCCTCCCACCCCCGCAATCTCCAACACAGCCTCTCCACATCCACGCGTCTTTCGACTGCTTTCCATCCATCCGATACATCCCATAACTGTTCTTCTTCTTTCATACCATCCATCATGACTGGACGTGAGTACTCCTTTCCTCCATTTCATCTGCACGGTGACCCATGGCAATGCGAATGAATCCCAAGAAGAAGCAGAGGGGGGACCGAGATGACTGACAAACCCACAGGTGGAAAGGGTGGCAAGGGCCTCGGCAAGGGTGGCGCCAAGCGTCACCGCAAGATCTTGAAGGACAACATTCAGGGCATCACCAAGCCTGCTATCCGCCGTCTGGCCCGTCGTGGCGGTGTCAAGCGTATCTCGGCCATGATCTACGAGGAGACGCGCAGCGTTCTCAAGACCTTCCTCGAGGGTGTCATCCGCGACGCCGTCACCTACACCGAGCACGCCAAGCGCAAGACGGTCACGTCTCTCGACGTCGTGTACGCTCTCAAGCGCCAGGGCCGCACCCTCTACGGTTTCGGTGGTTAAAAAAGAAGGAAGAGTAGCACGACCGGTACACGAACGTTTCGCTCGCGAAACAATGTCTACATTGCTTTTTTTTTTTTTCGCTGTCTCTACATACTACGCTTTTTGATTTGAAGGTTCGGCGTTTGGGAATTGGACTGGATGGGCTCTGGTAACTGGGGCGTCGGGGAAATCCGCCAAAGTTACTAATAAATGAATACCAAGATATCAGCAGATATCAGCAAACCTGACCTTGACTTCCATAATGGTACTCTTATGTGAACGAGAAGGGGAAAAACAGCTCCTACTTGTAATGAATGGTATAAAGAATAAGAAAAAATAACGCCTATCCTTGGTATAATGTATGACGTAGAGAGGCTCATCTTGCCCAGACTACAGATATTTCCTCCCCGCCGCAGCTACCCTCATACGGAATACCGGACTGCGCACCTCGGCATTCGCCTTGTAGAAGGGACTCATGACGGCCTTGACCCACGTCTCATACACCTCCATGAAGAACATCTTGATGGCCTCCTCGGTCGCAGGGCTGGTGGGGTTGGCGCCGATGGCCGTCGAGGAGCGCGTCGAGCTCGATCCGGGCGGGAGCATCGGGTGGTGGAGGAGGAGGAATTTGACGTTGCCGCCTGTTACGAAGCACGAGACATAGTTGTCGAAGAATTTGTCGATGCATTTGAGGTACCTGCGGGGTGAATGGGGTTAGGCCACGTATCATTCCTTCTCTTTCAACGCATTTGCATTTTTTTCTTCTTTTTTGCGCACGGCTGGGTGGAGGGTAGGGGGAGGAGAGAGAGAGAGAGAGAGAGAGAAGAGAGAGCATACATCTGCCCATGTGACCACTGTGCTTCATCAACTATATCCAGACTTGAGTGAAGAATAAACTGATTTAGATGCCTCATCTGTTCGGGGAATCGGGATTGACCGTCGCCGCCCTGCTTGGATGTGCCGAACTCATATTCGAAGAGGGGGTTGTCTTGATTGCCGACGATGGCAAAGTAGTAGCTCATTGTGTCGCAAGAGGGTAAGAGGGGTAGGGCAAGGAGAGTCGACAGGATGAGAAGGGGGGGGGGGGGGGGGGTTCAAAAGAATTGTGCTGCTGCTGCTTGCTCGTCGTGATGATGATGATGATGAATGATGGTGTTTAGTGGTGGAGCCGTAAAGCTCAAAGCCCGGGGCGGTCGATATTCCGCTCCACCCTTCTCTCTCTCTCTCTCTCTCTCTCTTCTACAGACTGCAGTCCATCCATTTTCTCTCCAGATCCAAGACAAACAAAACCAACGACGACGACAACGATTATTTACCTCCCCTCAACGACAAATACAACAGAAGGGGGATTTTTTTTTTCTTTTTTCATCTGTAAAAATCAAAGACGAAGACGATCCGAATAGGGGGGAAAGGACAGACGACGACGACGACGACAACGGCAACAAGAAGATGTTTGGCCCTTTTCGCATCACGAACCCCCTCTCGAGCGGTCTCTTGTGGAAGATCCCTTGGCGACTGTCCAAGTTTCAGAAACGTCGTCATCGCATGCGTCTCCGCGCCGTCGACGACGTCGTCTCCACCATCGACACGGCCCTCGCCAGGCAGGGTCAGACCCTAGAGGCTCTGGAGAGGTGGAAGGCCGAGATGCCCACCGAGGCCGAGATGCTGCCGCGCGACAAGTACACTACGTTTGACCGCAAGGCTAAGCGTTATCGAAAGGGGATTCACAGTACGCTCTCCGTCCCCTCTCTCTCTACACACTCCCTACTCTGCCATCACCGGGTAGCCGAATCACCGATGCTGATATGATGTCTACAGGAGTCCCCAAGTGGACGAGGGTATCGCAGAGAATCAACCCTCCTGGTTACTAGGCGCATCCGTCGGAAACTCTCAGCATCAAGGGAGAAGGGAAGAAGAAGAAGAGGAGGAGGAGGAGGAGGAGGAACAAGAACTAGAACAACGAAACGTGCTTGTCACGGTGCGTGTATCAACTATGTGTACAATATACCGGATTGTCCGTCATGTGGGCATCATGGAGATGAGATATATATATATATATATATACAAAAAAGAGGAAAAGGGTCGGTTGAGGGAGGACAGCGATTTTGGAGCACTGGGCCAAGTCTGGACTGTAAGATGGGCGTTTTTTTATTCTTCTAATA